GCCTTTCACTGACTACCTGTGAGTTTTAGACTTGATTTGAAAATTTTGCAGCTACTCCCCAAAGCCTTGAATGGCTCCAGCCTATATCAGTGAGCAACTAACTCTCTTTGAGCCTGACCGCAGCTCTGGGCCCTCTATCAGGGCCCGAATCCTGATTCCTGGTCCCAAGAAGTGAGTGTTTGCAGTCTTTAGTATTCCCTGTCTGAGGATGTCAGACACATAAACTCAGTGTCCTCTTTGAAATGTGTTTTTATACTCACTTCTATCTTATGGCGTTGTCTTTTGTTGCTTTCTTTTTTGAATAACTAAGTGTCTGTTTTTGATTGTCCTTGATTTCTCTGCATTTAACTGTAATTTGTAACTTTGTTTTGTTCATTTTGATTCTTTAAAAAAAGGACAAAGCCACAGCTCCTCTAAAGTGAAGCCAATATACTTGAAAATACACCACAGGAAAGTGATTTACAGACTGATTTGAAAGTGGAATATAGGTTGAGATATCACCACACACTGATACACACATATACACAATGTTGCACAAAATACACCAGAAGGCATGGGCAACTCATTTGACCTTCTTTACACAAGACCCTGACCTGTTTTCTCTCTGTGTGTACAGCTGACAGCTCTCGCTCATGGTGATTATCTGTCCTTGTCCACTGTCTTAATTCCACTTAGTATGAAATGATCCCCTCGGTCACCCCAGTTTACACATGAAATCACAGCCACACAAACATACATACACATTTAAGGTGAGGATGCACCACCTGCCCCCGTGTCACAGAGGCACCTGTTTGAGTCTGGGTTCATACTCTAATCCCTCTTATGTGTGTTAAGTAGAATATCAGAGTCAATAATAATTTAAAATAACTCGTGAATCCTCTTCACCCTCTGTCACTCAGTGTCACTGACTGTGTTTGCTTGCTCATGCTGAGGGAATGCACAGGATCAGATATTTGCAGCCTTAAGAGATGCAACCTTGGAAGAACCTGCATGGAAGGCCATAGACTGAGCCACTGTGTTTTCACAGACCGCAGTGAGGCACGCGCTATCAATGGCTGCCCTTGCTCAGCCCGGCCTAATTCATCAGCTGATGACAGGACGGTGGATCAACATTGTCACTGTCATCTGGGAATTTTATGAGTCATGACCAGAGAAAGAACAGTTTACAGATCATAGACATGAGCTTTGTGTTTGTTTTTCAGATGATGTTCAGGATTAAGAGGGTGGTTCTGTTGATAAGACCGAAATAAATGGATTAATGCTTCATAATGCTTGTCATATTTAACAAACACAAGTGTGATGACATCTGCTTAACCCACTTGTGTGTAACCTTACCACATTGTTTGTCACCTTGTGGCCTAAAATTAAATCAAGTAAATTTCCTGCTAAATAAATCACATGAGGTGACTCTTTTTAACCCTACATGTTCACATAATATCATACTATACTACACTATACTATACTATCCTAGCAGGCTTTTCATCAACACATTTGTTGGCAACAAACAAAACTATAACCTCATAGTATGTTCTGCCCCACATTGCCTCACAATATTCTTAGTATAGCTTTAAAGGTCCAATATTATGCAAAATTCACTTTAGAATGGCTTACAGAATCATAGGTGTCCATGGCTTGACTAGTTTACCCATCGGGGAAGGAACCCCAGTGCTGAGGGTTCAGGCTGTAGAGTAACATGCTGCCACCAAGACTATGCCTTTCCAAGAAGGACCTTGAATAATCCAGCAAGAAGATGCCAGACTACATTTTGGACACATTTCAAAACCATAACTCCATGGTCGAGGAATCCCAGTTCAGCCTTTCTGGCCTGCCTGCAATCTTGATTGGTTACCTGTTGAAAACAATTAGTTGTTGAAGTTTTGCTGAAATTCTACACCAGTCAAAATGGGATGATATTTCACTGTCAAAACTTAAAAAACTGGTCTCATCCTTTAATCTACACTTACATGGTGTTAGAAAAAGTGGTGATACAACTCAAAGGTAATCATGCTGCTGGGTGTTTTAAATCAAGTTTAAAATGACCACATAAATATTGTCTTTAACAATTTTTACCCAGTGCCCCAACTCTCATTGGGGTCCATCCATCCATTTTCTATCGCTTATCCCATTAGGGGTCACGGAGGGGCTGGAGCCTATCCCAGCATCAAGGCAGGGGACACCCTGGACAAGTCGACAGTTTGTCACAGGGCTGACATGTAGAGACAAACAACCAACCACATTCACATTCACACCTACAGGCGATTTGGACGTGACCAATTAACCTAACCCCACTTCTGCATGTTTGTGGGATGAGGGAGAAAAGTGAAGTAAACCCACGCAGGCACAGGAAGAACATGCAAACTCCACACAGAAACGCCCTGACCCAAAATCCAGGACCTTCTTGCTTTGAGGCGACAGTGCTAACCACTTCACCACTGTGCTACCCCTTTATTGGGGCCTGTAGTGCTGAATTAGAGTTGTTATTACTAGGGTGAGTCTATAAAAATGATAGCTCCAACGTGCCGTTTTTATCAATGCACCATTACCTGAAAAAGTCTTGTGCTTTAGTGTTTATGTATGATATTGTAATGCGGCCAGAACAGTTTGATGTTTATAGAAGCTGACTTGGTAAATTGGCGACAGGGTGACAGAGTCTTACACTTATAATCTAAACATTTTAATCCCACATAGATTTTTTTTTGTCTTGTCTCCTTTACCCTGCAACACTCAGGAACAGAGAGGTAAAAGCCTAATGGGCCTGTGGTAATTTTTTTTCCAAACTGTGCGTCAGCAGGAGTGATGCCATTCACTCCATTGCCCTCCTGACTCTCAGTCTAAATTAGTGAAGCTGAAATAGAACAAAATGTGGTGTTATGAAAAAAAAAAGTTGTAGTGCGCATCCATCCCTGGTCGAAGGGTTTGTGCACCTGCCTGACTTCATTTACAGGTGTCGACTGATTCTCTCACTGGACGGTCACAGGGACTGACCAAGTGACCTTAACCTTCCGCACCCCACTGCCATACACACACACATAGACGCGCACATTTACTCATACCCCCAGGAGGTAGTGGGGCTGGTTTAGACAGAGACACAAAGACAGGCATTATTCTCTGACATCCCTTACACCAGTCTGCGAGGACAGGGGAGAGGGGGGAGGGAGATGTCATAATTTTTCATCATCATTTTTAAACTTTTTTTTTTTGTAAACAGATGTTCATTTAACCGTAAAAGCTTCACGCTACGTATTAAAGCTCGCAGTCTATAAGAAGCCTGGCAGAGAATGATGGTTTAAAAATAACCTAATGCTTTATACAAGAACTTCAGGGGCACATGTATTAGTCTAAGCAGGCATTACTTACTGTCCTGAGTAAAGTTTGGATTGAGCAGTCTGCCTGGGTGGAGGTGACAGGGTTTAAAACAATGTATCAATCTGTGTTATGTCTCTCTGTCCTGGTGTTGAGTTAGTGCAGGGCAAACAGGGAAGTATTCCCATAAAGAAAGAAGCCACAGTGTGTTTGCATTGCTTTCCTCAGCACAGTGACTGATGAAAGACCAGAAGCCACAGCGAGGAGAAGCGGCCGACTCGTGCATACTGTTCCCCTCTAAACATCAACACACTGGTTAGACAAATGAGGCTTCAGCCTCCCTTTTACCTAGCTCTGCTCCAAACTCCAGAGGCCGCAGTGGACTAAACCTGGAGAGGAGGCTCTGAATTTTACACCACTTAGCACTAAAAGTCCTAAACTTTCTGACTGTATGAGACTGTAGTGATGAATGATCTGGAACAATGATTAATGATGGACACGTTGCTTTTATTTTTCACTAAATACTTCTTTCAGTGGATTTCTAAGTAGTAAAGTGTCTATTTTTCTCTTTCTATTTCCCTCATGTCATAACAGCACAAACAGCATCACTCATGGACTCAACATGGAAAGGTCAAGTGCTACAGTTTACCATAACTCTCTGATACCCAGGCTGGTCTGTTATGACAACGTGCCTCAAGCTTTTGTGGAGCTAACTCCCTCTAGAGGTAATAAGACGAGTCGCTGCTGCAGCTGAGGCTCAGGACAACTGAAGGGGTTTCCTCTCCCTGCACGCCAAATGACACCAACGTCAAAAGAGGAGAAAAAACGAAGGGATGAGAGTGATGTGACCATCTTCTGCATCCAAAAAGGATAAAAGGTGCGTAAAATTGTCACTTCCCAACACCCATGCATCGTTTCTTTGCACATCTTCCTCTAACGTCACTATTAAAGGAAGTACAGAAAATCGGAATTAGAGACACTTCATTCATATCTGGGGAAATTTCGGTCCGAAACATGTAAGTCTACAAGCAGTATGGGCTTCACATAAAAGGGCACTTTATCTAGAGCTAAATGTCATCCTGTACCGGAACCATTTTCCTGGAATACTTATACAAATTCCAAATTCACCCATGAGAATACAGTCACTTATTGAGTCTATTAAGACATGTGGAAAATTGTCTCTCTGATCAAAACGTAACTTTATCGATCTTTTTCATTCAGAGACTCTTCACAACCCTTAAAGGAAATGTGACACAATCAGAGAAATCTGGGGTACAAATGACATCAACGGTAACTTTGTTTTTCTCCATTTACGGCTAATATAATCCTTCTCATTTAATGGTGCCCAATCAAAATTCTTCTTTTTTAAAAGGATTTATCATGTGGCTTGACGAAACGCCTCAGAAATACAAACACCTCAAGTGTCGTTCTTGACACTGAAACTTTTTCCTGACTTAAGAAAAAAGAAGAGTTGGGTGGCAGATCATTCAATGGATCAATTTCTATGATTTCCACGTGCAGTTCGTGTCACTGATGCACATTTAAGGTATCAGAGGAGGCACAGTGACGGACAGAAATCATAGAGAGGCTACAGTAAACTCTGGTTGAAACAACTTCAGTATGCGCCTCTCTCTCTCTCTCTCTCTCGCTCTCTCTCTGACGCGGGGGGCTTGCCCTCTAAATAAACTTTGCAGCTCAGGGAGACAGAGAGAGAGAGAAAGAGAGAGAGAGAGAGAGAGAGAGAGAGAGAGAGAGAGAGAGAGAGAGAGAGAGAGAGAGCTGAAGTCATCAGCCGGCCGGCAGGAGAGGAGTGAATGGGACCTGCACGCCAAGCAGAAAAGCTGCGGAGATTTCCTTTGGTTCAGTTGCCTGACTGACGCGGACAGAGAGCGAAAGGAGCAAAGAGAATTGCTTTAACTAATCTGTTTTCCTCCTTGTGTGAATACTTTGCTCGTCCTGAGGTGGCTTTAACCTCTTGTGCATCACCTGATGCTGAGAGAGCCTAACGCTGACTTCCTCCGCGCGTTTGGCACATTAAGGTCTCCACACACCGGGACACACGGAGCATCTCCGGAGAGAGACAGGGGGAAGGTCTATCCGGAGTTTCCACGCATGGATACTATAAGTCAAACTTTTTAAAGATCTTTTTTTTTTTAATAGAACCCTGATTCAATTCAACATTTGGACCTGCACTTATGATCGATTTGGCATTCCACCTGCAAGCACCGGATGACAATCGAGCTTTTTCCCGTCTTTATTTGTTTGTGTCTTATTTCTGAGGGAATGTTCCTTATCACAGCACGGATAACGGATCCCTGACTCGACCTGGCTCATATGAAGAGCCTCTCCAGGATGTTACAGTCTAAGCGGCCCAGACATCGTTGGGCCAGCGTCCACTACAATCACCACATATCACCACATAGCCGGGGGTCCTGCTGTGTGTAGGAATTAATCTCTGCCCTCCGCACTCTGCCTCCAGCTGAGGCAAGAAAAAGGAATCGTTTCCTACAAGTGTTTGGTGAACATTGACATTGGCTTTACAAGTCTCATCTCTGGGCTACTATGCAATTAAAACTGATCTCCTTTGTTTTGATCATCTTGCACTGCATGGATTATACTGGTGGTCAGCAGCACAGCAGCTCCAGGCACCGGCAACATAAACGTGAGTAGTAGGGGTTAAATGCACAGCGAGTTTTTCAGGTGCAAATACGATCCATGTTTGCTTTGTTTTATTTTCTCAAATTTTCGTTACTGTAATAAAAAGTAGGCTATTTATATTTCCTACTCAAAGAGGGGTCAAACAAGTTTCAAAAACACTTCACATTTCTCCCAACAAAACATGGGTTCTTATTTGAAGTCAGTTTTAAATATCCTAATAAAGGAAGCAGCACTGGGTAAAGTGCCTTATCTGCAGGCGACCAAGAGGTCACCAAACAACCATTCACAGGCGCACAACTCAGAGAGAGAGAGAGAGAAAGCGGAGGGCAATTTTCCAGTGGTCTTATTCTTTTCTTTTGATACGACAAAACAAATCTCCTTTATTTTTTTTATTTTGATCTCTTTAAGATAGAAATAAAAACTAAAACAAGCAGCGAATTTATCGGTATTACGCATCATTTACGCATTTATAAAAGAAGATAACAGACCCGTTTTAAATTATAAGTTCCCACATTTCCAAACGCCAACACCTCTGTATCGTGAGTGATTTAAACTCTAGTTATTTTGCACTTTACATTTTTATTGAAAAGTTGCGGGAACAAAATGTTAATCTGGATGACTTTGGCAAATTTAAGGAGAAGCTTCAGCCTGTTAACTTACCTCGTCTATTGCAGATGTGTTAATCAATAAAACCATCCCTTTTAAGTCCACTTTTATTTGTTTTTTATCTTGAGTTGGATTAAGTTGATTAACTCGTTGCTCTGCCTGTCACCTGAAGCCTGCAGTGAGTCGTATCACTTTGCGCTCGGTCTCCTGGTTCCCGTCGCTCTCTAGCGGTCAGAGCTGCAGACTTCAAGCACAGAGTGTGGGAGCTATTCAAGTGTGTGTGTGTGTGTGTGTGTGTGTGTGTGTGTGTGTGTGTGTGTGTGTGTGTGTGTGTGTGTGTGTGTGTGTGTGTGTGTTAAAGTCAGGACTGGGTTCGGGTTGATCTCTGTTCAAAAGCGTATTCACAGCTTTAGTTCCTGCCTGTGTTTGATGTAGTAGCCTCTTAGTTGTATTTATTTCTTTACACTGACACATTCTGAAATTTATGGGGAAACTTTCTCCTGGTATTGGCTCACATCTCTGAGAAAGCAGCAGGGTTCACCTCTATGCCAGTCAGAAATAGAACTCAGAATCATATTTCTCAATAATGTCCTCTCTTCTTCTTCACTGCTCTTTAAAGTACATCCCCACAGCTCCAAAGAAACACCAGAGGTGTTCCATTATTCAAAGCCTCTTCACTCTGTTGGTATTTCTTCTCCCATATATCTCCTCAGAATCCAACTTGATGTCTCTTCTCATGAGCTACGACCAACCTTTTTCCATCACATTATGAAACAACTATCAATATAGTATATTTTTCTATTCTTCCTACGCACACTTTATCGCTGAGGGTCTCCAGATGTGCTCTGGGACTGAGCCTGTTGGAGAAGTGCAGTGATAGCCGGAATATTCCATGTATCACTCGCCAGCATGGCTGAAAAAAAAAAAAAAGTGAGCTAAAATTGTACACATTAGAAGTGATGTTTTTATCCCGGCCACCTGTGGCTGAAAGTCTCCTAGAATTTCATCACACAGCTTGGATCAGGTAGATTCTACTTGTTGGTTTTGAAGTGAAAGTGTTTTTGTGAAAGCAGAGAGTAAGAGTGTTTAGGGTTAACAACATTGTGTTTATTTCATGGTTTGAAGGAGGTCTAGGGTTATTTTTGGAGTCGAGTAAACTTGGAGAACAGAGCTTGGATTGCTTTAGTGTTCTGCAGGGTGACACAGCTTGATAGGTCGGTTTTGAAATGCCGCAAAGGGACATTTAAAGGCATCAGACCTTCAGAAGAAAGACGTGAAAATGTGCCTTTCCCTGACTGTTGACTTCCTTCAATTTAAAGTTGTGTCATCTCTTAAATGATGCAGGATATGACCATGTTTTGATGTCTGCAGTAAACTCCTCTTAGCAACCAGACATAAGGATTCTCTGTAAGTGTTTATTTCCCCTTAAACAGAATTAAAGAGGCTCTCAACACAGTGTGAGGGAGGAGGGGGAGCAGGAGGGTCTACTGAGAGGATTCAGGATTCCGTTTCTTCAATCACACTCGTACTCTGAGATAAAAAGCACTACATGTAAGATTTTGAAAGAAGAAAAACTTGGATCGTTGGAAGCAGATGAAACCTTTTCACATTCAGCCAGTCAATACAGTCAACCACGATGCAGTTTTTCAAATCAGATAACTGACGTATCGGCTCATTTTCTGGAAGGTTTGATTCAACTTCTCCTTTTCCGGATGACTCATTAATTGACGAGTGCTTCTTAGAATCCAAACTTCCGCCGAGGATGCAGATATCTCACACTTGCAAAGATAGGAGGGAGGATGGAGGGATTAGTTGGTGAGGGGGTGAATGAGTGCAGACTTCATAGGGAACAAAGGGGGTAAGAGCGGGCTGGGAGTCAATGACCATCATGTCAATGGGTCAAAATTACCAGGCAGGAACTGAATCCCAGCTCTGTGCTTCCTGTCTGTGATGATGCATCCAGAAGTGAAGCATGTGGGTGATAACAGCAGGAATGATACAGTCGGTTTCAGATAGCAGGTTAATTTAGACTTTGATTTCAAGAATAGTGAAGAAAATAATCATTTTAACTTCTATCATAATGAACTGGGTTAGGGTTATGCGCTGCAAGGATGTGAATGTGTTTATTCATAAGTGACATTGTCAGTACGTTATGCAAGACACCTCCATCCTACTGAGGTTTCATTGGTGCAAGTGTGAGGGGAAGGCTGAATTCCTGCGCCTTCAGACTTCTGTGAATCAGGGCGGCTTGGCAGGAACACATGTGGGCAAATGGACAGCAGTTGTAAAGATTGTCGAGGTATTTCAAACAAAGTGTCTGTGATCTATGTTAAACTGGCAGCTTAACCCAGAACAGAGAGGAGGAGGAGGAGGAGGAAGATGGCTAGGAGAAACGGGTGGTATTGGTGCCAACATTGAAAACTGATCCATGTAGCAGTTAAATGGCTTACTTTTGATTTGATCACCATGTCTGACCACCGCAACACTTTAAAACAATGACTTTAGGACTGCAGCACAAATACAACTACTTGCATGACTGTTGTCTCCACATAGACTCCCCGCCACAGGTGTCACTCTTGATATAGGTCATCTCTGAGTTCTGTCTGATCATGAGGTCCTGCAGCAATTTGTGGATTTCATCAAAGCAGTCAGTTCTCTGTTACCATTTTGATCGACTTTCTCTCTCACGCTACGTCTGCTGAGGCCAAACAAGTAACTGTCAAGAATGCCATAAAGCTTTTCCTGGAAGCTAAAAGGAAAAACCCACTCTGAATGTATTTCTCCCTCAGTTCTTATGGACTTTAAGCCATTTGTTTCTTTCTTTTGATTGTTTGCATGCTATAGTAGCACCACAGATACCTGTATGTTATAAAGCATGATCATTTTGAAATATACAGTCTGTTGCAATTTTTGGACACTTAAAATGATTGAAGCCTTAAATACCAGCTTTATTCTTGGCAGGCAGAGTTTGGTGAATCAAAATATTGACAAGTGTAGCCTTTAAAAAAACACCCCTGTTAAAGCTCCTGTAAGGAACTTTTTGTAATTTTTTTGTTTTGTTTTGTTTGTCCTCTCCATACTTGAGTAATATCTTCTGACACTAATCTCATCCTGCTGACTTTTGATGGTCAAGCGATTCATTCATTTTGACTGTCTTTTATGGAACATGTAAAAAAAACAGCTGCTTGGCTGACACCGACCCACTCAAACCATTTTCCTATGTTAAAAATTACATAAAAAAAAAAAAAAGATAAATCTTGTTTGCTTTTGTTTATACTAAAAAGACAGCAATATGAATTTAAGTCTGTTTCATAATTGTCAATCAACTCCTCACAGGAGCTTTAATTGCCTCAAAAACTAAACACCACTGAGCTGTGCCGACCGAGATTTGTCTGATTTGTCTTTTGTGATTGTATTTATAGGAATCCTTGATGAAACTGAGGATATTTTTGACTTTCTTCATCCTCTTTCTTGAGAAAACATGACTCAACAAACAAAAATAAGCAGAAATATTTTTAAAGAAAGAAAAAGGGTTTTCAGGGTCTTAAGGAAAAAAACAAAGATGGACTGGTCCCTCATATAAACCTGTGAAGTCACTTTACTTGCCAGGGATCACCTTTATTCTTCTGTTTGCTGAAACTAGTGCAACACAAACCTGCAGAATTGTTGATCACTTGAGATTGGTGAGTGAAGGATCATAACGCTCACTGTTGTTACAGGATTAAATGTGAAAAAAAAAGTGCGCTTTAAAAACCCACCAAAGCACTAAGAGTTTGGAGCTAATAGTGCAGTATGCTGGTATTGCAAAGTTACGCATATCTATACAGCATAGAGGATGGAGTCTGAGCTGAGCTGGACTGTTTCAAATATACACTCTGTGAAAACTTCCTTCGTGTGGGTTAGACTATTTTAATGTCGTTATCAGTCATATCCTGTTTTGTAGCTGGCATCACAACAAAACCATATGAAACAGTGAAACAAGAAATGAAATACACATTGCTCTTTTCATAAATGGTATTTATAACACATGCTAAACATGCTTTCATCTGTTAACTGTTTATAAGCTTTAGGTGACTGTAATCTGTAAGTGTACAACTATAATTTTTAAATCAGTTCCAGGTGTTACTTTTCTTTGTTCCTGGCTCATTTTAGGTTGAAAGATAAATTCTAAGCACTTTGGCAAAGCAATGCGGATAAAAGAAGATGAATGAAAGGAAAGGAAAAGATAAAATACTTTTTCACCACACAGGGTCTCATTGTCAGGGGCCTAAAACCAGTCTCTTTGGTTGGTTTTTGCAGTATTGAAAAAATACAGTGAGGACCTTACATTTATATGTAACTATTTTTTTTTATTTTATTTTAAAGTTGAATTAAAAAAAAAAGTTGTCTGAGAGTCAGGGGGTTTAACTCTTTTCAGCTGTGGAAATGACAGAAAAGTGAACTCCAACTTTGAGCTTTAAATAGAGGCTGGCTCATCATAGCATCGACAGACACCTGTACAGTTAACTGTGGATTCTCAAAGGTTGTTGTTGACACTCTTCTCTGTCACAGAGATATCTGGTGTGAGCCCGGGGTGTCAGCAGGGTGGCTGTCTGACCTGCTCCGACTACAATGGCTGCCTGTCCTGCAAGCCGCGCTTCTTCATACACTTGGAGAGGATTGGGATGAAGCAGATCGGGGTGTGCTTGACTTCCTGCCCTCCGGGGTTTTACGGCACACGCTCCCCAGAGAGAAACACCTGCACAAGTAAGCAGCACCAACATGTCTCTGGAATAGAGTGATGAGTCTTGAGATGGTGTTTTAATAGCTGGACTTGACCTTGGTGTTGTAAATCCTTTTTTTAAACAAACACATGCAGAAGTCCCTCAGACTGGTCTTGAGTTTATTGTGGCCTTTTAACAGTGTGTTTTACTTCCACATAAGCACAAACACAACAAGTCTGGTTGGCTCAGAGACACTGTGTAAATATGTCTTCCCTTGTGTACTATAGTTTCATGACCCACTCATAAAGTGCAGCATTATGTGGTATGCACACATCAGGTCGTAAAACAAGAAACCTGCTCAGGATGTTTCCTTTTGGTGATGCTGAATTAAACTCTCTGTTGATTCAGCTCAAATAATCAAAAAGCAAACTTAAAGACATAAATCTGACTGTACTAACCCATATTCCTGACGCACACACACACACACACACACACACACACACACACACACACACACACATGCTGACACCCTGTATATTTAACATGCCGGACTCTTGTGCTGCTAAGTAAACTCTGGTGTTGGGTCTGTGTCTGTGTTAGAGTGCAGGTCAGAGTGCGACTCCTGCTTCAACAAAAACTTCTGCACACGCTGCCGAGCAGGATTCTACCTTCACCTGGGCAAATGTCAGGAGCACTGTCCTGAGGGGCTGGTCCGCAGCGACACACAGAGGGAGTGTGTTCCCAGTGAGTGTTTACAACTTTGATTTATCAGACACATGGACCAAACACAAGGTTTGCCCTTGATTTATCTCCACTCACCTTGTATTTATCCTCATTAGCCATGTGGAGATCACCAAATAAACCGACTTTGGAATGAAGCCTGAAATGTGTTTATGTGTTACATTTGGCCTCCATTTTCAGAGATACACCCATGTGCTTTTGTCTTCACAGAGTGTCCTGCAGAGTGTGAGTCGTGTGTGAATGGTGAAACATGCACACAGTGCCGCCCAGGCCTGTACCAGCTAAGCGGGAGGTGCCACCATGTCTGTCCAGAGGACTACGAGCCCAATGACAAACTCATGGAGTGCACAGCACAAGGTCAGCACAGTGTGTGTGTGCGTACATGTGTGTCCGAAGAAAACAACCATCTGAAATAGCTGTCCTCTTGACCCTGATGCATTTTGTAGAAAACAGGGAAACTTCAAAATAAAATGTCTTCTCTTTGTCCTTTGTCCTCTGTCAGTGCACTGTGAGGTGGGTGAGTGGAGTGAGTGGAGTCCCTGCTCTCGGTCTGGTAGAACATGTGGGTTCAAAAGGGGCCAGGAGACCCGTACACGACTGGTCCTCCAGTACCCATCTCCCTTTGGAAGCCCGTGCCCCGAGATCTCAGAGATCAAAGAGTGCGTGGTCAAGAGGAGGAAATGTCCAGGTAAGGAAAACTATATTGTTGAGAAGCAGAGTGTGTTTGTGTTTCAGAGTGGGTCTGACACTGCTGTGTTCCAGCATCTGAACTCAAAATACAAGAACAATGATCAATTGAAATTTTAGAAAAATTTAAAAGTAATTGAAGGAAACTTTGTGATATTTTCTTTGATTTGGGCCCTTGCACAGCAGCGGTGGTGGCCGGTGGTAATACTGGGTGGGAAGGCAGCTATACACATATGAGAGTCCAAGTTCCAGCAGAGCACTACAACACCTCATAGAAGTGTTTGATGCCAAAATGTGCCTTTACCTGCCTTTCTTTTTGTTCCTTTTTGATTGTAAATGCTTGTTTTTCTTTACAGGCAGTGTTAACTTCATCCCGCATACAGAGAAGGCTAGATAGCTCTGTGCTTTTTCGGATATGAGTTGTGCTGCATTCATGCTCTCCAGTTTTGTCCGATGAAGCTTAATATCCTCAATTCAAAGAGTTGACCTCTCTTATAATATAGGACAGTGAATATTCAACTACACTGGCTGTTAGCCAGTCCTCTTGTTAAACCAAAGAAACACAAAACTTGCAAATTTGCCATGTGTCCTTTTGTGTTTTCTGGATATTGTTTGGACAACAAGTCCTCAGTCTTTATCACCTGCTATTTGTTTTTCTGAGGACATAAATTATTTAGTTTTTCCTGTGATTTCCAAATTACTCCCTTCTTTGCCCCCTTTTGCACAGTTAGCATCCCTACAGTCTGCCATGCTACGGTCATGTCATTGGTAAAAAGCTGATAGCCTGTGGGCTGAATTAATCTTGCCCAAATGATTGGCTAATGAAGGGGAGTCTGTCATTTATGCAATAAAAGTAAATGAAAGAGGATGACACAGTCCTTAAGCTGTAAAAAAAATAAATAAAATAAAATAAAATAATAATAATAATAATAATAATAATAATAATAATAATAATAATAATAATAATAATAATAATAATAATAATCCCATTAAAAGATATTACATATTTTTCTTTTACGCTATGGGTTTCACCGAAAACTAAAACACTGCTTTAAATTTTCTAAATGTTTATTTAAAAAAATAATAATAATAATTAAATATATTTATTTATTTTCCTTTATTGTTTGAGGGATGGATAGTTTCGCCCTGTAAACTCATTTATACCAGCCGGCAAATGACCTAATCATCAGAATATCAAGAAAGTCGCAATTAGGCTGTTTACACCCAGTACGAGCATCAGCTGCGGTTTTTAGAGGCCATTAGCTACAGGTGTTGAGCGTTGACTAACTTTAGTTGAGAGGAGTAATTGGGGGCAGCTGAAGGGGTTATTCTTTTGGCTGTGGGTTAGTGTTTCATTGTGTTCAATAAAATGCACCAGCTGACTCTATAGAGCCATTATGTGGCCGTGCTTTCATTGGCTTAGAAAACAAATGAGTGTGTTTCGGCTAACGTTGCATCAGGTATAGTTGCCACTGGCGATACAGTTATATGAGTCCAACTCCTGCTCTAACTTGAGCATTTTCATGTGCTAAACAAGAGGGATGCTAAAGAAGAGCGATGTACCACAGAGGCTTGAGAAACAGTCTCAACAGTATAATGAAATGTTTTTTAGACATGGTTTTGGTATTGACTTGCATGGTCATCATCGCTCAGATGCTTAACAAGATGATCAAGATTGATATCATTGAATCAACTTCTGTGAAACATTCCAGACACTGTCTGTTGTTGTTGTTGCTGTTGACCCATCTCTGCCAACATTGTATTTGTGACACATGCCACAATTTCTGCTCTATGAATTCCAGACTCTGCTGCTCCAGCTTGTACAATCAGAGCGTCTCGCTCTTCCGCTCAGGACTCTGGCTGTTTACTCAGAGGATTGTCATTGTGGTTGGAGGGAGGACAGTGGGGGGAATACACATGTGAGATGTCGCAATGGGTCTGTTGTGTGTTTTCCCACGAGACCTCTTTAGACTTTTAAAGAGTAAAACCGCTTTCTCTGCTCCTAGTAAACAAGGAATAGCGTGATCATTTCTAATGAAGGGAGTGAAAACTACTTTCAGACGGGGCTAGTCTCTGCTTAAACCCTGATGCTGGTGCATTTACGATGGGTTTGTGTTCTGCGTGCTCTGCGTGTGTGTGGTTACTGAGCGGGTTGGAGGCTACGGATGGTTGTTTTTTAGCCTGAGCACTGTAGTGTTAAATGACAGATCGCAGACAGGGTAGGAGGCTGAGATCCAGCCCCCCGGGGCCTCACACTTACAGAACAAACACAGTGTGTGTATACGTGTGTGTGTGTGTGTGTGTGCGTGTGTGTGTGTGTGTGTGTGTGTGTGTGTGTGTGTGTGTGTGTGTGTGTGTGTGTGTGTGTGTGTGTGTGTGTGATGCAGCAGAAAAGCAGTTGACTCTGGAGCAGAAACAGCCAGTTCAACATCAACATCCTCCCCATGGGAGGCACGCGGCGACCAGGGGATCAGTATTGGTTTATCCCCGCAGTTGCCAATACACATACGCACACACATGCATACACAACTGCACACAGAAATGCAAACCAAGACATGCAAACAAAATCCAGTTACAAATCTACCCTTATCCACTTCAAATAAGTCAGACAAATGCACCAATTCATAGCTGCACGCTCACTTTGGCACACTGAACACAAACACACACATAAACACACAGACTCTTGCACATACCATCTCTGTGTCACTAAAATAACTACACAGCCGTTGCTCTTGGTGGTAATTTGTGAAGAGAGTCAACTGGGTCGATGTGATTTGTAAGGCAGACTGTGAAATGTGCCCTCTGTGAGACCCCTCTATCCCTCACTCGCTCACTTTCTATCTGTATCTCTCTACTGATCCACTCTCAGCTTCATCCCCTACACACACACACACACACACACACACACACACCAACTCTCTACCACACCAAAGAAAACATAGACCCCAGTTTAAGCTCCCTATTGGCGCTCCCAGTCAGCCGCGTCGGGGCCGAGACTTTAGTGTGGAGGTGGTGGCTCTGTTGACCTAGCCTGAGCCTGGTGAAGGGCAGCGGATAGAGGAGGAGACAAGGAAGGAATGAAGGAATGAAGGAAAGAAGGAAAGAAGGAAGAAATGAAAGAAGGAAGGAAGAAAGAAAGAAAGAAAGAAAGAAAGAAAGAAAGAAAGAAAGAAAGAAAGAAAGAAAGAAAGAAAGAAAAAAAAGAGAAAGAAAGAAAGTTTGTATTGCCCCCACTTGTGATTACCCAGTTGCCCCAGCTCCAAGAGCATCTGCGGTGAATGAGAGCTAATTATCTGCTTCGACGCGTCCTCTTCTCGCTGTTTACGTTCTGCACACGCTAGGGGGTCAGTGGTCCGACCTCAGAGAGCCCCCGGTAATCCTCCAGCAGCCCTCAGACACTGATACATCCTCCTCCTCCTCCTCCTTCCTTTCCTCCTCTTTTTGCACTTTCTCCAGTTGTCCTTTTCTCCCCCTCCACCCTGCCCCCTTTCTTCCTGTTCTTTTCACTCGCTGCTTTGTTTTAGTCCCCCCTCGTAGCAAATTGCTGATTTTGATTTCTTACACCAACCTGTTGCTCCTTTTGGTTAAAGTTTTATCTTTCCTTGTCTTAAACTCTCCCAAAGGTCTTAAAAAATATCACACTCCAGCTTCAGCCAGCTGTTGATTCGCTCATCTTAGCTCAGCGTTAGACTCAAAACAGGATCTGTTTGCTATTTCGTGTGTCCAAACTTATAAAAAAAATTAATTGACAAGGACTTTAGAAGCTCATTGTTTATCAAATACTTTGCTTTTTCAATCCATACACAAACTAAAAAAATGTAATATTATTGGTCATGCAGAGTTACAAGCTAAAGCTATCTCCTGTGGCATGAGGCAAACTCTCATAACTTTAAACAAAGCCGGGCTAGCTTGTCTCCACTGCTTGGAGTCTTTGCTGTAAGCCACCGTAATCCATGCCTGGCTCCACTTTCAAATCTTCTCCACAGTTATAAAGTGGTGGCAATTTGTCGTAGAACTTTCTACAACAATGAAAATGTTCCCAAAAGTTAGATTAAGTCTTTTTCTAGATTAAGTTGGCCAGTAGCAACAGCTTTGCAACTTCACATTGGGCCTTATTAGCATCTGAACAATGTTTTAAATCACGTGTAAGAATCATTGCAAAACTATAGAAAACATGCTGACATATTCAGATTTGGATTCACAAAAACTTGGCCCTGTTCCTGTGCTATCAACAGCCAGAGATTGTGAATGTTTACACACACATCCTTGTCCGCCGCAGTCTCTCTTCGGTTAATCCTGGCTAATTTGTCCTTCGATGGACCTGCGGTTCACCTCTCTATCTCTGTAACAGGATAGATCATGTGCAAACCTTGCCCCCCCACCCCCCCTACCCCACACACACACACATGCACCAGCTACACAAACTCACACACTCACATAGAGAAACATACAGTTAAACAAAGCCAGCATCAACAAGTCCGTGAGGCAGTGAGGGGGAATTGATACACGTACACATTCACACACTTACACAGCCCCCCCGTGACATCCTGGCGGACATGCGGCAGGCATTCCACTTGTGGGACAGCCCATAGCCTTTAATCCCAGCCTGGCTCCCGCCAAAAGCTCCCCGGACGACAGAACGCCTGCCACGGAGGATGTGCCACCATAAAATACACAATGCTCCTCCAACCGCATACACATATACACACATACCCACAGAGCACCCCTTACCCTCAGTGCCCCTTTGCCCTCCATTTCATCTCTCTATTTCTCTCATTTTGCTTTTGTAGTTCATTCAACACTCTCTCTGGATTATAATGTAATTTGCCTTTTCAATCACTCTCTTTTTCTGTACCCAGCATGCTTTTTCATTCGTCGTACCAGCGTACACACAAACACATGTATACACACACACACACACACACACACACACACTGACACAGGGCACTAGTCTCAATGTGTTAAGCCTCTCTCTGTGCTCTCACTGAAGTACACTGACTCCTGTCCTTCATGACACGCTGCAGTGAATTTCTAGAAGTTATATTAAAGCCACAGACATTTTCAGCTGGTGCACTCTCTATCTGCTGTTTGTGCAGGCAGAGATCACAGAAGGGCCAAAAGGGGACTGTATTTTGACCTGTTACAAGCAATTTCAAAAAACGTTTTTCAGGTGTTTCTGTGACTAATATTAACTGTTTGTTGAATTTGGGAATAACTTTTTATGTAACCCAATAGAAGTGGATGATAAAGCTTTGACTGGGTGAGATTTATGATTTGCACAGTTCAAAGCTCCAGTGAGGACCCTCTTAGGATAAAGCAGTCTTTGCTTGTCCTGTCCTCAATATGCTTAGTCAGGGTCTGCAGACAAAAAAAATGTATTGCTCTGCAACTGTCTAATGTATCACTGGATATTTTTTATCAGGAAACTAAAAAAAAGGCCGCCCTCTTGCACTGATAACTAATGTGTAAAAATCATCTGCTTTGTTGCAAATGGTTTTATTTGCTTTTGGAGATCATTAAAAGGCATCAGTATGATTTTCAGCCTGTTTTTTAAATGTCAAACAACTCCTCGCTGTGTAGCCAGTGCGAGGACAAAACTCAGACTTATAATGAATGCGTGACTTCAGGTTAAAAAGTAAGCCCATAAGAAATCTGATGGTATTTTTTATTTATTTTTGGACAATAAAGGAGTCTGTGCTTTATTGCTTGATAGAAATTAAAACTTTTAGTTATATCAAGGTTTTCTCAGTCAGTGCTGTTGAAAGAAAATAAAGGCTTTAACATCTATGTAATTGCAAATTTTCCCTCATCGGCCGGGATTTAACCAAATGGTTGAAGCAACTTTTGTCTGCCAAAGTTTCATCTTGAGCATAAGGGTTTTAGGCGAACCTGACTCAGTTCAATACTTCGTCTCACCAAAGGTCACCTATAAAGGTGGCATTTTGTAGATTTTCTCTTTTCTTGCTCTAACTGCAGTAGCAGTAGTTGAATTAAGTAGAGATAACTTAAGGTCACTGCACCTCAGCTGTTGGTTGTCAATAAAAAGTACAGCTATCCATAAGTGGATTGTTCGGACAGTGACAGTACATGAGGCTAGGCTGATTGTATCTTGGCTTAGTGCAGAAGAAGGAAGAGGGATGATGGAGAAAGATGGAATTTTACAGCCTCTAAATCAAGTTGTATGGATTTCTGTTTGAACTAGAGTGGGATCAGAGTAAAGTAAATGGGCCTAAGGTAAGCACACAGACTCGCTTTCTTAAATTCATCTCGTAAAAACACGCAAGGCTCTTGAGGACTGCACAAATGTAGTGTTTTAAAAGTAAACATGCAACACTACCCTGCGTTCCAGTTACCTTGGAAATCAGATGTCGGAGCTGGGAATGATGTTCCACTCGATTTGATGGTGTTACAGTTAACAAGTCGGAAAACCAAGATGGACGCCCACAGTTAGCCGTTGTTAGCTGTAGTTTACAATTGTCAGCTGTCGTTAGCTGTTGTTAGTTGTTGTTAGCTACACCAGTTGTAAACAATGCATAACAGTATTTTACTCTTACAAACACCATAGCACCGTGTTCACAGTTAGACGTTGGGCAGCACAACATATACCACATATTGATTTCATAAACACAAAACAAAAGTGCTAATAACTAAAACATTATGAGAGCTTTCACTGTTACTCTTTACTGTTGATGCACTGCGCTGCCATCTTGGACTATGACGTTGATGTCAAGTCGGGGTTGGTAAGGATCGTCCGACTTCAGGGGTGCATTCCAGAATAATTTCCGATTCGGAGCTTGGAAATTCCGACTTCCAGTACAACTAGAACGTATAATTAGAAACTATAAAGTATAATTGAATTGTTTTCGCCATAACTGGTGCAAACAAAACATGCCAGAATAACTTTTGCAAGAATATGAGTAGTTTTTGATCCATTTTAGAGGAAACGTGATGTACTGCAGCTCTTACTACTGCAGAATAGTGTGTTTTTGGCAGTGAGATTGTGTTCAAGTTTCAGGTCTTGTACCCAAAGTCAGCCACTCATTTACTGTTAGACTTCTGATGACATTATTTATTAAAACTTGGGTTTTTTGGATTGCACTCAGTGTCTGTTGTAAATGATCCTCTAAAGGTGTGTCATTTGTGGACCATTACACTTATGTCAGCACACAGTTTACAGAAAGCCCATCAGACACTGTTCCAGCTAACCAAACGCAGGTTGGTTTGATAAACACGCTCCTAATCATCTCAACACGGGTACGGATTAGGTTTCTCCTCTGGCTTGACAAAAGCACGGGGGCTACAGTATGACTAATCCACTGAACTTGTAAATAGTTGTAAATGGTGTCAGGGCAGAGAAAACAATGAGAGCGAAGGGGACTTCCTGTGTTTATAGAGGACAGGGGGCAGACTCCAGTGAGTCAGTGCACCAGATTACTCCATCTGTCAGTTCCATCCATCCATGCATGAGACATCCACTTATTTTTGATTTGGATTCTTCGGACCTTTTATTGTCTAAAAGGAAACACTGTAATCTCTGTATTGTGTTTGTGCACAGGTTTGTGTATGAGTTTTATCCATCTCCTGTTCTTTTGTTCTGTCCTGTGTTTCAAATAATCCAAAAACACCAGGGGGTCAAGCGTGGTATTACACAATGTGCTGGTCAGACATGGTCTCTGATCGATTAATTGATAAACTAAGAGTGAGAGGATGAGCATAGATATAGAGGACAGAGGGGAGACACGGGGAGATCTCTTCCCTCGCTCCCTCTGTGTCTATGCCTACAGTGCAGACTTCAGCAGTTTCACAATCCCCAACTGGCCGGCCGACCAGCCGTGTAGGCCGTGCTGCTCCGTTCCACTCACACATGAACAGCAGCAGTACAACAACAGGAAAGGGCCTCCTCTGCTTCCACTTGCAGGTCCTGTCTCCAACCTCCCTGGGGGTGGATCTTGTTATTATCATTAATAACTGAGGCTCGCGCAGAGATAAACCTTCAGCATTCCAAAACTCTCCGTTTTGTTTACGAGATAGTGTTGCAAGAACAGATAAATTTGGGGCTTATTTTAAGGGTTTTCAATTTTAGACAGAGACCTGCTCATCACAAGGAGGAGCCACTGTCTCTGATTTAAGACTGACATCTAGTGGCGAATACAGAGCATTGCGACAAGTGTTTCCTTCACCAAATATTTTTCTTTTACTGAGGGCTACTGTGTGTGTGTATGTATATATATATATATATATATATATATATATATATATATATATATATATATATATATATATATATATACATGTTCAATAATAAGTTAAGATTATGAATTATGAAGAAGACAGATCTGACTTTTTTCATTAAAGGACCAAAAAACGAAAACAGTTCAAGATCTCTAGCTAGAAATCCTTTAAAATATCTGTAAATATCAAAACTATATATAATTTCATCAACCATTGTATGAAACATACTGGTTTTTTGGGGGTTTTTTTTGCCAAAGATCTATGAATAAATGATATTTGACATGTTTGGATGCATTTTGGACATTTTCTGTGGTTGTGTTGGTTACATTGCAAGCTACAAAAAGTGATGTTGTGTTAAATACTCTTTTTTTAAAAAAGTATATCTTGCAGTAACTTTGGTCTGTCATGACAGATTATGAAAAGTACAGAAGCAAAATTACTCATTTTGTTTAAATTAACATTTAAATTTCTGATTTTCCAGGTGGACGGAGGAAGAATGAGCGCAGAGAACGAAGGAATCGCAACAACCGCAAGGACAAAGAGAATCCAGAGGGGCGGCGAGAGAGGAAGAGAGAGAGGGAGAGGGACACAGCTGAACGTGAAGACTCTGATAACAGGAACAAAACAGAGCACCGGCATCGAAGAGGCCATGACACAAACCCCACCTCTCCTGCTGACGGCCTTGTACAGTAGTGCTCTGGACAACAGACAAGCTTGCTCCTCATCATTCTCCTTCTGTTATCACCCAGTACTTCTCTCTCCAAAGATCCCCATCCTTACCCTCTGGTCACTCCCCCTCTATGACCCCTCTCTGCAGGGGTGTTGCTGCTACCTGTATGATTTGAATCTAATGTTTATGCACAAGCAGGTTTGGGCACAGTCAGTTTTGAGGCTCAGGCCACAACAGACTTTGAAAAAGTCATTTTTTTTAAAACTCCCCATAGCCTCTGCTCCTTCACCTTCACCACTGAGAGAGTGTCTCTGCTGAACAGTGCAGGAGACACTGCTGAGACTGCTGATGGGACTGAAACAAAGTGAGAAACTGTGTGGAGGGCTGACAGACAGATGGACAAAGACTTTACACTCTATGTGCTTGTTGATATGGTTATTTAATGGGGCCCTGATACAACATCGCGCATCTTGATTTTGAATGTAGATTTTGCAACATAATGTAGAGCAATTGTTTATTATTGTTGTTCCTGTTCTTTAGATCTCCTTACTTTATTTTATTTGGTGCAGAATTTGTAAAGACAAAATAAAAGTGAGCTTGCTGTTGCCATAATGTGACACGATCACAATAACTGCAAATGACAGAGGTGAGAGTCAAAGCATCAAAAACTGAAACCATAAACATGTTCTGTATGTCTTGGACAAAAGCTAGTTTTATCTCAATGTGATAAAGCTAATTTACCAGTGGTTTTTCTTTTTTTGTGTAAATGAAATCTGTGCTCTCAGTAAAGCTCCTTGAATAGGAAACAAAAGCACCCGTATGTCAAATAAAACTATAATGGGTTTGTACCCGTGTCTGTTATCTGTCTCTGACTGCCAGCTTGTGCTGCTCATTTCATCAAGCTGCAAGAGTAAATTGAAAGTGAAACTCGGTACTGTCTGCAGCATTAAGTTCTAAATTCAAGGTTAGTTGCATGCTCATTTGGTAGCCTCAGTAAGGAGACACATACTGCAGCATCTGCACATTATGAAAGATCGTGATATGCATCTCAGAAAGTGCCACTGGAATTACTTAACGGGCTGTGTTCCAATACTTCTACAGTGTTAAGTGTCAGAGAAACATGTATGTCAAAGGTGGTATGCCAAGGATCTCAGGATGACCTTAAGCTGCATCTTATTAAAGTTTGCAGTATGCAAACTTGTATGCTCTAGAAGGGCAGCATAGCATGCTGTAAAGTCAGGGTCTGATTAAGGTAGGCAGCGTTAGCTGTTTGAGTTTGCCTTTTTGTCGTCGCCGAATTAAGTGAAAGACCAAAGATAATCATGTTGCAGGCCAAGACGTTTATGAACAACAAGGGCAAAGTTCAAGGTAGTATTATATGAAACACTAAGTCCTCATTATATGTGTGCTACAGGTAAATTACATAACCTTACATAACCTTTAAGGGCAGCTGCAGTTTGCACAATAGTCAATTGTGTGCGATAACGGCAATACAGAGATAGCAAAACTAATAGCTGCCTTCTGTTCATAAAAGGAGGAAGGTCTGTGTATTTTGCCTTAACAGTTCTGATATAAGTACAGACTTAATGAAAATTAACTACTTCACAGAAAACTATGTATTTTTACATCTATTTTAAGGTCATTTGAATCACTGCATCCATTTGTCCAACCCCTAAAGTTGTAATGGCCCACTACAGAGTTACTTACACTTCGGTTTAAAGTAGAAGAAAACGCGACTAAATGTGCACAAAGACCGCTTGGTTATAAAATTAACCTGCCTAGTTTCACATGTTAGTGGTCTTCAATGTTAAGTTTGGGTACAGGTTCACAGCATTAAGCCAAATTACTTTCAAAAGTAAAAACAAGCAGTACAAAATCTTTATTTTTAAAGCTAAACTGTTTATTGGTGGAGTGAGAATTTTTGTTCACCAGTAACATCTATGTGCATCAACAGGCATGAAGACAGCATTTCCTCCTCATTCATTCAGCAGAGGAATCTCCCCTTTACAGACTGTACATGAAAATATATGCAACTTTTCTTTAGAGCTGACATTTGCAAAAAATAGATACGCACAGTACTGTTTATGCACACAAATCATGGGGTTAAAATAAAGCCATGTTTGAAGAGCTGAGGGGAATGATAAAGGGAAGGGGTCTGCAGTTTAGCTGGGATGTTTGAATCAAGATGACCCTACTGCTATGTCGAAAACAAAAGAGGAAACACTGCGACAGATCTTCAGATTTACCCAGATGCCTTTAAGTAAAGACAGCACAAATTTATCAATCATGGCTGTGGTTTGGTTTCAACTATTTTTACATCGCTGTTCACTTCATTTTAGCCACAAAATCCTCGCCCTTCTTGATGGAGCCCTTCAGCTCATCCATGGCTTCAGCCACCAGCTTCTCCTCAAAGGCGGACAGCTTTCCCAGCCCAAGGTTCTTCTCAATGCCGCTCTTGCCCAGAAGCAGTGGTGTAGAGAAGTACTTGCACTCTGTCTCCTCAGACCTGACAAAGGCGCACTCCACCACGCCCTCCTTGCCATTCATGGCGTCGAGGACTGAGAAGGTGAAGCGGGCACCAGCATAAGCCATTGACAAGGTAGCAGATCCAGCACCAGCCTTGGCCTTCACTACCTCAGTGCCAGCCTCCTGGATCCTGCCGGTCAGAGCACTAAGCTGGTCAGCAGGGAACTCTACCTTTGGTGTGCACTGGGAGATGAGGGGGATGATGGTTTTCCCAGCATGACCTCCAATGACTGGAACATTGACACGAGCTGGGTCAAGACCCTTAAGCTCTGCCACAAAGGTGTTTGCTCTGACAATGTCCAGGGTTGTGACACCAAACACTTTGTTGGGGTTGTACACTCCATGTTTCTTCATGACCTCTGATGTAATAGGGATGGTGGAGTTGACGGGGTTAGCAATGATGCAGATCATAGCCTCTGGGCAGTGGCGGGCGCAGGCATCGGCCAAGGTGGCTACAATGGTGGCGTTGGTGTTGAAGAGGTCATCGCGGGTCATGCCGGGTTTTCTTGGCACACCTGCGGGGATGACCACGACCTCGCAGCCCGTCAGAGCAGCACCCAGTTGGTCTGGCCCCATGTGGCCGGTAACCTGGGCTCTGGTCTCGATGTGGCTCAGGTCAGCAGCCACTCCGGGGGTGTGGGCGATATCATAGAGGGAGAGGTGACTCACCAGGGGGCTATTCTTCAGGAGCAGAGAGAGCGGCTGGCCTATTCCGCCAGACGCTCCTAGCACCGCCACCTTGGCGTTGTTCTGCGTTGAGGTGGACAGGCTCCGAGCGAGGCTGACGGTAGGTCTCACTGCACGGGAAAACATTTTGTTTCGTTGCTTCTTTTCTTACTTTTACTTAAAATAAAAATACGTGAAGAGTCCCTCTCCTCTGTGACACCAACGTCCTCTAGCCACGAGCGAACAGGAAGACTACTGAACTGACATGCGTCGAAAAAAGGCGTCGCACGATGTGACGTCGATCTTGCGTCATCGCGCAAGCCTGTTACGTCGTCGTCTTTATCTCAGCTCTTTTTTTGTGAGGAAAACAAAGCCAGTCAACATTTGAAGTCGGAAAATAAGCAGTCGGACACAGTTTAAGTTACACGAATGCTTACTCTTCATCGGAACGACACTACCAGATTTCACTGTACGGTACGTAGGCAGTCGTATTGGTGTCCCTGTCTCTTCTGTCGCTGTTTATCTCTCCTGCTAAAATAAGCTAGCGCCGTCAGATGAACTCCGTCTATTTGCTGGAGTCAGAGGGCTGCCGTCAGCCTAGCCTCCGTTAGCTACAACAGGTCTTATTATTATGATCAAGAACCACCCTCTGTGCAATGTAATTTTGTTTCCACGCAACATAACAAAAGATGACCTGCTCTTAAAAGCTGTTAGCTGACGCCTAAAACGGCAGCTGAACATAGTTTAGTGAACCTTCCAGATCGTTAGCTCAGTGTTTATCAGCAGCCTTGTCTCAGGGCCAGCTGGTTAGCTCTAACTTGTCATAGTGAACTGACACAGTTCATTGTTTGTAGTCAGTAAACAGAGCAGCCTTTGTCCTCCACACTGAAACATTTTAGTCACATTTCTGTCGCACTTGTGAGATTTAACGCTTACATTAGCTGATCCCTTTAATATCAGGATTTAACTGCAACGTGTTTGTCACAATGTGTGATTGTCTAACGACGTTTAAATCAGAAAAATGTGAACTATTTGCATCGGTACTGTGTTTACTTTCATATTTACTGACTTCTTTTTCCCTTCTGGCAGTGGCAAGTTTGAGGGTCCACCAGCTCTCCTCATGATACATCGGCTTTAAGAGGACTCTTAGTAAGTATCAAATATCAGGTCTGTCAGGCCTATAAGGGGCATAAGGATAAAAAAAAAAACTGATTCTAGTCATCTGTTTATCACTCTGTTTGTGTTTTAGTGGCAGTAATGTGGAGACCATTGTTAAATGTAATGACACAGTGTAAATAAGTGGCAACGTACATTTGTTGTACATCAAATCATAACATATAATTCCAGTATTCCTATGGTATGGGGTGTGTGATATTGCAAAAAAAAATATATATATATATGTATTTGGGGAACATGACAAAAAATAAGTAACTATTCTACATCCCTAAAAGAAATAAACACTAATTAAGTGTGTGTAAAAGGCTTGTGTTGTGCTATCTTACTGGGATTAATAGTAGATAATTTTAAATAATGTTTTGAGAACAATAATACTTTTTCTCTCAGTTAGCAGTCAGCTGTATCATTTAGTGATAATCTGCGTGTGTTCATCCCTTGGTCACTAACCACAAGCAGGGGTTGGTAAGAGCAAACAGCTAGAAAGGAATAATAACCACTCTTTTGTTGATGCTTTTTTGTTTGTTTGCTTTTAATCTTAAAGAGGCAACAATATTCATTTTAATCTATTCCATAACCAGCTAAAACTCCTCAGGGAAGCTTTAAGAAAGACATGTCTTATTTATTATCTAAAAGCTAAGTCATTTAAGTAGATATAATACAGAAACACTGAAATCCCCAGAACATGTATTTAGATCAATCAGTGCAAGTTTGAGTTTGCTGAATGTGTTTTTGTTTTGGCAAAACCAGGGGCCTGTTCTACGAAGCAGGATTACTGCTTAGCGAGGTAACTTCAAGGGTAAGTTCAGGGTGTCCTGTTCTACGACGCGGGTTTACTTCTTAGCGAGGCGAGTCTCCATGGCAACGTACGCTGAACGGCTAACCTGCTCAGGGGCAGGTTAGGTTCCAGATTGAACTCACTGAGTATAAAAACCCCGCCCACTGACCAATGAGCTCTCTTGAAAAATGGCTTGTCCGTTCTTGGAGGATCCTATAGACCTTGGTGCTTGCATTGTCCGAGGAGCACTCCGGCGCGCGAGAGTTTTCAGGGAGCGCACGGACCCACTTACTTTTCCAGATGACCACCTTTATGAAAGGCTCATATGGCCTACATGTCACACACAAAATGTAAACATGATAGGAATGAACAAATGAATGAATTCATCTTGGAAATGAATTAGTCATGTCTGGTGCATGTTAAAAGCGCATGTTGAACAGTGCTATTTCAGGGCGATAATGGCATCAAAGATTTTTTGCACACTTTACTTGAGACTGTCGGCAATTTCCTGCCAGCATTCCTTCCGTGCTTTTGCAGCGGCGACGGTGTTGTTTTTGAGGTTTATGATAGATTTGAATTCTTCATACATCTTCATGATCGTCTCCTGATCCTCGTTTGTAAAGTTCGCGATCCTTCACTCTCCGGCCTGCTCTGATGCTCCAGACTGGTCCATGTTCACGATTGGTCAGATGCGGCGGGCTCCGCCTTACATGTGTGCACGCGCTCATAGCAAAGCTGGATCCACTTACGAAGTTGATAACCAGCGTCGTAAGACCGTTTAGCGAGACTGCTAACTACCGCGCTAAGTTGAGCGAGGTAGCTCCAAGGCTACCTCGCTGGGTTGAACTTGCTTCGTAGAACAGGCCCCTGAGCTGGACAGTCTTTCAACAATCGACCCTCTCAGCTTTTCCTGTCTTACCATATTCTGTGTGGTACTTGATTTGCAGATGGTGAAACAGGCGAGTTATTGAGCTGTTTTCTTTTTGTCAGCTGAGGTTAATCTACATGGAGCAATTAAATATATTGGAGGCAGTTCTGAGGCTGATGGTGTTGGTGCTGTTTGTTCACTTATTTTTAACTTGAGCCATGCAGGCACCTACGCTAGCTTAGCTGGCAATGATGTGTAAACACTGAATGTATTCTCAGTACACATAGATTGTATTCTGTCCCACTGGGCTCATCGATTTCACTGAATGTGTGTGGACACTCGAGGCGTGTTTTAATTGTGTTTTGTAAAACGTGTGAAATACTCTACTGTATTGTCACTTCACACATCCTTAGAACGATAATTAAGATATGATCTTTAGAGATGTATATCACACACTCCTCCTTAGTACATATTGAAACTTTTAAATGATCAGGTTTTAGGGGGATATAGCTCAGCCACAGCATGCACAGGATAATTCACCATCATTTACCACTGACTCTTTTCCTCAGAACTTCCTAAGGATGGCTAGTTGTGGGGAGGTCGACCACTCTGTCAGCTCACTTCCATCCAGTAAGAAAGGTAGCAACAGTGGCGGTGGAAGTGGAAACAGCGCAGAATCATCATGCTCTGGCTCCAGCAACTCATCCCCAGCCTTGTCTGTACCGGAGTGCGCCATCTGTCTGCAGAGCTGCGTCCACCCAGTCCAGCTGCCATGCCACCACGTCTTCTGTTTCCTGTGTGTGAAGGGAGCATCCTGGCAGAGCAAACGCTGTGCTCTCTGCAGACAGGAGGTACCGGATGACTTCCTGGAAAGGCCTACACTCCTCTCCCCTGAGGAGCTGAAGGCTTCAGCAGGAGGTCGGGGTGGGGCAGGAAGTGATCACGCCTGGTATTATGAAGGCCGAAATGGTTGGTGGCAGTATGATGAGCGAACCAGCCGCGAGCTGGAGGACGCTTTCTCCAAGGGCAAGAAAACAGCTGAAATGCTCATTGCTGGTTTTTTGTATGTAGCCGACTTGGAGAACATGGTGCAGTACAGACGCAATGAGCACGGGCGGAGACGCAAGATGAAGAGAGACGTTTTGGATATCCCCAAGAAGGGAGTGGCAGGACTGCGTTTGGACACTGAGGGTGTTACTGTAAGTGCCGGGGCAGCAGGTCGAGAAAACTCAGCTGACGGGGCTGATACCACAGTAGCAGGTGTACAGCAGCAAGTTACAGGTAATCCTCCAACAGTTACAGCCACTGCCAGACCTCCCACTTCTCTTGGCGGTCAGCCCGGCAGCAGCAGCAGCCCCACTCTGGAGGATGCTCTCTCCCAGCTGCAAATCAGCCCCAGGCCCTCTCTTCCTCATGAGCGGTCTGAGGCTGGAGAAGGAGAGGAGGAGGACGAGGAAGAGCAGGCTTCACCTTCTAGGTCCTCTGACCCTCACACCTCCGTGGATGAGTCCGGCTCCGGAGACTGGAGTGACGATGAGGACGAGGAGGATGGAGAAGAAGAAGAGGGGGGAGATGGGGAGCGTGTGGAGCCCTGGGAGGATCGACCCAGGAGGCAAAGACTGAACCCAGAGGACAGAGCCCCTCCCGGCGCAGAGTCTGCCTCTCCCCCCTCTTCATCCAGTAGCAGTGGGAGGTCCAGAATGCCTGATGGCCAGTGTACAGTGACTGAAGTGTGAAGCCATCATTGACCCCATCATCAGTAAACGGCTCGGCTCCATTTCATTAATTTATTCCTCAGTCTATGCTGCCGTTCGCTCTGTCACAGATTGGATGTAGGTGGATGGCTCACTTCAAGAAAAGCAAAACCTACTCTGTGATTTTGCAAACAGGTCTAATTTAGACATCAAATATGGTGCCTCTTTTTGGTACACAATGATCTGCTTGTATCCGTCTGTCTTGTCAGTCTTATCCTGTGAATATATCTTGCTGGTTAGACTAATGTAGGGTCTTCATGTTCTAACAGTGAGACAGAAGGTAGAGCCCGGTAAACAGACAGATGGATACAGCATATTGTTGTGAGCCATGAAATCTCATAGTAGCTTTTACAGCGCATCATGTAAGGCGAGTGTTTCAGACAGAGTTATGATGGTGTATTCAGCAGCTGGCACCCTGCCTAGCTTTATATCATTTGGTCTCAGGCATGTTGGATCTGCTCTTATCAAATGAGAGAGAACTGGACTGTGAAAGTGAGTTGCAAAATTTGTTTTTGAATTTATCAGTCTGAGACCCAAAGTGTTTCTCTGAGCCTCTTCCAGATCTGTGACGTTTGAACGCAGAAGCATAAATGAGGATGTCGCTTCTGGAAGTGGACCTGTGTCTCCATCATGAACGGCTTCATTCTAATCATCTACACTTTAACTCTCTCAGCTAACATAGCACGCAGAAATGAGCTCAAGTCACCTGACTACTCTTGCAAAGAATTTAATCTTTAGATAACTTCTTCTAACTCCGGCCCCCTTAATTATTCCCTTTTAATTCAGATTAACAGATTAAGAAGGCTCGTCTAGAAAATTCTGAGAAGGAATCGTTAACTTCTGGAAGTGAAGTGATCTGACTTCAACCTCTGTAAGGTTTTTTTTTTAGCAGATGGATAAAGGAAAGTGAAAAGTACTGACTGATACTCACAGGTCATATGGGTCTTAAGAATTTCAAGGTTTTGTGTTTAAACATTGTAAAGTTACTCTTAAACCGACGAGGTTAACTTGCTACCTGCCTTGGTGATTTTCTCTGTAATTCTGTTGACCTGAATGGTCTGAGATTCTGAAACAAATCCAGTTCAAATGAGTGTTCATTATAACAGTACATGCTTAAAACATGTTTTTAGCTGCCCCAGCTCTCAATGATTGGCATTTTAGTGTAAAGTATCAGTGTTTTCCTTTTAAAAAGCTGTGGAAGCCTGTGCAGCCTCTTGAGTATTCTTCTTGTCCCAGAATAAAGTGTTCTGAATTGGTGTGTTTCTAAAGTTTTGTGAATTGTGCATGTTTGAAGAGAGAGTTATTAAAACACTACTGGTCAACAGGATGTTGAGGATTGATATTTTTTGGGTTGAGTTTGAGTCAATGTTTTTAATTTGTCTTTGTTTCTGCGTTTCTTTATGGTTGTAAATCCTTTTCTGTATGATGTCTGAGGCAGAACACGAACATGCCATTGTTGGCTGTGCTGCAGAGATTTCAAGTCACGTCATTTTTATATTTCTTACACGCTCACATCATCAGCTCAGTCTTAGACTTTTCATTCTGAAGAATAAAGTTTGTGTAACAGCTTTTGCTTGGCAGCCTTTTGTTACATTGTAATTTAAAAATAAATTGTGTCATTTCATCATCCTGAAAGGAGAATATTTTTGGGCTCGTCTTTGATGTCGGGTTTTTTTTGGGTCTGATGTTTCAGTGTGTCAGGATGCAGATCATTGTATTCCTTTTAAATGTGGACCTCTAAAGGGTCAGGGGTAAATTTCCCTTTTTTTTTTTTTTTCTCCATGCTATCACTTGCTGGAAAAAGAAATCATACGCTCTATGAATCAGCCACATGGGTAATATCTGCACATGACGATGCTTGTTGCCAAGTATGGCAGTATTCATAACATAACCGTAATATGAGATAATAGACATGAATTCATGTTCAGCAGATGAGCTTCTTGTTTTTCTGTAGCCAGACACCATAGAAACAGGTGGATTTGTGTTGTTAACCATAATGAGGCGGACTCTTGACTTTCCCTCATTTACCTGATAGGTGTTTGATATTCTGATCACAGCAGCTCCAGCTGGGTGTTCAGCCAGGAAACATGACCTCTGAAATAGGAGCAGCAGATAAAGTCCTGGTGTCCTCGTGGGACATGACACGATACGACCTGTTCTTGTCATTTGAGTCTGTTCTCATTTGTGCTCTGCAGTATAAACCGCTGCACAGCCTAATTTTTACGTTGCAATGGGAAATGAGCTCAAAACTGCTGTTTTGCATAAACCTTGCATGAAGCTTGCCTTGGCCATGTACGGTATACTATTTCATCAGTCAAACTGGCTCTGTGATTCAGCATCTGGGTTTGACGAGAGCACTGAAAACAGACAAATGGTGTTCTTGCTGCAGAGCAGACACAAAGAGAGCCAGGATAATGAAGGTCATGGGCACAGGAGCCTCTGAGAGCCCGTCTGAAAGAGAACTGAGGCAGCAGTATTACTCAACCCTGGAGAGAGATGCTGATGCCTCCTGCTTGTTAAACCTCATCAGTATCTCTGTGTATGTTGCTGTTATCTATCCTCAGTTAGGCATGTTTGGCATGATCTGATCATTACCATCATCATGTTTCAGGGGACCTGGAGGCAAGACGGTGCTCATTTCTTCGACTAACGGGGACAGGAGGGAGTCAAAAGAGTGAGGGTGTCATCCTTCCAGTTCCTTTTTCAGCTGTATTGAAAAAAAGAAATCGAAAACAAGTCTTGATATTCAGTCTTTATCTATAAAAACAACAACACTGCATCTGTCTTTATTACATCACTTCTTATTGGTTTTTAACTCAGCTCCTGCTCTTGTGACATACAGCTGTATCGTCACATAAATATACCAGAGAAACATTGAAACCACAATACACAACACACTGTTGAGACTGTTTTACAATAATGCACTGACAGTGATTGTTCTTAATGTATAAGAAGTTGAATTTCAAGTCTTTAACCAAGAGGAAACCCTTAATTGCACTGTGAACTTCCCCACACGACATCCACCAAATGAAGTGAGAAAGTCCTCGTAAATTTGTTCAGCCCACCAAAGACCAAAGTAAAGTATTGAGTCCCATTAAGAGTCGGTCTCTCTGCACTTTAATCTCCAAAAATGTCTCAGCTTAACTCAAAGCTAAGAGGATATTCAACACTGATCCTCATTTGTGTTTGGACCTGCTGGCCAGAGCCTGCAGGTTAGCCGGACCGCCCCAAACTGTCCCAAACACATCCTTCTCAGTCCTCAGAGCCTCAGACAGAGGGAGCTCTCTGCCCGACAACACCACCTTCTTCACAGCCCGGATCACTGGTGCAGGTCCTTTTGTAAAACGACTGAGCCAGTTTTCCGCCTGCTGCTGGAGGCTCCCTGCACCCTCCTCCACCTGGGGGGCCTCCAAGAGCCCATCTGCCAGTCCTATCTGCAGGCCGAGTTCTGGTTCCACTTTCAGGGCACCACTAAGCAGCTTCAGAGCCTGACAGCTTCCAACAATGTGGACAAGTCGAGCAGCACCGCCCCAGCCTGGGACCAGACCCATGTGCTTGTGGACAAACTGAATCACGCAGCCTGGTGCCACTAACCTTTGAGAGAGGGGAAGAAAAGTGAAATTACAAGTGAAATTTTGGTTACATCTGTTTTGTGAACCGCAATAGTATGAAAATCTTACCTAAAATCACAAGCAGTGAGGAGCTCAGCACCCCCTCCCAGAGCCCTCCCCTCCACCAAGGCTACTGAGATCAGAGGCAGCCTGCACTAAGAAAAATACTTTGTCACCAAACTTGGTACACATTAAATCTTAACTCAAACGTTTATAAGTTTAGGCTCTGGCTATAAAGAGAAAAAAAGGAGCTCATTACCGAAGTAGTCTTGTTAGAGTATTCTGCATGAACATACACATCTTCATCCCATCCTAGAAGCAAAAGAAACATTTCAGAGTTCTCTGGGTAAGTGCTCATCTCAAAGACCGAGGCAAAAACAAGCATTTAAAAGTTAAAGGGAAGCTTGTAGTTTCTTTGCTTCGTTACCTGTGGGTTTGAAATCGCTCTGACAGCATTGAGGTCTGATCCAGAGCAGAAAGTCCCTGCAGCACCTTGAACAATGAGGCCTTTACCGTCTGTCCAGCTCTCCAGCTGGCTCACCCTCTCCTCCAGATCGACCATCATACTGCCTATGGGGACAGAAACAGACAAAGAAGAGCTAACAACTAGTACTTTCTATGCTGGTTATGTGCATATGTTTTATTCTGAGAATACAAAGTATGCACTCGTCTCTGTCGGAATAAATACTCCTGTAAACACTTAGTGACCTCACCAGAGAAAGCGTTCATGCGGGAGGGGTTGTTGATGGTCAGCACGGCGACACCTGACTCCTGTTTGAGCAGATCGATGGAGCCTCCGGGAAAGGCCTGCAGCTTCTCTTTTATCTCCTCCTGGTTGAAGCCATGGATGCTGGAGTACACACAGCCTCTGCTCTGTCTCTGCAGCAACCTTAGAGGAACAACTTTTATCAAAAACCAGTCACTTCATGGCAGTCACCGTCTATCTAATCTAACTACTGTAACATTTCAGGTATCACTATTTGATATACTCTTGCCTTTTTAAATCAGATGTTTGCTGTAAGATTAAAGATGAATTGATTTTTACAACACTACATTTGAATTTGCAAGATTTGAGTGGGAATAAATGGCAAGGTTAAGTTCCTTATAGAAATCTTTTTTTTTTTCAGACATTCAGATTTTAAGTCATGTCATCTACGAAGTTATTTCTTCTTGTGATATGCACATCTTAATGCATGCATAAGCACCGAAGGAATGCATTTGTATCTTTGAGACTTGTGCTTGTGGGTGTATTTGTGAAAAAAACACTGTGGGTCGCCCTACTGCTGATGCTTGGAGTCTTCATTTTTCTCACTGTATTAACTGTCACCAACATGGTGATAAAATATGTTTTTTTGTGTGTGTTACCTGGTCCAGGCTGCACAGCCGCTGCTGCTGCTCAGGAGCTGCTGCCTCACAGCACAAAGTACCATCCTACGCAGTGAAGGGAAAATAAAAATAGAATTAAAGTTAGCCACACTGCAATAATAAAAGAGGAATTAAGCAAATGTGAAGAAGAAGAATCCCCAAAGGTAATTTCAATTGTCTGTTGTCTCGCATAATATGTCTCTAAAAGTTATCTATTATTTACACAAGAGAGAACACTGTAGACACCACAGACTGATAAAACATCTGCAGCGTCTTACTACAGACGTCTATTGATCAGAGTCTTCTCAGGCAAAAGAGGCGGCTCTGCCCCTTTCTGTAGATGAAGTCTATATTATTAGACCAGTCCAAATTATTATCCAGATGTACACCTAGGTATTTATGATGTCACCTGAGAGCAAAGCCGAAGTCAGGGAGCACTGACTGACACACAGACACACACACACACTGCAAACACCTTTGAGTCATGGCTTTAAAATAATGCCTGCTAAGTATACACATGATGTTTATACTATCTTTAAAGCAGGCAACAAAGTTGTTCGAAATGTGATGCTTAAATAGGGCCCAGCCTAACACGGCACAGCAGTAGACATTTCACAGACACTATATATTGTCATACTCCTTTGTCATATTGGAGTTTCCCATAACAGTGTGATAATAGGCTTAAACTAATATTAACTGGCCCAATAAGCTAACCTTATAGCTGAGGCTGTAAAGCTGCTTGAAAGAAGAGTTCACATGTAAAAGTTTAGCATATCGTGTTGTTAAACGCTGCATTTACTGTAGACAGAAATAACTTCTGAATCATATTTAGCATGCGCGTCTGTGGCTTTAGGAAAAACTGAAGTTTTAAGTGGTTTCACAAACTGTTGTTTTGTAGTAAACTTAATTCCTGAAATTCAAGGACTGAATGTCTTACAAGGTTTCAACGCCCCTCTGTAACTCCTGAACTTAAGCAAAGGTTGTAAAAAGAGCAATAGATGAACTAATGTAGTTAAAATGTGTCTTCCCTCCCCCGTGTATAAATGACAAGCTATCACAAAATGTAAGCACTAACCTTGTTTATTAACTGTCCCGTTGTGTTACGTTGAAATCGTTCCCCGGAAACATTAGCTCTCTGTAAGGCAACTCAACGTGATTTACCGTTTTCTCCACAGGGGGGCGGAATAACACCATCCCCAATATTAGTACAAACTGGGAGGATTGCTTATTCGTACCACCACCTCCAGTATTAATCCTTACAATGCAAAATAGTGCAGGACTGCAATATAGTGCCAGGCCTGTAATATGCCACAATGCAATTCAGAGTATAAAGGTGTGCATGCTGAGTCGAGTTCAACATGAATTCTACTAAAATGCATTACTGGAGGGTGCTCTGCTTAGAGGGCTCTGCTCTTTGTCTGTCACTACTCTGTAAACACAGCAAACAGATGAACTGGCCCTACAGTCATGTCCATATTCAGTAGCAATGATGGAGTGCTTTAAATAACATCTGCAGCTCATGGTGCAGCACTGGCACAGGAAAAGGACACTAAACCTATATCAACATGACCTATATATTTTCACAACAAGTCTCTGTCGATTGGAGAAACAGCAAACATACACGTTCTGTTTTGTTCAAGCCTGACCTTGACTGACACCAGTTTGCTGGCTGATTATTAAAATTCAATACCACAATGGATGCCTCCAAGTTTAACACTGTGTCAGCATCTTGTCAAACAAAAGCCTGCTTGGAGATTTAGTTTCAACCATGGCCAAGCTTAACTACCAACATGTTTACATTTTCAAATGTCACTGAAAACTATTTTATATTGGGAAATGATTAAAGACAAGAGTGATGAAAATCCTTGCAGCACTTGTCTGATTTATGGTCGTGTTCAGCTCCTCTCGGAAACATGAAATATCATACCAAGGGACTAGCCTCCTCCTGAAGGGTAGTAAAATGTGTGAATTGCTTCACAGTACTGCGAAAACACAAGCACACATAAACTGACAGACTGGAAGGTGCATTTCCAAAATAATTTGACATCTGTTGTTAATCTAAGTATGTCCATGTGTAAACACTGAGGTTTCTACATTTGAAGCATGTGGCAGTGCGAGGTGGAAGATTAGATAGAAGACAAATGTTACATTAGCTGTTTAAGAGCAGGAAACAAGGATGGTCAGACAGTGAGACGATCAGGCATGAACAAACAAAAACTAGTACACAATTTAAAGAGAAGATGTGCAGGAAAAGGCGGAAAATTTGCCAAAACAGAAATAAACTGAGACTCCTCTGGTCCTGTGGTTTGATCTAGGGCTGCTTTCTGTTTTAGTCAGGTCAGAGATGGGTTGAAAATGAAAAGTTACGCTGTTATCCTGCTGTGACACATAGTCTCTACATTGAAGATCACTGGGGTACAGCTCTCAGTCTTTTTAGTGCCACTGCATCTGATCATGTGTTATCTATGTTTAACTAACTTACTAAAAAGGTGTCTTTGTGGATCGACATTTCTTCATAACTGCTGTACACATGTAAAATGTCATTGACAGGGATACAGCTCAGTGCATCCAGGACTGCAATAGATTCTTCTAAGTTTAAAAGTCCACACCTCTCCGGTCTATTTAAAAGAGGGGAAGGAATTTAAAAAGGTCGGTGGGACTCTTCCCAGGCACACATTCCAGACACGCTGACTCTCCTCTTGCTGTGTACAGTATATTCAGCTGGGTCAGCCTGCCTGAAACCTGTCTCTGAATATCACCCTGTGAAGTGCTGCACCTGGAGGGGAGGGGTGGGGGCACGGAGGCTTAAAGGAGTTTGCATATAGAAGTCATCTACAAGTGTTTAATAATATTTCTCTTTGTAAGCGAAGGATGGGTATGCTGCTCATCCTGAGTGTGTTAAGTAATTGATTCTGATCAATCGTTGCATGGCAACAGGTCATAACAGTGGTTGGATATTTCCTGACAGTAGACCTTTGCTATTAAGAGTCTCATTTGTGTCTCTATTTGTGAACAAATTAATGCGCAAAAGGGTGTTCCGTCAATTTGATGTTGTTTTTAATAAGGATGAAAACCACCAAAGTGAGATAAAGACGATTGACAGAGTCGGAGAGAATGGAGAGACAAACGCTGGTGGGGACAAAAGAGAAAGGAGTAAGAGCATGACACAAGCCTGAATACTTAGGACATGATATTGGATACAGAAGCAAACAAACGGGAAAAAAAATGTCAACAGACAGACAGACAGAGTTTTAGCTGCATCCATACTAACATTTAGCACTAGCCCTTTTAAAATAAGCTAGTTTAGCTGTTATTACTCTTATTTAATGAAGTATTTTCACTGATAGTAAAATAAGCAGGTGAACAGAAACATATAAATCAGTATTTAATGCTTCTTAATAATTTTTTGTATCTATCACTAAGAGCAAAGGACAATTTCCAAGGACAAATATGATCTTTTTGAATCAATAAAATAATTAGATGTAAATCTATATGTTTTTGTTCAGTTGAGTGTATCATTGTGTGTCATCACGCTGTGTCAATGGCAAAGCCTCGCATGGAAGGAAAGCTGAATAAGGACACATCCACATAAATGTTGCCACAGTTCCCTTTGTCTGATGTTTTCTTCAGTGAAAATGTACTGTCCAGTGTAAATCATAATGAAGAAACTGGCCAAAGCAGCAACTTTCTGACTGTACATCATCCCTTATGTGGACCCTCTGCTTCTCGTTTTAGGTACTTGATTCTGATTGGTCATTACACGGCAACGAATAATAGCAGCAGTAAAGTATTTCTTTTTCCTCAGCTTTCTTACATGAGTTACTTAGACTGCTAGGCCATCAGCGCTCCGAGCAGTCAGGTATTTCTTGATAGCAGACTCTTGCTGTAAAGAATAGACCACAACACGATCATGATTCATTGAATGTACGGTGATCCTTACAGATAAGCTTTTAGTTCATGACAGTCTGTCCCCCTTCATTCATCTTCTGCTCGGTTCATTCAGTCATCTTGATTACAGTCTGTCCTGCAGTTGAATAATCGGTCTGGATGTCAATGAAGCAGCCACAGACTCCAGCTCATAACGGAAGCGTGTCTGAAATTACAACCTGCCTAATGAGGAGAGAGAGAAAAAGTGAAATGCAGAAACACACTTCATACTTTTGTCTATGCTTGTGCACAAATGAAGTTGTGCGAGTGTGTGCCTGTGTGTGTTTCAGCGTGGACTGCATGTGGTCTCTTAAGTGATGCATCAGTGCGCTAATCGATCTGCAGCTGTCTGGGGCTCTACAGGAAGTCAGGGAATGTGCTGCTGTCAGCATGGCTCTATACCAGCTTACCAAGATAAGAAAACACACACGTGCACATACACATACAAATGCACACACGTGCACAAGCACAAATCAGATAAGTGCCAGTCAGGGTCTATTTCAGGGCAGAAAGAATGGCAGGTTGGCAGGTGCCAGAGGCTCTCAGGGGCCTGGAGGTTTCCTGTGAGGAGTATGTGGAGGTCAGTAGAGCTGCAGGGCAGAGAGCCAGGAGACACTAGAGAGACAGGGAACACTTAAACAGCAGCAGCAACTCAGCTGTGACAGCTGCAAGTCAAAATGTCATTGAAACCATACAAAGCACCTGTTTCCTGTCATTGTACATTTAAAAACATAAACTTGAAAGAAAAAGGTGCATAGACATGGATACAGTGTGCATGTTGTCCCTCAAACTTGCTCTGACCTGACCCTGGTTAAAGTGCTTCCCGTTTTTTTCTCCTCCCTGATTGTGGTCTAAGCTGCTGGGTGATCCTCATGCTTTCACCCCAAGTGGTCAATGCAGTGGACGGCTATTCAAAAGCTTTTGCACAACTATAATGGATGGGTTGGTTGCTCATTGGCAACTTGAGTGGACATCAGCCAGTTATCACATACACTGTCACCCTCTGACCACTTCTTGTAAGTGAACCAGGCATTTCTCAAAATCAAGATGGCTAAAAGAAGGTCAGATAAACTCAATACAATAGTTAATATTCCAAAGTATCGATTTCATGATGGGGAAAAGCCACCTGTCTACTTCACTGGACTTGATGTATTTTGGCTTCACTCAATCAACTGCTGCTCTTAAAATACTTGATGTGGAGCAATATCATTTCTGTTAATCAATGTATTAATATTACAGCTTGTTCAATTCATCTCACATAATTGAACACCTGCATACACAGATGAGGACAGAAAAAAGAAATCCCATTACTGTGTTTTCGTAAGATATAAGCCACCGTCTAGATGAAGCAGCTGTTTATCTTGATGACAGTGGTTTTATTCTGTTTTTGTGCCACATCATACGGATTGTTCCACAGATTTTTTCAAGTGACGTTGTGCAATAGGCAGCACTGGAATCAAAACATCTAGTACTTGTTATATAATGGATTAAGCATCTGGAAACTCCAGACTTGAGCACAGGCCAGTCCTGGGAACTTCGACACAGGAAAACAGACTGAGGCTGCCAAAGCAGTGCTGGCCTAGACATCAGGGAAGGATGACAATATTTATATTTATATCAGTGCAGGGGTAGGATTTCTGGCACCATAACATTGTCGCACCTGCTATTTCAGTCAGCCCAAGGTGCCTGGTTTCAGGGTGAGGGGCCAGGGCCACGGGTGTGTACGCCTCTGTGTGTATGTTTATGTAAGTGAATGGGCAGAAGTGTGTATGCGTGTGGAAAGGTGCAAACTGATCATGTACTTGGCTGGGCTGTAAACATCTATAAAAAAAATTGATACTTTATACATGCAAGACGGACAACATAGAAGTTCTGCTCATTGCAAATTTAGATCCAAACATTTACAAAGGAGTAAGCACAAAGTGTGCACATGATATATACATGAATACAGCAGGAAGAAGCACAGAGACACACTCACCCCATTAGAGTAATGGATGGTTCCCCTGCTGCAGTCATCACGCTGATGAAGAGATCACAGTGTCACCACAGATGTCAGTCAACAAGACTGAAGGAGTGAGCAGTAATTTGGTTTTAGTACTTCATCTTAAACAGTCACAAAAATATTTCTGTGCAGTGTTGGATCAATTCTCTGAACTTATTGCTCCTGCTGCAAGCAAAGGATCAGAGATCAGTCTGAGCAAGTATTTAGTCTGTAATGTGAAGAGAAATAACAGAGAGGATAAATAACATCAAAGGATTGTTGGGGTACAAAATAGCAGCACTTTAAGATCAAGCTCTTAAGATTTTTTTGTGGGTCTTTTGGTTCCACTGTACACTACACCCCCTTGAGAGATGAATGTTGCCGACTGCTTGCTTCTCTGGTTAGTTCTAGTTCAGCAATGACTGCACGATAGCAAGTCGGCATCTCCATGCGCAAACCTCAACCAAAAAGCCACTCTATAGGCACAAATAATGCTCAGAACAGCACTTAACTTCATCAACAGTACAAATAGGGTCCCAGCCATAGTATTAGCCATCAAACATCTTTTTAACTTTGCCTGATTTCTTTAGCAAAGAGACCAAACACAACTCACCCGCTCTCCTCCAGCAGCTGCTTGTTGTAGGGGAGCCCTGACAAGTCAATCAGCGAGTGCAGCAGATCATTTCAATGAAGTAATAATCATCATAATCATCATTTTTCACAGCAGATGCGATAGTTCTTCAGCCTTAGCGTATCAGTCTGATTGCATTTCCATGAAGTAATAATCATAAATGTTCTTCCTTGAGCTGCGAAACTCTGCTGCACTCGGTGATCGACTCATCAGGGCTCCCCCACAAACAAGCGGCTGCTGGAAGAGAGTGGGTAAGTTGTGTTTAGTCTCTTTGCTAAAGAAATCAGGGAAAGCTAAAAAGATGTTTGATGGCTAGTACTATGCCTGGGACCCTATATGTACTGTTGATGAAGTTAGGTGCTGTTCTGAGCATTATTTGTGGCTATAGAGTGGCTTTTTGGTTGAGGTTTGCACATTGAGACGTAGACCGCTGTGTATTGTTATCCTGTGGTCATTACTAAAGTTGGTATAACTATAGAAGCAAGCAGTCGGCAACATTCATCCCTCAAGTAGGTGTCAAACTCGTTGTCACAGTGTGTTTGACCATAACTAAAATTTATACCGGAATATCCCTTTAAGAGTGTAATCTTTTAATAAACAAGTCAATCAAAATAATTCGGTCCTTTTGTTTATTACACAAAAAGAACAGCAAAGGCATCACCTTCATTATGATGATTAAACACTTTGACCAAAAAAACTGAACCACTCGGCTGAGTAATGTCCTGATATGTGACCATTCATAATTAGTAAAGGTAGAAAAAAGGCTCTCTCTTTTTTGTCTTATGTGGCTAAACATTAGTTTTGTTACACTGAAAGCAAAGTTTCATGAAAGATGCTCGACATACATTTAAAAAAAAATAATGCCATTAAAAACAATGGATGTAATTTTTAAATCAGGAAAATGGATATAAAGAAACCAGCCTTTGGTACAAAGTTATAAAAAAGGAACTCACATTCACATTTTTGCATTAATGTAGTCATGAAACTCCTAAAGCAAAATGCATTAGTCACAGGTACAGTGTAGGCATGTACTGAAGGTTATATTCAAGAAGGCAGAGAACCAACACTGCTTCGCTTAGCACACTGAGATGAACTCTATCTCAAAGTCCATCATGATGCTGCATATTGTGGATGTCGTATCATTTTGTGGAAAATAAAGCACACAAAACAAGTTGCACACGAAATACAAAATACAGTACATATTAAATACATCATTCTGCATTCAATTTGACTGGAAGTTTTTCAGACTGTTTCAATGTGAGCTAGTGTAGAGAGCAGAGGGAGTACGGTAGTGGTGTATAACTTGTTGGTAGATCTGCAAGGCTACAAGAGTCAAGGCTAGAATCCAGTCCTGAGCTAAGGATGTTCATTGGGATGGTTGGCATGAATGAATGAAGCGTAGGAGCTCACTGCCGAACAGTTGAAGCTGCTTTTCTTGCCTTCCTTGGTCACTTTGGCTCCTTTGGATACCACATAGGTACATTTTGAAGATGAGGCGCTACTCAAAACCAAAGCACCTCTGCAGCTGTTTGAGGAGCGGGAGAGCAGTCTGGTTCGATATGTACATCAGTGATGATAAGAAAATGTTTGGAGGTTATCACTCAAGGCTTCTCGTTGGTACAGTAAGATGGAGGTCAGATGATGACAGTCTCTATGTGAAAGGCATGTGAGTAAGTGAAGGAGGAAGTGCTTTTCTCAACAGGGAAGGATGGAGGCACAACAGGGGTACTAGAGGGAGAGGAAGAGGCAGAGGAAGAGGTCGGGGAGCGGCTGGCCCATCGGGAGGGGAGGCGTCTGTTGGCTGGACGGGCTGGCCTTAAGAAGTTCTTCTGCATGGACGAAGAGGAGACAGAGGACTGGTTATCCTCCTGTGGAGAAACAAGTGAATTAACATTTAGGATGATCACACCGTTCTATCTACAACCAAAGTCACACACTCAGATACTTTACATTTTGTCAAGTGTTCCATCTGTGGTCTTCTTGACCCTGGGGGAAACAACAGGGATGCTAATAAATTCAGGATGCTCATGTGGAAAAGTCACAAAAGTAGATTCAACTCCATTTGGTCAAGAGAAAAGCATCTGGACCAAAGTACTTCACACATGCTGCACTTCGGATACGCTTTAGCCAGACTCCACAATCTGTAGCATTTCATTTAGGACAGTTTTCTTTGGTAAAGCAGAAACTTGAGTCGTGCTCTGATTGCACTCTTTTCGTGAGGTCAGATGAAATTGGTTCTCTAATTGCCCACGCAATTTCTTTAACATTTGCATGACTTTAAAGGCTGCATAATCACTCCACATTTCTCTGCCAAGGGCATGAAGTCAGCTGGCTCCTTGCAGATACTTCTGTAATTACAACACAAAAAGCCAGAGACACTTCCACTATGAGGCCCTGTGGAAGGACGGAAAGATGAAAGGCAGTCTGATGAGGGTGATCGACCTCCTGCCAAATTTAAACATTATACACCACACAACCAATTCCCTTTGTCAGGAGCCTTTAAGCAGTGGAGTGGCCCAGATGCCCAGATTATAATGGAAGCTTTGGCCTGCTTCTGTCTCTTCGCACATACCAGAAATAAACAACATTCCCACCGGAGCTGTCCTCAGTCAAGGGCATTCGCTTAGTCTTTCAGAATGGAATTAACAGGAATGAAATCTGCAAGTTCATCCAGAGCCACTGGTGTAATAGCTCATCAAAACATAGCTGACTTATTTATTTTATTCTAAACAAAACGTGAAGAGTATTTTTTGTTCAAGGGGACTGCCTTTAAATGTTAACGCTGAAGGAAAGACAGGTGCTGATGTCTGAAAAAGTGAACATATCAGACTCCACTCACCTGCACACTTAGATGGATCTCTTTCACACCCTTGGTAGTGGGGCTGCTGAGTCTTGCATGTGTGGTGTGTATCTTAGAGGTGTGTGAAGTGTGTGTGTGTTTCAAGGTGGGGGGTAAGGGCAGTGGGTCCATGTCCAGCATGTCCAGTTCTGTGACTTTATCCTCCTGCCCGACACTGATGTTCGGACTTACTGACTTCCCGTCCTGCTGGCTCTGGTTCTGTTTTTCTCGTGCAGCACTCTCATAACTCTTAAGAATCCTTTCCACTGCCCCATAGTTGGACCTGGATCCCTCAGGGCGTGGGTATGCAGCCAGAGTGAGGGGCTTCCAGGGATGCTCATTCATCATTCGTGGTCCGGATCTGGTTGACTCATACTGGTTAGCAGGGGCAGAGACATACTTTGGCTGCGTCTGGTGCCCAGGCTCTGTCATCTGTCTTTGTTTGTTCTCAGCAGACAGCTGCTGGAGTGATCCACCGACTCTGGCTGGCTGAGGCTTCTGTCCACAGAGATTCTCTCTCTTGGAGCTGGAAGCGTCCACATCCTGACCTGGCTGAGTGTTTGCAGGCTCTGAAAAGGGAGCCTGTGTGGCTGCTCTGTGTTGTGTTTTCCTGGAAGGACTGCTTGCTGTCCGGACTTTGCGCTTGACTTCATTGTGGAGAGCGGGACTCTCAGGAGTTGTTGTTGTGGCTGCCTCCCTCGGTCCCATTTGTGGCCGTTGAGATGAAAAGTCAGAGGGGATTTCCTGCTTTGTACTGACCTCCTCACCCTCAAGACTACACCTCTTTTGCCTGATTTGAAATTCTGGACTCTGGATCTTAGAGTCGGAGGTGATGACGCTGGTGGTTACGTCATCACAGTGTTGCTGAAATGTTGCGTCCCTGGGAGGTAAAACATCATGTGACACACTAGTTGCTAGAAAGACCGGCGTGTATCCTGCAGAGCAGACATCTGTTACACCAAAGCTGTCTTGTTCCTCTGCAGCACGGCCCATCTCTGCCTGAAACAAAGTTCTGTTGAACTCAGCGGTTTTTTGTTCCAGCATTATGTTTCTTTTTGAGCCAAACTGGTTAAGGCTGGCGGGGGATAACTCCAAAGAGGACAAGAGCAGATCTACAGGTAAATCTTTCACAACCGGGGGCATTTGGAGCTCTTTTAAGTTCCTGACACCAGGGCTGTAATCTGAGCGCAAACCCTTCCCTGCAGTCAATATGCTGACTTCAGAGAAGCTTTTCTGCACGGTCCCATATGCAGACAGCTTGCTGCTGGTGAACTTGCTTGCATCACATGACCAGCGGTTGTGGCAGCAGCCCAGGTTACAGTTCGAGTTAGCAGGTACAGCGCAGGAGGCCACCGCCCCGTCTATCAAAACTTTTCCTTCATTTTCCTGCAGCATGGCCTCAAATTTCCTCACAATAGACGGGCTGCTGCACTTTCTGTCCACCAAAACACAGGGGCTGTGGCATCTCCTTGCTGTTGTCATGGGGGAATCTGGGATATGAAGTTCTGTGTCAAGATGGATGGGAGTATTCAGATTCCTGGAGGAGACACGAGGAGGGACGGGTGGAGCTGCTGTATCAGTATCAGAGAGTTCTCCGGGGCTTGTCTGGGTGTCTCTGTAGCTGTCTGGATCAGGTGTGTCCTCCCCCCAGGATTTATTCAACCCTCTGTTAGCCTTCCAGGTGTTATCCGGTATCAAGGTGATCCAGTTTTCTCTCTCCAGTGCTCGAAGGTCATCATAAATCTGGCCGAGGTTGCAGGGAGCTTCATCCACCACCAGTCTGGCATTATCACGACTGCACAGCTTCTCTCCCTCCTCAGGTAGACACAAGGATCCAGATCGGCTCCTGGAGGAAATTCAGCAGCAAAGTTCATGAACCTTTTTAGTACCATTTTATCACAAACAGAAACAGTTCCTCAGGTTATTAGATTTACAGATGTACGATTTATTATTCACTAACAAATGTAAACATGGCTCTGGTGATATTAACAATACGTGCTTTTAGACATGACAGGTGGAGTGATTATCATAGTTCCCACTTGGCGCCAAGAAGTTAACAGAGCAAAAGGATTGATGCACCTCTTATCCCCACTCTTCTTTCTGATCTCATCCTGGTAGCTGCAAAGCTCTTCACTCACACGGGCTATCTCCTGCAGAGCCTAAAACACCGAGAGGAGGAGAGGGAGATATCACTTTAGTTCTGCAAAAATAAAACTGAGGCAGAAAAAAAAAAGGGATCATCTATTCTAAGAAACAGCAGAATGACAAATATGGGTATGCAGGACACGTCGCAAGAACGCTGAAGATCAAACAAAGTGTGTGTCATTGTCAGCGACACCGAAAGCAAAGTAAGAACTGACAACCAACACTTTGTCTACTCTGTATGAATATTTATAATTTAGAGAGAGGAGAAGTTTCTGAAATACTCACAGCGTTAAGAGCTGTGTTGTTCTTCTTCTTGTCGCTGCCATAACTCAGCTCTGCCCACAGAGGACCGTCTTGAGAACTCGCAAGAACTTTGTTTTCAGTACCTTTGGGGACATTTTTCTGTGGGACTCCACATCCAGAAGTTCTGTTATAGACAGCTTCCAGCTCTGATGTATCCACAGCTTCCTTGCTTTCAGTGACTGAGTCCTGCTGCCAAGTGCCTCTGGGTCTAAGCTCATCAGAAAACTCAGGATGTGACTTGCCGATCTGAGGGTACAGGCCACCGATGTGTAATTCACAGAGGCCGTCTGCTTGAAACACTGTCGAGTGCTCCATGTCTGAGCCAGTACAAGCACTGCTGTGACTTAAACCGGGTAAAGGCGAGTGTCTGATGGTCTCAGATTGACTGCTGCTGCTGAACGGCTCCGAGCGAGAGTTGTCACTGAGCAGACTGGAGCCTGTGCTGGTTGAACGTATGCTCAGCCGATGTGCAGCATTCATGTGGTCCTGCCTCCCGCTGATTAATCCAGTCCCCTCCCGTTTTGCTCTCACTTCACAGTACAGCTAGAAAAAGGAAACAAACAATGTGTACCAATTATTTAAATCAAAATATTCAAATTACTCTTCAGAGATTGTTATGACTGAAAGACAAATTAGACAAATGTTTCTGTTACCGTAAAACTATTTCATTCGAAACTTTTCCTATTTCTTTCCACATCCTGGCAGAAATAAATAAGCCACATCTTCTAAGGAATCTTGTAACTACAGTTGAAGAAGCTCTGTAAAAAGGCAGTCTAATGAATGAATCAGGTCTGGACAAAATAACTGGATGGCTCCTCTTCTTATACCTAAATTCTTACCTCTGTCTGTACATTTACTACAAATATGCTCAGTCTTTTAAACACCTCAGCTGGTGAGCCCATACAGGCAGATCTACTGAAGTCTTTAACCTTATGACCACTGTGTGAAAAGAAACACAGTGATCCCAAACCCACATTATCTCTTTACCTCTGGTACTGAAACTCAGTGCTTTCATTAAGGTAAAATGCAGGATTCAGAGTTGAAGGTTAGGAGTAGGGCTGCACAATTTTGACCCAAAATTAAATCCCTTTTTTTTTTTTTCTGAAAACTCGATTTTCGATTTCATTTTTTATTCAGTGACAACTTCGACAAACTTCACTTTAAAAATGAAAAGGTTTTCAATCATTTCTCCAAACGAAGCTACAGAAAATGATGTTTTACATATGCCAAGCCAGTGAGTGGTGCTGTAACGCTGGACAGGAAATGCACAAAAGCCAGAAAAAGAGTATAGCGCGTGTGTATAAAGGTTGTTTTGGCTGGACACGTGCAGGCTCCATAAAAGAGTTAGGCTGTGTGTGATATAATCGTTTTAGGAGAGATGCAGATAGGCATCCACACAGAGATGAAATGGTAGTCGTTTACAGATTTATGCACTCTCTGACCCATTTTCAAAAAGTAACATTTACAGTCACCTGAAACGCTGTGTCCGTGTGGATGAAACGCCGATACAACAAAACACTTTGCCGTTCACTCTGGAATTTGTTTCCCTGTGGACGGGTTGATACCGCCTTCAGACAGATTTTGCAGCGGGGGAGTAGTTTGCTCTTTGTCCGAAACTGCCAAGTCGTACTAATTCCACACGACCGACTTGCTCTTGCCCTATCTACATTTTTTTAACATCGTCATAATCAAATAACCCAATTAGGATTTAAAATCAAGTAATCATGCAGCCCTAGTTAGGAGGAGATCAAACCATGTTAAAAATGGAGGTGTTCAATGATCTTACTAACAATACTTCTCTGCATCTATTGCTCCTGTGTAATCATAAATTATCATGGCACACTCAAGAGTCAAACCAGGTGGCACAGCATCCCATCTTACAACACATTTAGACCACAGAGGATGAAAAACACTCAAAGAATTCTTTTCAATAAAACTGGATAACCTCTGGCCTCGCGCAATCTTAAAATAGGAACTATTTCATGTTGACAAGGCCCCTCTCAGATCATGTCTATATGACTACTGCTTGTCAGCCAGCTTGATTCCTCTGCTGTTTTCTTCTCATTTACTGCGTTTAACAGGACAAACCAGAGCTCTGCGTGCTTTTCTTAGCAGCTCTGGAGCCTTAAGGCTCTGAACAACTACATGTCTATGGTTTCCCTCACTAAAGACACTAATCTGCTCCTTTGGGCATGTCAGCATTTGACTTCAGCTTTGTCACCACCCATGCTAAACTGTTTCATTCTTAACTTTGTACTCTCTCTAGGACCTGCTTTTCTCTCTCTCTTTGATTGCATCCCTTTTTTATCCATATATAATTTCACAGACACTTAGGATCACATAACATCACCTTTATAGCATGACAACTGCAACTATAACTTTATAATCTTCTCAATACTTGGCTTATTCATTGATAAATTTTTGCTTTTCCAAAGCTTTACTCTTATGTTTATTCAATTTCTTCTCAGGGCTGAATAGACACAAAAATGGTCATTTGTAAGAGGTATTGCTTTAATTGTTAATGTGGGTTGCCAGATTCTCTGTCTGAGTCAATCACTGCCTTTGTAGAAGGATCAGAAGAGCTACAGAACCACTCCTTCCTTTGCTGGCTCTCTGCAGCTGTACTGATCAGTGATCATGTTTTACCAGGGTTGATGCTGAACAGGATGTGTAGGAGGGAGATATTACACACTACAGGGTAAGGAGAGCTTGGGAAGCCATTTATCATACATTAAGAAATGTAGGGATGTGCTGTTACAAACTTTTAAGGGTCTTTGTTTTCTTGAGTTCTTAAGCTTATTAAAAATCAGTCTCGACCAAAAGCAAATGTACCAAACCTCAATACATGCAGTTTTATTTTCCCAAAGACATACATGCAGAACATTTACCTCTTCTATTTTCCTCTGCATGTCCTTCAGCTGGCTCTCCCACTCTCTCCTCTCTACATCAAATCTTTCCAGCAGCTCTGCTTTCTCTCTCGACCAGTCTCTCTCATTGTGCTCCAGGCGACAGCGCAGGTCCATTGCTGTTGAGTGTGTGTCCGCCAGGAGCCTTCGCTGCTCCTCCCTCTCCCGGCGAAGCGTTGGGGTCTCACCGTGCTGTTCTCGAACACTCCGTGCCGCCGCAGATCCAGGACCCGCTGCTGCCTGGACCCCTCCGCTGACCAAACCAACACCCTCTCTAGCCTCCAACTGAAGAGAGAGAAACAGACAGGGAGTGTAGAGGGCACAGAGGAGGAGAGAAAGGGGAGCAGGGAAATGGAACGGGAAGGAGTGGGAGAGACAGAAGAGAAAACAGTCAGCTGTGATGCAAGATATATTGTCCAAAAGCCAGATGACAATAGGAGCAAATCAGGAGTGGGAGAAACGGTTAAAAGAGGAATTGAGAGAATGAGGGAGTGGCAGGAAGAGAAGTTGAGGAAAGTGGGAGAATAATGCACCACGGGGGACAAGTGTGAGTGGGTTCATATTCTGGAAGAGGGAGAAAGCAGACAAGGCTGAGAGATGAAATATCCTGTAAGGACTGACACCAGGTTCACAGGTTCAGGGTTCAAGCTTCTTTCCTATAGAACCTCATTAACACAGGATACAGACCAGGAAATGGCAGGTTAACACACAGCACAATGAGTCTGCAGAGGATACAAGAACCTGAAGTCCACAGTCTGGACCAGAGCAAGACTGTTTGAAAACAGATAGATACAAGGGTATCTCAACGCAAACAGGACAAACTTCCAACCCTTTCCAACACTGACCCCACAAAGAGCCAGCGCTGTTTGGTTTAATTGGCTGTTTGGACAATTTGAAGGGGAATGTTACTGTGTGCCCATACTCGTGGCCTTTTTACTTGAAAAACCCTGGGAAATACCCTTGAAAATTCAGTGTCTGAGCCAAAAACCTTAGCCGAAAACATGTTTTCATTTAACAGGGATGCCAAGAAATGATGCAAAACAATGCCCCACTTTAGGTTGAACAAGACAGGGTTCACTTGAAGGGTCTGAAATATTAGATTTAAACTTTAGTCATTTATAGTGTTGAAGATTTAGGGCCTGTTTTTTCAGAGATCTGTACATTCTGTGGGGAAAATGTGCATATTTCTTCCCCTCTTTTGCTCGTAAACAAGAAAGAAAAGTTGGCTTTGGGGCTGGAAAGGGCCCAAGACAACGCCTGTGCATGTGCTTATATACTTGTGCCTTAGTGTGTACGTCTGTGTGTCTGTGTTGTCTGTGTTGTCTGTGTGTGTGTTGGAAAGAGGGAGAGAATGCATACAAGCATGCCTGTGTGTTATTTCAGTGTTCAGTCACAGACAGCGACCAAAGCCTTCTTACAAGCCCTGGTCATGGATCTATTTCTGCCTGTGGTCTGGGGTCATGAAATGATGGTTTAGAAAAAAAAACAAATCGACTCTTTTTGTCTGTCTGAGGCTTTTTCCCAGAGTTAACCACAATTACAGATGGATGATGATGGGTGCAGTCCACAGTCTTTTTAGACTTCTGAATGTAAACAAGCAGTGAAAGTGAATATAACAAAGGGTTGGGGTCAAAACAGAAGGATGGAGATCCTTTTTCAGAGACTGAGACAGTCGATGAAAAATCTTTTCAATCCAAAAGTCTGGCAGGACCAATCTTGCAAACGGGGTCATCATCTTTTTAGCCAGCAACAGGAACAACATAACAAATTTGTGCATGTAAATAGACACACTCAGTCAGAACTCAAAATCCAGCTTGAGTAGCGATATCCTTCCACCCTTGGACACCCTGTCTGTTGCAGTATGACACAGGGTATGCAAAGGTAACTGTGTCACCACGGTGACCCACTATAAATAGCGGACGCAGAGCCTTGTACAATGTCACATTCCTTGGGGAGATGGAGGAGATGGGGGGTGGGGTGAGGTAAAGGGAAGAAGGGGAATTGGCAGCTCAGGCACAGTGAGATCAGTGAGATGTCTCCTAGCTGCCAGCAGCTTTCATAAATCAGTGGCATGCAGAGAAATACGCCTAGAAATATCCGGCCTTAGACTTCTTCCTGGGACCTTGGATAACTGCTTGGTATTTGGTGGTAGGAGTGCCCAAGAAGGATGTGGAAACAACAGTAGTTCCATTCACAGCCATAGCTCACGGTGTGTAATTAAAATCACTGGAATAGAACAGGCATGCAACTGTTGATATGCTACAAATGTTATGATGCTTATACATCTCGCTGACCGTGATAACTACAAATCCCTGGTATGATAAGTACATGGTAATGTAAGGCTGGGCCTCACTGTTTGTAGCTTCAGATTGCAGTTCCTAACCAATAAAATATCTACTGCAGTGATGTCAACTAGCTTAAACAGCAGAAAAAAAGACATGACATTTGATGTATGGCACTTGATTTTAAAGCTATTGTGTAGTGTTCTATACAGTGAATATAACCGGACTCTTTGATAAGAATGAATGAAAGGTCATCTTTGCTTGATTTTAAATAACCTCAAAATTCCAATTCACTTGACCGAGGTTATTTAATGTCCTCCACTTATTCCATTTCCTGACATGAGGTTTGAATGAAACACTTGGCTGCTCAGATAATCCTCTACATTGTTCTGTCCTGCTCTCTCTTGTTGAACTGCTGCTGTCAAGTTCTTCCTACTGAGTGCAATACTTAACACACATTAGTTAGCAGTGGTTTATTGACAAGTTGATCATGGAGGACTGCAAGGAGGAGTTCAGCTGAGCTTTCCCTACACATCCGATATCAATTCTGCAACTGTTTTCAAATCAGCGCTCCTCATCTCACCGACGGCATGGCACAGGTGCAGAGAAAGTCAGGTCTACCACGCTGATGAGGCGTGCCCAAGCACCCTTTGGTATTTTGGTGAGCAGCGCAGTCCAGCGTAAGTATCCCCCCTCCCTAACCCAGCTCCTCCCAGCAGCGTAAGTAGCAGAGAGGGAGGGGATAAGGCATCGGGTGGGTTTAACACAGTTAAGTCCTGTTTTCACCCATCACATCAGCTCCTCTCCTCACCTTTAAATGCGCTACCGGCGAGGCGTATTACAATTTTCATGAAGTACCCAAAGACATCAAGAGATGTCTGAAGACAGCAATGCCACATGATGGCAACAGAAGGCAGCCCCTCAACAAGTGTCGCTCTAAGTGCTGCAGAGGGCGTCCTCCACACTCTCTCAAATAAGCACAGAGGGATTTGGTGTGTGTAATGTTGGACCCACCGGTAAGACAAACATCCGTTTCCACAAATAAGGACAATCACATCAAGTTGCAAATATTTAAACCCCACATGACAAAAGTGGGTTGTGCGCACAGATCACAACATAAACAAATGCCAATAATGGCATTAAAATCAAAATCACCTGTGCATAAAGGATGCATCACGCTCCGTGGCCTGGCTCTTTCTTTCACTAATGTTGGTATATAATTTGGTATGCGGTTTTAGTTGTGTCAATTCGGTCAGGTTGAGTGTCCAAATGCGTGCCAAATGTGCTCATAGTGCTCAATAAATCGATATATAGATCTAAATGTATGTGCTGACTCAGATAGTTGCACCTAAATATTAGTTGTTGTTGATTATTTATCACACTAAAATATGCCTGACACCGTGGAAACCTGTAGGTGAGGCCCCGGTGATGTATGCACACTATGCCACTAGTCTACCAAAATACCACTAGACCAGCTCCGCTTTGCCTGCGCTAAAAGCTGACCAGGTTTGAATCGGCAAGCTTTCAGCGCACTTTCCATGTCGCCGGCGGGCAAGAAAATGTCATTGCACCAGCTGATTCTGTCGATACCTCCCCCTACCGCGTCACCACGCCCAGCCTGGCGCACCTCGGTGTGCCTCAGCCTATGAAAATACCAAACTGACTGAGGGCCGGGCTCTGCCAGATGAAAATACTACTGCACAGAGTGCGCCACCCTCCGCTGCGCTGCTGGCGGGCACGAAAACAGAGCCTCTTATGCGGACTCCTGACTGTTTAATAGTTTGTGTAGATGAAAAAAACTTCCTGGTTATGGATTTATTAGTAACACAGAACAATCCGATGGTCAATCCCTGATCCATGTGGACCTCAACAGGACTATTAACTGCTGCCCACATCTGGATTGTGAACTAGAAATTTCTGATCATCAGGATAATCTCTGTCTTCTCTGTATGTAGCATTATATTTGGAATTCAAACCACAGAATACTAAAGCCGGACAATCAAAGTAGGTTTCAACAGTCTTGTTTATGATTAGATTAAATTACAGTTTATGGTCCACTGTCAGACCGAAATCAAGATATGGGTTGTTACACATTTGCTCCCAATGACTCAATAAAGGTTGTCAAAAGCCTACAAATATATCAATGTCAATTGATGACCCAACGGCAAAAATTTAGACTCAATTTGTTTTGAACCAAAGTTAAAAGCCCTAGATTAATCCTTTATAAATATGTAACCAAAGCTATAACTGTGGCAGGATGCGGTACCAAGACTAAGTTACTTTAAAAACAAAGCTAACTCCGCCTTGCATGGCCTAACTCTAAGTCACATTTCCTTTGGTATGTTGGTCTGTGTGATTTAATTAGAGATGCTGTCACTGAATGAGGTTACATGTTATATTCAAAACTACTGTACGCTTACTCCAAATGGTCCAGACGCACTTTGACAATAATCTACAGGACCAAAATGCAAAGACATCTCTCCTGACCAGGATCAACCTGATATGCCTGATTCTGCAGAATGGCGACGCCCCGAGACGTGATGAGTATCTCAAGAGGCGCTGACACAAAAGCCTCACACCAGCATCTTGGCATTAACATCAGTGTGTGTGTGTGTGTGTGTGTGTGTGTGCGGCATCATGTTAGAGCCTCCAGCAGTAGAGTAAGCCTCTTCCATTGCAAATCTCCTTGCAAACTGTGCTTTACAAACACAAAACAGAACAGTAAATGTCTGTTTTTATATGGCTCTCAGTCATCCACACTGGGAGAGGGCACAGAGCCAGCAGGACAAAGAAAAGAGCTACACAGTAAGGCAGTAGTGCCATCTACTCACACATTAAACCATCCATGTGTGTGTGATGTGGTAAAACCGTGTTACTACGTTGCATTCCCATGTCATTGTGTCATCAGCAGTTCTTTCCAAAAGCTCTGCAGTAACATAGCACCACCTTGTTAATTTTCAGCACCACATAATAGAATTTCTGTTCCTTTCTGCTCCACTTAAAGAATCATTTGTTTTTTTTTTCTTGAAACTGCAGGGCACAAACAAAGAGAGCTGTGTGATGGGTTAATGCATGACTAATCAGTTTAAAGTATGATAGGAATCATAAGTGGCTCAACTGGCAGACAGAGATAGTGGCGTCAAAACAGTGCAAAAAACAAAACACAGAGAAAATTCTGAGATATCAAACTTGCAGCTAAAGTCACAGTATCAAAAGCAAGTCCTCTCAGGTTTGAAGTCTACCGTACAAATCCATCTTCTGATCTAAGCAGGAAAAAATGTTAAATCCCCAGGGCTGCTTTGCTTTGAAGAACGTCCATTCATGGTCTTTTAAGTGAGCCGTGCAATGTCTGACACAGCATGGCACTGGTATGCAAACTTAACTCTTCACTTCGTACTATTTCAATAAACATGCTAACAGTAGCTATCTGTGGGTTAATATTTCATCTACCTTGAAATGGATGAAAAAAGCCAAGCTCATGTCTGTGTCTGGGTGTCTGGTTGAGCCATAGGGCTGAGCAGGGATAACTATGTTTGTCTCCTTGGTGCAAATCTTTTGTCTAAGCTGAAGGCTTAAGTTGGGTGGATGCCAGGGTGACTTATCACCCTGCCATGTGGGTGGCAAAAGTGATGAGCCTAATTTACAGCAAACTGGAGGCCAGGCACAGACATGAGGTATTAGATGTAAAATATAGATTTTAATAAAACATCCTTTAGGTGAAAGGTTTTGTATGCCGTCCTGTTAAACGACATAAGTCACTCTGGAAGTAAATCCCTGAAAAAAGCATGCACCTGCAAACACAAGCCCCCACACTCAGTACATATACAGCTGCATTTGAGGTACATACGTAGCTCACAAAAAAAAAATCACTGTATCTGATTTGTTCATTTGCAGATGCAATTGGGCACAGTCTAAATCCGCAAACCCCTCCCCACATCCTTGTTGTCATCCTTCCTTTGTTACCTGTGCAATCCTGCTTTTGAGCTCAGCCCTCTCCAGCTCCCAGGAACACCTATCTCTGGTGTACTGCAGCTGCAGATCGCTCCTCTTCTCCTCCTCTCTCTTCACCTCCACCTGTACTTCATCCAATACTGTCTTCAGGTCCAGCAGAATCCTCCTGTTTTCCCCTCCCTAAATGGGAATAAAATTGGCAGCAATCATAAAATGTGTCAAATGAACTTGCATATGTAAAGTTAAGGGATCATGCTTGCAGGATCTCAGTTTGAGAAACAAAAGTGGAAAATTTCAACAGATGTTTGCATTTTTTATAACGTTACGACTTTCTAAATACAACGTTAATCTGTCAGTACACACAGCATTCACACAGTATCCAGACAACCCACTGTACATTAACTCCACTCCACTATTTGTTGAGCAAAGTGCATGAAATGAGGACCTTTGAGGCACCAAAGGCTCACACAGAACCACGTTAAGCTTCTACACTGCAAACGCATCTTTTTAATTACTTGTAAGTCAGCTACTTCTCTCAACAATGACTCCTTCTCGCGCGTCCATTCCTCTTTATCCTGCACGTGCCGCTTCTTTAAATCCTCAATTTTCTTTTTGAGCCTCGTGAGCTGTGTTTGCTGTTGTTGCTGGGGTTCATGACCAGGCCACATTTGTCCTCCGAGGACCTCAAGCTGTGTCCCTGCACCACCTTCACCTCCAACACCCGGTGAAGCAGCGGTGAACTGAGGCTCGTAGATCTGACTGAAGACGGTGGGCGGAGAGGAGATCCTCCTCAGGGGGCTGCGGCTTTTCCTCCTGCCCCTATCGGCCCTATCTATCCTGGAGCACGGCACGAACTCCCATCCCTGAGATGGGACATAGCCCCCACCAGCACTGCTCCCGCCGTGCAGCCCTGAGCCGTTCACAAAAGCACTCCACATTCCTCCAGCACATTAAAATAAAACCGAAAAAAAAACAAAAAAAAAAAAAAACTTGAGAGCATTTAAAAGTAGCTTGTCATCGTTTTTATGTATTCTCTGCAAAACATGTGCAGAAACACTTTGATACTATTCAGCAATATGTCCCATATCCCAATAAAAGTGGACGTTTTCAAGTTTGTGACCGGTGGCAAAACAAATGCATCAACTATCCAAAGCCGGCCAGATCCACCGTTGGCAGCAAAGCGGCCACCTCCGCACAGGCGGCAGGGCTGAACGCGTTTGTCCCCCCCATGTCCCCAGACTCCAGGTCAAGCCGTCATTCTTGCGCCACAATCCTGATTTTATCTGTCAATAACCTCTACATTTCTGTTTTTCTTTCTACATCTTTACAGAGGTCTCAGTTCGCACTGTCTCTCCTCTCCTCCCAGCACTGAGTCGTTGTAGGCGACACTCCAGAGCTGGCAAAGACAGACACCCAGTAACCGCTCCGACACGAATGGGAGACGCTCCCAAAAATATCACAGAGTGCTCTGATGTAAGAGCAAGGCAGTATTTTTACCCCCTGTAACCAAGAGTTTATTTTCCCAAAGCAACATAGCTGAACTGCGCCTGGAAGGAGCAGTAGAGGAGTACAAGTTAATCAACACCGGTGTTGTGTCGTAGAATGCACCCCTGCGTCCCATCCACTCATCAGCCTCTTAAAGTGGAAGAAAATGATCTTATACTTAAAAAAAAAACACGAGTATTGGATCATGACAACATGTCAAATGGAGCAGCAAACTTTCGTTCTGTTTTTATGTCTCTCAAAAATGCACATATAGAAGTGTACTTATTTAAAATGAACAGTAATCTGTCAAGGTAGAGAGCATTACAATTTCGGGACAGCAAATATTCCGAATCAGAGGGCTATTGTTTTCAGCTTATCTGAATAGCCTGAATGAAATCATTGATATCACACGCATTTGAATCCATCCAGTGGTTAGGAAAACTTGGATTATTTCTTCTTGTTATGTACTTCCAACCGCGCTCCCGTCAGGGATGCATTCTACGGCACAACACTCTGCTCTATTACATGGCAGCAAAGCTAACCTTCCACCTTGAGCTGTATCTATGGCAACATCAATTTACACACCGCGCGCGCGCCGTAGAGTCGTTGAGTAAAGAGAAGCAAGCCTACCTAGCTAAAACTACTTAGGTCGCAAACAGCACATAGATTTACAGCAATTTTCATGATGTTTTGCCAGTGTGCGCAAAACGTTTCTAATTTCACCTTTAAGACGTGCTCGTTTGCCCACCGTCTCCTCCACGTCTCATGCGCTATCTTGGCGTGACAACTATCACGAGGAAAGAAACGAGGAGTAAGATTTCATCATCTCAAGAAAAAAAAAAAAACTTAGCCGAGCACAATTTTTTAACAACTAGCCTATGTTAAGTTGTGTTGTTGTTTTTAGGCCTCAAGTAGCTAATGAAATTACATCAACGCAAGAAGTAGCTCACTGAGGCAATACAAAGCACATGTCATTCGGTTGAGTTGTTTCTTACCTCTTCGTCTCACATACTCCTGACTTTTTTCAATAAATGTCCAGAGACACAGATAAAGCCGAGTGTTTCTGCAGCCCAAAGTCTGCACAGGAACGCAGTGGTTCGGCTAAAAACAACCAGAGAGCGAGAGCCTACAGCTGAAATGATGCATTCATTAACTGGAATGAAATCCTTCTTTCTCACTCTTTTCCCCCTTTTCTCTTTCTCTCTCTCTCCTCCTCTCTCTCTCCACAGCTGGCCCTAATATGTGACGTAAAACATCCCACCGGTGGGATGAAAGAAGTGGACCGGTCCGCCCCCGTCCTGGTGGTCAGGTCTGCTGGTTTAAACAGATCCACCATCAGCACATTTTTAGCTTTTCTTACAGACCCACCCATGTACACTTTATACAATCCCAATGTCACATAAGGAACATTAAAATATGGGTGAAATGTCAGTGCTAATATCATATTACTTGTGCACATTTGGTTGATTTGTTACAGATCATGTTGACTTAACTCATGACTCAGGCAGCTGAGTTTCCTAACAAGAACTTGGAAGAGATAACGTCTATTTTTTCTCAATGGCAGATGGTGTGTGAGTGTTTGAGAGTCAATGTTGTTATTGTAAGTGTGCTTGAGTGTGTAATATCTCTATATTGCCCCACAGTCATAACACAGACTCGAGTATTTATAATGTAGTGGGCCTACTGTACTGAGATCTTGGTGTTGCTGCTGTGGCATGGTTCAGGTCAAGGTTGAGAGTATAAATAATATCTCATGTTTTGGCTTCACGGACCCATTGAAGCGACAAAGACTGAACAAAATGTGGTGCAAAAGCTATACAATACGACAGGATGATGATGTGACACAAAACATCGTCCATGATAATATATTGACACTGGAATATTTGGGTAAGTAATCAACAACAAGACAACCATAAACTGATCATATCTGATAAACTGAAAAAAAACAAAAATGCCCCACAAGGGAGCATGCAAAATCAATCATGTCATGAGTGCCATTGCAATGAGTCATGAAACAGTAACAAGCTGAATCAAAGTGGGGGGAAATCAGTTTCTATTTTTTATTTAATCAGACTATTGCTTTTTGGAAGCAGCTCGATACTTGCACATTAGGAGTCAGGATGTCCCTTACACATCTAAACACTTAAAATGCTTGATTTGGCTGTTGTCTACAGTGGCTGAGAAGCGCAAATCAAAATGACAAAATCTGAAACACTTTTACAAACTTTAGATAAATTTATATTTTACAAAACATTTTTACAATAAAAAAATAATGTAACTAGCAGGGACTTTTACCGAGAAGAAAACATTTTTCTAAATGCAAAACACTTTTACAAGCTTTTAGACAAATTTACAAATGTCAGAACACTTTTACAAATCCCGAGACAAATTTACAAATTACAGAATTTCAACGGAAAAGGAATGACGGAAAGCGAGTGTCAAACACTGAACATGATCTGGAAGTGATTACCTGGAGGTCAGTCATTTTTGTTGTGTTGATGCCACATTGTTCTGTAGCCAAACAATTGAACCGGTCCGTGAAGGTCCGATCTGATGGCGTAAATTACTGTCTTTACAGAACAATAATTCTTTCCGTGGTACAGTCCTGCATTATTTAACTTACTTCCTACAGCACACAAGCTGATGTTAACACCATGTAAACTTGCCGTCATGACCACAATCAATGTAGGAGTGGCCCTCGTTGAAATAATTTGTGCAATGATCCATAACATCTGGTCCGTCCATTCCCTCTACATTATTTAAAAAGTCCAGAGACCGTCCACACAAAAAGCAGAATCACGTTACTTGGCTTAAGTTGGTTCCACAAAACAAACAAAACATAATTCACTCACCATAAACTTTTTGTAAACTCTTAAAAACTCCTTAAATTTCACGCCACAGTGTCTTTCCTCAACACCTTCTGTCAACACAAACTGACTGACCTCCAGGTAATCACTTCCGGGTCATGTTCGGTATCACATTCCCTTTCCGTCAAAATTTTTTAATTTGTAAATTTGTTTCTGGACTTTTAAAAGTGTTCTTCTCTTTGTAAATTTGTCTCAAAGCTTGTAAAAGTGTTTCGCACTTTGTAAATTTGTTTTCTCCCTGGTAAAAGTGTTTTGCCCTTTACATTATTACTTTTTTTTAATTGTAAAAGTGTTATGTAAAATTTGTTTAAAGTTTGTAAAAGTGTTTCAAATTTTGTCACTTTGATCTGCACTTCCCAACCACCATAGTTATCAGATTAAAATTTGAATCATATATTATGGGAATGAAATTATGTCCCAGAGTGAAATGGTGCAGTCTAAGAGGAAAATAAGATATAGGCTAAGTCAATCAAGCACAAATGGAACAGACTCACACAGCGCTGAGAAGCACTCATGTGGCATAGTGAAAAAAACTCCTGACTGGATGGACCGCTGAGACTTTTAAAGCTGAAACTTTTGCTCTACACTCAAAGTAAGAGATAAAGAGCATACTCACCTAACACTCCATCATCCCTCCAAAGTGTGTGGTCTCCAGTAAATATGGAAAGCTTCTGAGTAGATGAGTGGCTTGGATCAAACATGGAAAATGAGAATGCCCTGTACCTTGAGTGACCTTATGTGACATGTTTAACATAAAATAATGTAAATAAATAAACAGGAAAGAAAAATATAGATAATGCAAATATGCAAAATGTGATACTGAGTGTGCTTTACAGAACAAAGAATAAGGTGAAAAGGAATACCAATTTAAAAATGGTGGCATAAGAAAGTGAAGAAAACAGAACAAGAATGAGGATCAGTAAAATAATGGGCTGGAACATCTGGATGGATGAGGGTCAAAGAAGAAGGAGGAGGAATGGGTAGATTTACAAGAAGACAGAGAAGTGCATGTTAGTGACAAATAAATGACAGTTATTGAAGTTGTTCATATTTATTTGGTGATACTTTGAGTGTGTGTTTCCTTACAGACAGTGGCTCTTCTGCTTCTTTATCTTCCTGCCTGGGGACGTCCAGCCGGTCTATGAAGCTCTGCAGCTCCTTCCTGAAGGCCTTCATCTGGGCGTTGATTCGGTACAGCAGCTCATGCTCTCTAATTCTATGAGAATGAAGTTTGAGAGCTTAAATCACAACACTGTAGTTTTGAAAAGGAATTGACCTTAGCAGTGTTGACTTTTCTAGATGCATTACCTGCCACCCTCCTCATCCTCATCTAGCCTTGCAAACAGCTCCCCATTGGTGACATACACACGTGCCTCGGCGATGATAGTGCTGGTGTCAGCGATGAGCCTGTCGATGGTCCGACCCAGCCTCTCCGCCTCTATGCGGATGTCTATCATCTGTTGTCGGTCCTTCAGGCTCCTGGATAAAAAACGGCTATCCACAGGTGAGTAAAGGGAACGTGTCGGGGTGAGGCAGCGAATGTTCCTCACCTCATCTGAGTCACTCTCCCCCCCAATGGGGCCCTCACGCTTACGATGAGGTGGAAGAAGGCGAGGGGAGGATGCAGAGGCTGATGGGGTGTCATCATCCCGTCCCCCATCACTCTCTGCGTCACTGTCTCGAGGGCTGCTGCGGATGCCCAGGTGGGATGCAAGGTCATAGCGCTGCATGTTGGAGAGCAGCACCCGGTTCTCATACTGGAGCTGCATCACTTTGCCACTCAGTTCATTGATCTGTAGACGTGCTGCTTTCAGCTCCTCCTGGAGGGCCTCCACTTTGGCGGGGTCACCTCCTCCTGGGGTTGAAATGAGGCAACAGTGAAAAGTGGAACACCTCTGCAAATGAGACTGTTATGTGCAGCTCCTGGAGGCTTTATGAAACACATTTTGTATCAGACAGATTTATAAAACCCAAGAACAGAAAGGATATCCTTAGCTATCAATGAAGTGTTTTATTCTTCCTGCAATAATGACTGAGTTATTGCAAACAAAATAAACAAACCTCCTCCATGTCTTGATCCTGGTTCATGTGATCCGGCCTTGTACTTCAGTTTATTCAGCTCACCGGTAACCTAAAGATAGAGCTGATTATCATTATGTGTGCATTTATGGCAACAAGAATGAACAGTTCAGATATGTGAATTTCAAAGGCCTTAAAGTCTCCAGTGGATCTAATAATCGTGCAAGACACACAAAGAAATCTAACATCACAAAATTTAAAGCAGTATGATGTTGCCCTTTTGCCTGGGAACTACACAAACTTGCAAACTTTTCTTTGCTGGACTGTATTTGCTCTGGCAGATGTCTGTATGGCCTCTGGCTTAGATAGATTTCTAGCTGACCTGTTCATGATCATGCCAATCACAATCACAATCATTTGACCAGAATGGGTTGGATTTAATCTGTTTAAATCAAGTTTAATACAGAGCTAACAGAGAGGGTTGAGGCATTTTTGTAATTACATAAGATGCTGGTCCATACCTGGAATACATTAGGATGACAGCATCAGGCAGTCATAAGGGGAGTTCACCTTAGGTACAAATCGTAAGCACTGGTTGTTAAACCATGCCAGTCATTTCATCATAGACATCATTTAAAATGATTTCTCTCAAATGAGGTTTCTAGCCAGGCAGCCTCCCACCACACCTCACATTTGATAAAGCCCATTATAAATGCAGAAGGAATGTGGCGCTGTCAGATTATCAGAAAGACCACAATACATACTATCTAGTATGTCACAACATTATGACAATAAGGGTCAAAATGAAGTAGGAAACTCCCAGTAAAAACTAATGGAGGGCGTTTATATAGTAGCTGGTAATTATAACAAGCAGGAGCAGTTGTGTCCTCTGTTTGTCAAGTTTGTGGGGGGAAACCCCCATTTTCAGGAACATGTTCAAAGTATCGACCTTTTTGTTCTCTTCCTCCACGTCTGCTAAATTTCTGCGGAGGAGTTCAGCCTCATCTTCCACCAGCTGCAGCTGCTGCCTGAGCTCCGACAGAGCCTCGCCCTGCTCTCTACACTGCTGGCCTCCACTGCTAGAGCCATCCACACCTGATGCTGCAATGCTAGGAGAGAAAAACAGGCATTTTTAGACATGAGTTGTTGTCTCAGACCCCTCCTTACATTGAAATGATGGTTTCAATGTACAGTCAGCATTGACATCAATATATTGTTCAATTTCTTAACCATTATCTCTTAATTCCTCCAGCATTTTCAAGTGTTTCATCATCAAGGGTGCGTAAATATTTGAAAAGTACCTGTCCTCCCTCATGTCATCCAGTTCAGCTTTCAAACCTCTGTTCTCCACCTCCAGCTCTACAATTTTCCTCCCCAAGATGTTTGCCTCCTCTTCCACCAGGCGTAAGCGCAGTTTCAGCTCTGATTCCCGGGTGGTTGGAGGTCCTCCAGCTTCACCTTTAGGCAGGGGGCTGTCCACGTCTCCATAGAAGGAGCGGTACTTCTGCAGCTCCTGCTCCAGTCGGTCCTTCTCCTTGTCAATCTTGGCCATTTTTTTTCTCATCAGGATGGCCTCTTCCTTGATGAACGCCAGCTGGCATTTCAAATCCTCATTTTCCTCCTTTGTAATGCACACAAAAGTCAGGATATTTATCTGATTTCTATCAGTCCTCTGATTTGTAAATTCATTAATACGAAGAGCACATGGGAAAAACAGGCCAAAGCTAGAATTTCCAGATCTAACGTTGAACCAGTTGGCAGCATACTTCAGTATCAAGACTGTTGGAAACACTTGCATTGCGTCAGTGTGTGTTGTAAAGCCATGATGGCTATATTTCCTTGCTGGTATCTCAAGCTCATTACAAATTATGATTCTCTGATACCTTGTTGGAAATTGCCCCATAAATAGCATCATTCTTAAATGACATAATTGAAGCTTATTACTTTACAATCTAATAATGCTGACTCACCTCAATAGGGGTCTGTGGAGCCTTCCTCTCTGTTTTCGGCCCATCCTTACTTCCTTTTCTTTTCAGTGAGAGCTGCAGGGAAACAGTGGTCACATCATCACCACCATCGGCTCACTTTTTTCATGATATCATCCAAGTTTACAGAATGCAGAAAGCTTAGTCATGGAGAAAGAGAACTGTTTAATGGTCCCCTCAAAAACTCTTCTGGTGAATATTTAAATTTCAATCTAAGTGTTCAGACAGTGTGATTTTTGAGGCTTGATCTAAATAGCTGTAGAAAACAGCATTTGTTACTCTTCTTATCAAGATTGTTTGCTTAGTTGGGTATTTCACACCTCAAAAAGGGAATTAGGACTTGAATCTGGGCAGTGGTGGACAATGATGGGATTTAAGTCCCACGGTCATTGTTTTTACTACTTCAAGTGTTCTCAGTGGTCTTTATATTGTGATTATGAAGTTTTTTGCTAAATACACATTACCTGTGTCATTTTCAAAAGTTTTTTTTTTTCCTGAGAGCTCCAGCAGCTCATTAGCAATTCTCCTCTGAGTTGTGGGCGGAGACAGCGCTGCTCTGCACACTCCTCTTCATGCTAGCTTGTAGCCTAACATTACCGGTCTATCAGAAGTGGCAGGTAACTTAGGAGCTACTCAGCTCTGAGACACTAATGTCTTTAGGAACTTGATGAAAGTTAATATCATAATAAGCTTTCTTACAAGCATTGCAATCCGCTAACACACACGCTTGTTCCATGATTGTCCTCTCTACTTCTATGAGTCTGGCCTGCATAGCGGGGCTCAGGGGGCGGAGCTTGGATTTGTGACATAGGAAATCTCACTGAATCTGAGCCTTCTGTTTGGGTCTGTGAGAGATTCACAGCGATTTGAATGCAGAAATACCCAGAAATGAAATTTCGCTCTTACTTTTTTCGTGATATGTGCTGTTGCATCAGAAAAATGTCATATGAGCATGTTGACAACAAAAAAAAACAGGATTTTCATTGGAGTGGTCTTTAAACAGATGAAGGGATTTCTTTTCAATGACATTTTCCATCTGCAAAAGCCCAAGAAAGAAAACCCTGCAGACCTACAAGACTGGCTGTACTCCATCTTTATAAGAATAATTAACAAGAATGTGCAACAATGCTGCGTGACAACACTCTCTACACTGTTTTCATTGAATTCACCCCCAGTCAAATGTGATTTACTCCAGTGGACTGAATAAATAATTCCATCTCAGGTGTAAAACTTGTGTTGTACTGTTTTCATACATAGGCACAGGAGATAAAACAAACATTAAACATATTCCCCTCAGCCCCTTACCTCTTTGGCCCTCTCCAGCTCATTCTGCAGAGCCTGCTTGGTAACCTCCACCTCTATCATCTGCTGCCTCAGCTTCTCATTCTCATCCTCTGTCTTCATCCTCTTCTCCTCCACATTCTCCAGCTCATGGTGCAAGCGCACAGACACATCCTTTGCCACCTTTAATCCCAGGAGAAAGCAAAATAAAATTACTTTATAATTATAAAAGAATACAACCAAGGTAATGCCACCTCACCAGACTCACCTTGAGATCTTGCTCCAGACTCCTTAGCAGCTCTCCATCCACCTGACCACTCTCTGCAAACCGCATCCTCTTTCTCTCAGCCTTCTTAAGCCGGTACTGAAGGATCCGGCAGTTCTTGTTGGCTCTCTCCAGCTCTCGGCGCATGTCCTGCAGCTGGCAGGCGTCTTCCTCATAGAAGGTGTCCCTCATCTCATCCATCTCCGCCCGCATCTCCTCAATCTCAGCCTGACAGACAGACGAGAAGAAGGAAATTGGTCACACATAAAGCAAATCCAACTTGAATTCTTAACAAAGAAATGGTGTGGGGGTAATGCAAACACATCTGCTAATAAAGCATGCAGCAGCAGCGTGCGGTTAACCTGCAGCCTGTCATCAAACAACAGGTGACACCTGTGCTCACGCTAGAATACAAATGGTAAAAAGTGATTTACGGTAATCGATCAAAATTTACCTTAAGGTCATCGTTTTCATCCTCTAGTTTCTCGATCTCATCTTGCAGTCTCTGGTCCGGCTGTGGAGCAGGTTTTGGGGTGTCTGGCTCGGGTGACAGCTCCGGCTCTGAGGCCGGTGGTGATGCTGATTTCGTCTGCATCTTCGTCCCTTTCTTCCCCAAGCTCTTATTCAAGTGAAACTGTATAAGCTCGGACTGTAAGCATCCCTCCTTCCAGAAACCGGGTCCGCAGCCGACTGTGCCTTTGGAGCTCTTCTTACTGCCGCTTGTCGCCGCACCGGCCTCCCCTCCTTTCGGGTTTTTCCTCCTCAGTTTAGGGGATTTGGATGCGCAGGGCTGATCGGAGACGACGCGGTTCGTATCTCCTCTGGAAGGGGATGAAGCATCAGTAACAAGGCGGGGGGAGTCTTCTGGTGTCTGGGTGCTGCTCCTGTCTGCAGACCTGCTGAGCGTCGGGCTTTCAGCACCAGCAGCCTGGACAGCAGCCGCGCCTCGGACGGAAGAAGCGCCTCCGGCCTGCCGCTCCCTGCCTGTGGAGACGGGAGAATGACCTCGGCTGTTTCTCCCTCCTCCACTCCCTCCTCCTGCTTGTTTCGAGGTGATGGGCTTTGACGAGCTGCTGCCCTTCTGTGCAGCTTTAGATCCACTGTCTTTGAGTCCAGCCGGAGACGAGGACCGCTGCTGCTTCCGGCTGCTATTGTCTGGCTGCCGCGACGAGTCGGCAGAGGAAGGGTTCATGATGGTGTCAGAGGCTCAGATCATCCTCTATAACATCCATCCTTTTCAGCAAGATCCCTGTGGCTGGAAAACAATGACCTCTTAGGGCTCGATTCAGTGAGAGGTGGACAGATTGCAGCTGGAGGTCTAAAAAAGAGAAGATTACTCTCTACAGGTTGTCAGATAACTTCAACTTTGTGACTAAATATCGAGTAGAAATCATGTACTATTTGAAAAAGTCTACTAGGACACATTTCGCATTTCAGACGTTTCCCACAAGGGATATTAATTGGTCTGGTGACAATGAAATCCTCTAGAAACAGGTGTACATGTCCACCAGTGATTATGCACTTAGCTATTCAGCCAATGAAGGATGAGTTGTCCAATAGATCAGCTGCACGTCGGGCAATTAGACCGTCGTCTGCGTCATGCGCGCAGCCAAAAGGGCAATGGACATGAGAGAGAGCGAGGGCCAAAGAAGAAGCAGTGTCACAGGCTATAAACCAGGAGCTGCAGACAGACAATTAAACCATTTCAGTGGACAGAAATCAGGGTCTGAAGGCCCCTGAACTGATCCGCACAGACCCATGAGAAACAAAGGAGGATCCTGTTTCCTCATATCAGATGAAGCTCATCCAAGCTCAAACAAGAGAGTCGTTTCCTGTCAGCCATCATCACCATCCTCCTATCTAGTGTTGCTGATGACTCACTTTTTATGGACAGAGTTAGCTATTAAGTGCCACAGAGCAGCAGACACAGTGTTTTCGCTCATAGTCCACAGTTGGAAAAGTCTATGCGTTTTTCTTTTGTCTCTTTAGAAGCAAAATATCGACTACCTGCCATACGCTCTCCCCCTCTCTGTCCATGCGGATTTAATGAAGACTACAAAAGAAGTCCAAACATGAAAAAAGCCTTATTCAGATAGAGCTATCATACATGCAAGTAAGAGTAAATTAACCCACCACAGAGGCCTGACAGAATAGAAAAAATAACGTGGAGCACATTTGCCCTTCATACAGGTTACTGTTGTCAGGTTTGTCTTAAACACGCTCGTGTGCTCAGAGGAAAGAAATCATCACACGTGGAAAGAGAGAAGATTCACTTGAATTTCTTACCTCTTTAGGGTGTTTTTTGTCGGCTTCTGGATGCTGGGTAGTGGTGATTGGGAGGCAGAAGGGATGCTGACTCGAGCGCCTCCCGACCACCAGGCAACCTGTTTCAATATTCATGACATTACATCATCGCTGGGAGGGCCCGCGTGCACGGAAATGAAGCTGCGCGCAGCAGGCTGCTCTCATTGGAAGAGACCCCCCCCCCTTCCCCCCATTCTCTCTCTCTCTCTCTCTCTCTCTCTCTCTCTCTCTCTCTCTCTCTCTCTCTCTCTCTCTCTCTCTCATCACTGATTGGATGGATGTAGGCACCTGAATCACCCACTCATTTGGATTGTCCATATGGGTGTGATATGACCACTTGAGAAGATGTGCTTGTCTCTAGAATGCTTTTTCTTTCCAAGAGTTCGACAGTTCTAATTTAAATTATTGTGAGTTTGAGGTCTATATTAAAACACGATCTTTCTGTGTCTAGAGTTTGAGTAAAATGTGAGCATGTGCAAAGTTGTTCAGATGAAATGCAAGGAGTCAGCACACATTTCTGGGTCCACAGACATCCTCTCTCGTTCATTCTAGAGTCCTTTTTGGCCTTTTAGCACATGGTCCCAGACTCCTTTCACCCTTACTTTGATGCCCTTGATGTCATCTGTTGTTTTCTTAAATTGGCATTTATTTATAAGTTCATTTGTTAGAAAATGTGGCTTGGATTTCAGTCACAGGAGATCTTATTCACAGCCTTCTTCTACATCTTTGAAGTTTATATACTCATGTTCTCTGGAACAGTCATCTTTCCCCCCATGACTCTCATCTATTTAATTCAATTCAGAGACTTTATTGGCATGAAAGTCTCGGAAGCAAAATGTCAATGCAAGTAAAAAAAAAGAAACCATCTCTCATTTCTTTCTCCTTTGGTTTAGAGCCCTCAAACTAAAACTGAGCAGAATGTTTCCACAATAAATGCCCTAAATCATCCGTCAAACTTTCCATGTTTGAAAAGCAGACAAAGGGCCTCGTTCAGCGTTGCCAGGGGATTAATGGGATATTTCATTTGTTGAGTTAATGAGTTCTGTTCGCCCTTACTTCTCTAAAGATTGGTGTGAGTGTGTTGAGAGGAAACAGAAATATAAAGAGAAAAATAGAGGGATTAGGTTGAGAACAGGTTCATGTGAGGTTTTCCAGAGGAAATGGTCACTGAGGACAATTTATTCTGCTTGGAAAGCAGCCCAACTGTTCTGGGTTCCTCATAAATTCAATGCATCTTCGCCGTGATTGAATTATTTTGCAGTGGGTCGGACCCATCTCACTAGCTGTTTGGTGTTTTTATTTCTTGGACCTGTGCCCACATGATAAAGCTTGCATGCACATCTGAAAGGCCTCATGGTTGCACAAAGACACATCACAAAGAGGCAGACTAGTGTTGCTTGCATGAGCAAAATAACAAGTTAGTTTACAGAAAGTGGCAGGGATTGACTCTGACAAAAAGTGAGGATTATCTCTGCTCTGAAAGTTTTATGGCATGGATTTTAGTCTCTGTCGAGGCTTCAGTAAGCAAAGCTCTAAGCCTCCTTCTGTACACCTCTGTACAATCCATTTGTTTCTGTCACTGCTTTTCACAACAATAAATCTTAATCTGACTGCGCTCTTTATTGTAATCAGCCTTTAATTGGAGGACAAGATGTTGTTGGGCCAATCAGCCAGCTTTAGGCAGGATCATGATCAATTTTCTCTGAATAGGACCACAGATGTTCAGGGTCTTGCTCTCTCTTTCAGACACACACACACACATTCACCACTGCCCCCACCTTTGCTCTCCCCCTGTACCGAGACTATTCAATCATTTGCTTGCATTAAAGTGACAGATGTGCACACCATGGAGGGTCCCGTGTGCCTGACAAGAGTACTGATTCAAATTTGTCTGTTAAAACAAAAGACAGTGATGTCTGACTGAAAAGCTGTCATTGAACTATTCAGAATACATTCCCTTTTCCCTCTTTAACTCAACTTCTTTAACAGTTTGCATACTAACCATTGAATCCAGTAGATTTAATTCACTGACAGTAGTTTTCATACTTGTTTTGTTGCCTTTCTCTCTGTCTAATTCCATTCAAATACACGCTGTTTAAGACTGGATAAGATGGACACTTACTGCAGTGATAACTGTGGTAGATCACCCATCTCACCCTTTAACAATCCCTGACCATCTTTGTTATCACTGTTGTTGTTCTTGTCACTGTTGCATCCATCATCTAGTGAATCTGGTTTATTTCATAGTTCTCTATCCCTCCTACACCATGCTGTTCAGAGCCAGGGAGTAAAAAGACACAGAGAGAGAGAGAGAGAGAGAGAGAGAGTGTGTGTGAGAGAGAGAGAGAGAGAGAGAGAGAGTGGCCCTGATGAACCTTCATCTAAAAATAACCCCCTCATTCATTTTACACTCAGAGTCTCTCTCGCGTTCTCACTTCCCGGATAAATCACAAACACTCAAACCCTGTATCATCCCAGTAACAGCATGTGTAGACGGAGATCCCAGGCTGTGTACTTGTCACTGTTTGCGTGGACTGTCAGGGATAATCTGCAGTGTTGAGATGTAATAACTGTGTTGGGTTTAAACGGTGAAATCTAAACTGTTACATGTGATACTTTTGCATCAAATAAACCATTTTTTTCTAAGGAAGTTTGACAAATAGATGTGATAGCTGTGTGGGAGGGGCCTTTCACTCCATACAAACATGAGACTGTAGTCCACAGGAAATGCAGTGTTACAAATCCAGAGCAACACAAAGCAAGAGGAGAAAAAAATCACATTAAATCAGAGTATTTCTTTGCTTATTTGCTTCCTGGCAAATGCTCATGAAAACAATGCCACGTCATAGATGGCTTTATAAAAAAAGGTACAATTATGGGCCCTCAGTCTGGCAGAAAAGTGTTGTAGGGCTTTGTGACGCTGGTTCCTTATTGGTACAATATGTTTTTCCCACAAGGCATTGTGAAAAAACAGGCCTGCCTCTGCTCTCAGTTGTTGTGCTCCAGATATCAGCTGTGCTTCTGACAGGCAGGAAAATTGTTTCTTTGCAGTGAAATCCACGAGAGGTCTCACTGAAGCAGCTCTGCACAGATACAGACACATTTAAACTGATGTACCTGAATCCTGTCTGTAATGCCTAACACTAACATACACACGCTTTATTCAGATGTAAACACAATCTTCTTTTTTTGTTACAACAGCTTTATCTCTGGTTTTCAGTCTCTCTTATTTAACTTGTTTATTTTATTACATTTCCAATATCCTATTTTTCTTTCAATATTATTTTTCATCCCATAAAATTGTGTTTCTTGGATTGTATTCTTGTCAGTGTCTGTTTATTTTAATGTAAAGTATAAATGTTCAGTGCCAGGAATTTGATTTCAGATCTTGTGTCTATTTGTGTGAGTGGTGTTTTTAACATAAGGACAAAGAAAGGTTGATGCAAATCTGCTGTTGCATCTAAAATGAAATAGATATAATTTTTAAAAAGCACAATTTTGCTGTATGGCAAAGATTTAAAGGAACCTGTTGGGATTTCTATTGAACATCATTCTCCTGCAGATATCACAAACTTTTTTAACAGTTTGTAAATCGTTTGCAGCAACAAATTACTCTGTGTTTGGAGCTATTTTTTCACAGAGCCTTAGCGCTCAGCAGAAACCAGAGGTGAGATCTGACACAGCTGGAAGGATATGGGGCCACCACTGCAGCTGAAGGACGCTGATAAAGAGATGGTTTTCTGTTTCTGAGTTGTGAAATGATTGCTCAGGGTCAGTGAAAAACACTAACATCATCCATGTGAAACTCCCCCTCCTGCTGGAGGCCTCCCACTCATTAACTCAGCAGGGGGTTTGCAAACACACACTCACGATTGTACATGTGTTTCTCAATCTTTCTGTCTATTACACAACACACACACACTTACACAAAATGAAACTACACACACACACACACACACACACACACACACACACACACACAAGCAACAAAACCCCGTCAATACTTCATTGTGTTGGGGCTGTTACCCACACATGCTCAGCTGATCCAAGCAGAAGCTGGAGGAGGAGAGGTAGTGGGTGAGGAGTGGGGGTAGGAGATTTTTGGATGGATAAGAGGGGGAGTTGAAGGGGAGGTCCACACAGCTGCTGTGTACTGTTACCATGGAAACCTTTGTCTGAGCTGGCAAGGGTAAGCAATCAAATTTTAGGGGAGATTCATCTTTATGTCTATCAAACAGGTTGATAGACATTCGAAGTAGTGATTTTATTCTTATTTTAAACCTTATTAGGATAATAAGTAAGTAGTGAAACTGACTTAGCAGACATGGCCACGCCCTACAGTGAATCTGCACAGTAATATGGCAGCAGATTTTAGGCTCTTACTTAGATTTAAATTTTTTTTTGAAAGGTATATAAATTGCTGAAGTGCTTGGGTCAAAACACTGTAATGTTTATAGTATAGCAATGTTCATAGTGGAACAAAATACACAGAACAGGCTGTAGGTGAAAACTGAAAGAATTTACAGAAATTTCACACCGGGATTCCTCTCGCTGTGAAAGGAGAGGGCCGTTAAAGAAAGTTTGTCATGAATTGTAACCATAAAAATCTGCCTTTAAAGAAGTATCAGTACCACAGTTATTTTTTATTATCAGAACTACAGCCAGCGATGTACAACATAACAAAACACCAAGCCTTCTGAGGTCAACTGTAATGTGATTTTTCGCTTCATGAATAAAATAAACTTAATCTTAGATGTCTGGAAGAACATGCTGAGGTGAAGAAGAAGAAGAAGAAAAGTAATAGCATAAACAGCTCAAGAAAACATCAATCTGTGGCAGAAACAGTGTATTTATAATGTACATCTTTGAATGTGGTCGTCCCTCCACAGAACTCTGAGTTCTCCTTTTAATGTGTCAGAATAGAATAGAATAGAATATTCCTTTATTGATCCCCCATGGGGGAAATTTTTTTGTCACAGCAGCATCACAGACAAGACAAAAAGTGCAAAAATGCAGTTATAACAATAAGGGTCCTAATATTAAGAACTTAAATAAATGTAATAATTAAGAAAAAAATTAGAAAAGGGAGAAGAAAAAATAAAGCTTTCTACAATATACACAATTTAAATGCCATAAAAAAAAAGTGGTGGTGTAAAATCAGTTTTGTTACTGTTCATTGTAAAGTCTTATTGCAGAGGGGAGGAATGATCTGCGGTAGCGCTCCGTCCTGCAGGGTGGGAGTCTCAGTCTGCTGCTGAAGGAGCTGCCTAAAGCCCCCACAGTCTGGTGCAGTGGGTGAGAGGGATTGTCCATGATGTATACAAGCTTTGTTAACATCCTCCTCTCACCCACCTCCTCCAGGGAGTCCAAAGAGCAGTCCAGGACAGAACCGGCCCTTCTGACCAGTCTATTCAGTCTCTCAAAAATGCAAAATAAATATTGACAATCTTACACACAGTCTTTTGTCCTGCCCCATATTACAGATTCAGTGATACTGTCCCCTTAAAAGCTCAATGTTTTGAGCTTCATCTTCTATTGGACTGGTCCCACTTCTCCCAGGCTGGACTAATAATGCTCATATACTTAGTCTGTGTCATAAAAACGTCCTGGCATGGGCAATGGATTTCCTGCAGGGCTCCCACACTCACTCAATGGTACTGTATACAGTGGATCATATTCCACCACACTTCCTGATTTGTCTAAACACTTCACAACAGCTGAAATCATCCCTTGCATATATAAAGATTAATGTGACGTTTACATGGAGCTAGTGCCCAACTACCAAGGTGCGCTAAATGACTCAGAATACTGCAATGTTGGATATCTGTGACTGTACAAGAACTTTTACAAAACAGCCCAGACTTTGGTCTTTCTTTTTACAGACAACTCTGTGCAGAGAAAGATTACTGTGTTAAGGCTGTCTCATACTTAGGTCCACCTGACTGAAATGAGCTTTTGTTATCAGCTAAGATGATCCCAAACTGATTGCCAGGATTAACATTTGACATTAATTGCCCAATAAAATTTGAAAAACCAAACTTACTTTTAAAATTCTTATCTTGAGGATAAAACTTTCCCTTAATTTAGCTGGTGACTGAAAACATTGTATATGATGTGAGCTTGCTGTACAGCAGCTTGTGTCTTTATTGAATGTAATGTAACAATAACGCCCTCTAGTGTTTGAAACCTACATATCTGCTGCCACTGCTCAGTCCTTCCATTAGCAAGTCTCAACGGATGATGAAAACAGTCTTGATGCAGATGTGTGAGTTTTCTTCTGTTGACTATAGAGCAGACAAAAGTCAATATTAATGACCCTATATATCCGTAAAAAACGAATGAGACCATTAGCATTATGACTACAGTGTTTCCCTTTTGACAAGCCTGAAACTGTTGCCACAACTAAGTGTCTATTTTTCAAGGCAAAGTTTCTAGATACAATTATTCTTTGAAAACCACAGGATAAGAAAAAAAAAACCTATACCTTCACAAGTACAGGAAAATAGCCAAGAGAAAAGTGGGATCATGGTCTCTAATGTATATTCACATAATTTAAAATTATTAACAGCACTTGTGAGAAGAATTTGAATTTTCTAAACCTCTTATGTAAACATATAAGTATAACATTTGTTCATACACAAATTAAATATAATATGCCTATGTCATAAATTTTAAATTTGGATGACCTTGGGGTCTAGCAAAACTGCATAAAAGCAAAAATACATTTAAATACATGATTTCTATAGCATTTCAATATTATTATTATTATTATTATTATTATTATTATTATTATTATTATTATTATTATTTACTTTATTATTAGCACTATAAATAAAAAGGACAGCTTATGAATCAGCACCATGGAGCAAATTTGTGGCTATACAGTATGTCATGAAAAGGTGTAAAATGTAATTGTGTGTTTTGTGTGCTCAATTCCCGCATTGTCAAACATGCCAGAGAGCTTGTTGAGAGAAACCTCAAGAGCTTCTTTACAGGATCTTGGCAGGCATGCATTTCATGGCATAACACTTATAGCCAACGAAACAAATATTTAATTCCTACATTATTTTTTAATCACATAGGCTTATACATAATGATTAATTGCCTGTTAGCTTGCAAGGGTCAGTATAAATGTAGCCTAGCCAGTGTTTACACACACTTTTCCTCCTACTTAAGTATTTCCCAATGAAATACTTAAGTACTTTTCATCTTATTAATTCCCAAATGAATATCGGTATTAATTTAAGATACCTTCATCAGTAACCGGAGGCCACTGTCTGGCATCGTCAAACCAGCTGACTTTACTCATGCTGTCAATGATGCTCTCAGACACTATTTACTAGCATCCGTTTATTTGTTGATAGCACGACCACTTCATGACATTGCACACCGCAGCAATGACTTATTTAAGATTCTCAACAACAAATTGCTAATTTTTCCTTTCATTACTTTGAAAAATTCAACTGGGAAGCCATCCTCTCCAGGACACTTACTTGATTGCAGTGTGGAGATGGCTTTGTCTATTTCTAATTGTGAAATGGGAGAATCCAATAATGTTGCTTAATCCTCAGATATCTGTGGGAAAACCAGGTTGTCCAAAAATGACCTGTTCTAAGCCTCCTTAGGTCAATTTCTGAGCAATATAAATCAGAATGAAATTTTTTAAAACTCTCATTAATCTGGCAATTGTTTGTTTGTCTTTGGCCGTTCTCATCCTGTATAGCTGAAATAAATGATTTAACAGGAGCATTCTTTGCCAATCGTGCCAGAAAGCGATTTGGTTTGTTGGCCAAATCAAAAAGTTTTTTGTTTGGTAAATAAAATATCCTTTTCTGCCTTTCTAGTTGTCAAGTTATGTAATGCTATCCTGGTTGCTTTAAGTTTAATCAAGGTCGCCTCTCGCTTTGTTACATAGTAGTCTTCTTCTAACCTTTTTACCTTCCTTTCAATTTCAAGTTGTTTCGCTGCTCGCTCTTTTTTCCTTTGGCTTGTATATGAAATAACCATGCCCCTCATATAGGCCTTGTAAGTATCCCACACAATTCTTGGGTCAGCTGCATCCTCGTCATTGAATTTTAAAATAAGTCTGTTTTATCGTTTAAATATTTACCAAATCTTTCATCCATAAGCAATGCTATATTCATTCTCCAAGAAAATGAGTGTTCAGTGGGTTGAATTGACATCACTATAGGAGTATGGTCTGAAAGTGCAGCTTGGCATATCTACCTGTTCAATCAAGTGAGTAAGACACCTAGACCTAAAAATATAACCAATGCGTGATGACTAAAATGTATATTGATTTGAAAGTGGGTTAAGGTATATATCCAAGAGGTCAAATTCCTTATTTATATTCAGGACAGCCTTGCCTTTTTTCAGTTTAACTGTCTGAGAGGAAGATCTGTCGATCATTGGGCACAGTTAAAATCTCCCCCTATTATCATATTAGGACAGTCCATATTGGCTAGTTGACTGAGCAAAGATGCATAAAATGCATCATCTTGAACATTAGGGGCATAGACATTACCTAGCAAAATATTTTTGCCATGCATTATGCCTTTTACTAAAATATATCTCCCTTCTGTATCTTTACAGGACGAAGTAATAAAGTAATTCTCGAGATGCATTATATGGGCCACACATTTTTTCACCGTATTTATACCTGTAGCATTCACAGTCCCTCTAGCCTCCAAGCCAGAGGTTTACTTTCAGGAGGGTAGTGTGTTGACATAGTCATTGATTTCTCCCATGGTGGAGAAGGCAGAGCTGGTTCTGTCAGGGTGAAAAATCTCAATGACAGCTGGATATAAGAAGAAATATCTGAACCCAGCTTCTCTCAGCAATCTGCGAGTGTTTACAGGCTCCTTTCTCCTCCTCACCACCTCCATGGAGAAATCTTGATAGAAGGACACATTTTGACTTTAATCACACCTTTGTCCCTCGCCACGTGCAGGATCCTCTGTCTTTTAGTGTAGTTCTGTAGCTTCACCAGGATGGCTCTCGGGCCTTCTTTACTGGCGCACCCCATCCGTCTCTCAATCTGAATGTGGTCACTTTGCATATTCAGGACGTCTGGTATCCACTTTTCGAAAAAGTCGACCAGTGATTTGCCCTCCGAGCCTTCTTCCAGCCCTATGATCCGCACAGTCGGCTTTGATTTTCAAAGTTTTTCAGGCACTCCAGTGTTTTCTGCAATTGGGTCTCCAGAGCTTCCGCCCAGGGCGTGATAGTCACCGTCTCATCTTCCAGGTCAGAGACCCGCTGCTCAGACTGCACAGACTCTCCAATCCAAGACCTGACTATGTCCGCTGTCTCATACCTGATCTGATAAAAGCTTTAAAAGCTTGAGGTTTCCCTTAAACATGAGCCATAGTGTAAATATGCAGTATGACCTCTGTTGGTTTGTATCATGTATTTGTGATGACACTGACTCAACAGAGCGTCAGGAAGAGCATATTTGGGCCTTCCTGCTTCCATTAGCCAGTTTTCCCATGAATGATATTGCACAACTCACAGATGGAGTTTGGCAGGCAGCTACAAGAAACGGAGTCCATTCTGAAGAAGAGCAGACCTTCATCCTTATTGAATTACAACTTTATTCTAATAAGATTGTGATTTTATCAAATAAATTCACACGTTTATGTTGTAAATGTGAGTTTTTTCCACATAAATCTTTCTCCTATGACTTTCAAAATCTCAAATATTTTATTATTATTAACAAATAAGGCAAGGGCATCATTATTTATGTAGCGCATTTCATACCAAGGAAACTAAATGTGCTTTACATAAAAAAATAATGTTTTCTTTTGTTTGTTTTTTTTAAAGAACAGCATAAAAAAAAACTGTTAAAAGCAGGAGCAATAGATAAAGTTTAAAATTATTAAAAAGAGCTCAGCCGTAAGCACACAACTGCTGAAGAGAAATGTTTTTAACCTGGATTCAAAAGTGCTTACAGTTGGGGCTGATTTCAGTTCTGCTGGTAGTTTGTTCCAGTTGTGTGCAGCATAACAGCTAAATGCTGCTTCAACCATGTCTGGTTCGGACTCTGTGCTCTACTATCTGACCTGAGTCAGTAGATCTCAGAGCTATACTGGGTTTCTACTCTACTAGCATATAATTCATGTTTTCTGGACCAAAAACATTTAGAGATTTGTAAACCAGTGGCAGAACTTTAAAATCTATTCTGTAGCTGACTGGGAGCCTGTGTAAGGTCTTGAGAACTGGGGTGATGTGATCTGATCTCTTTGTGTTGGTTAAAACTCGAGCTGCAGCGTTCTGAATGAGCTGCAGCTGTTTGATACTTTTTGAGGGAAGCCATAACAGTAGTCAGGTCTATTGGAGATGAAAGCATGAATCAGCTTCTCCTGATCAGTTTGGGACATAAAATCCAAACAGTGATATTATGGGCTCTATTTTCGTGTTCGCCGGTGATGTGGCGGAGGGTGGTGGTCCCCGTGCAGTTGTATTTTCGTCTGGCGGAGCCCGGTGTAAAGCCAGTTTGATATTTTCGTGGACTGAGGCGCACGGAGGCGAACCAAGATCCGCCAAGCTGGGCGTGGTGGCGTGGCAGGGGGAGGTGTTGACAGAATCAGCCGGCGCAGTGACATTTTCGTGCTCGCCAGTGGCGTGTAAAGTGCCCTGAAAGCTCGCCAATTCAAACCTGGTCAGCTTTCAGCGCAGGTGGAGCGCAGCTGGTCTAGTGGTATTTCAGTAGACCGCCGGCTTATCGGCATACGTCACCGATGCCTCACCGGCAGGTTTCCACAGTGTCAGGCACATTTCAGTGCAATAAATAATCATCAACAACTATTAATCTGAGTCAGCACATACATTTAGATCTATATAGATATATTCTGATCTATATCTGATCTGATGAGCGCGTTTGGCACGCGTTTGGACACACAACCTGACCGAATCAACACAGCTGAAACCGCATTAAATTGAATCAAATATCTAGTAAATAGACACACATGATGAAGTTAACAAGATATTTAATTCGTCTCCCTCCTTTTCTTTCTTCTTCTTCCTCTTTTTTCTCGCACAGCTCGACCTGGACACGTCTCCGTGTCCTCTCTCCATCCTGCAGCGGCTGAACAGATGATTTGTTTCAGTGTTCAGATGAGTTATCTACTTTAAGCCGACATACGGATATTATAATATTCAGTTTTGTGGGCCAAATTTATTTTATACGCCAACATCTATGAAAGAAAGAGCCAGGCCACGGAGCGCGATGCGTCATTTACTCACAGATGATTCCGATTTTAATGCCATTTTTGGAGTTTATGTTGTGATCTGTGCACTCAACCCACCTTTGTCACGTGAGGTTTGAATATGAGTAACTTTATGTGAGTGTCTTTATTTGTGGAAAAGGGTGTTTGTCTTACCAGTGGGTCCAACATTACACACACCAAATCCATCTGTGCTCATATGAGAGAGTGTGGAGGATGCCCAATGCAGCGTTTACAGTGACACTTGTTGAGGAGCTGCCTTCTGTCGCCAGCGTGTGGCATTGCTGTCTTCAGACACCTCTTGATCTCTTTGACTACTTCACGAAAATAGTAAGACGCCTCACCGGTGGCGGATTTAAAGGCAAGGAGAGGAGCTTATGTGATTGGTGAAAACAGGTCTCAGCTGTGTTAAACCCACTCCATGCCCTCTCTCCTCCCTCGCTTCGACTTACGCCGCTGGGAGGAGCTGAGTTAGGGAAGGGGGATACTTATGCCGGGCTGCACCGCTCACCAAAATACCAAATTGTGCTTGGGAACGCCTTGTCGGCGCGGCGGACCTGACTTACGCCGCGCCTACGGCACATCTCTGGGGAGGTACGAAAATAGAGCCCAATGACTCTATTGGACTGCAGTCATCTGGAGACAGTGTGAGATATGTCTCAGTGTCATCTGCATAACTATGATAGCTGATACTAGATTCAGCAGAATTTGACCCAAAGGCAGCATATATAATTTGAACAGAAGGGGTCCAAGGACTGAGGAACTCCACATGTCATAGCCACTCGATCAGATTAATAACTACCAATGATCATAAAATAACTCTCCTCCTCCAAGTAGGACTTGAACCATTTTAGGACTGTCCCGCTGAGTCCTGTCTAGGTTTCCAACCTGTTCAGCAGAATACTGTGATCGACAGTGTTAAACGCAGCACTGAGATCCAACAGGACCAGAACTGACACCTTGCCTGAGTCAGTGTTCAACCTTATATCATTTAATACTCTAATAAGAGCTGTTTCTTTATGGTGGTGAGGTTGCAAGCCTGATTGAAATTTGTCAAGAAGTCCACTGGAGTTCTAAAAGTTGCTGAGTTGATTAAAAGCCACTTTCTTAATGACCTTGGCTATAATGAGAAGATTTGAGATGGGTCTGTTGTTAGTTTAAATGGTAGTATCCAACATTCTCTTTTTTAAGAGTGGCTTGATGGCAGCTACTTTTAGGGGTTTAGGAAACATGCCTGATTGAAGTGAGCAATGTATTATTTGCTGCAGATCCATTTGGAGAGAGCATATAATTGTTTTTAAAAAGTCTGATGGTATTGTGTAAAGACAGCATGTCGATGATTTAAAATGCTGAACTGTTTCTTCTATGGTTTTTTGGTCAACTGTGATAAACCCTGATATTACAGTTGATTTATTCCTAGGTGATTCAAGGGATTGCATCATTGTATTGTTTTGCAGATTTATGTTGATTTTTAGCCTTATAGATTAAATTTTTCATTGAAAAACCAAGCAAATTTATTGCATTTTTCTGTAGAGGAGAGTTCTGAAACTATCTCTTTTTTTTTTTTGGGGGGGGGGTTCTAACAACATTTTGGCTTCACTTTAAAGGTGACAATGTCGTCCATCTTTTAATACTAATGTAGCAATCAAGACAACCCTGTATGAGAAACTCACAAATTCCTCGCAGGAAAGTTTTCTTATCTGGTCCCAGGACACAGGATAGTATAAATCTTTCCAGACTTGTTTGCACTTTCAGGTTACCTAACTGACCCGACCGGAGGATGACTAAACCTCTGACTCTTCACGATTGGTCAATTCGGAGAACAGAGACAGAGTTTTCATTTTCTTTCAAACTGACTCCATCGCTGACCACCTAAATAAACATTATCGCCTCAACCCAGATCTCCCATTTGAGATTTACCGTCTTAAAGTGTGTGAACATACAGACCCCAAGATAAGCTGAGGAGCAGGACACTGACCTCCAGACCTCTGTCGTAAAACCCTGCTCGACCATACACTGATAAAGACTACATTCCTTTGGTGAAAGAATATAAATGACTGATAATGACATCTTATGCATTCAGCAATGTACTAATCTGTCTAATCATGAAATTTGGGTTAAAATGAGATGTTTCCTGTTTTTCTATGTGCTCCAGAAGCCAAGTTATCACTCTGACAGAATAAATCCTTTATTCTTTAGTTTCTTTAGACCAACAGCTTTTCAGACTGTTTCATGAACTTTTAAGAGTTAAATTTATCGACTATGAATCATAACTTTACTCTAAGTTACAGAAATGGTTTAGAAATGTTTGGTTTATATTTTAGTTGTTTATTTAGTATTTTTAACCATTAGGTGGTTATAATGTCATTGAATAATCTGAATGTGAGTATTTAGAATCCATTATTAATCATGATGAAGTTCATTTACATCTGTTTACTCTTTTGTTGTTCACAGTTTCCATGTGTTACTATCTGTTTCATTTCAGAGTAATTTAGCATGTTCAATGTGATACTTAAAACATAATGAGAACGTTTGATGTGATCCTACATTTCATTCATATGTGTTTAGTATCAAATTATTTATCATGAAACCAAGCATTCAATGATATTAATCATAGTGAGTGAGTATCAGATCTGACTCTTTTACCAGCCAAAAGTATAAGCTAGATCAAATAATCAGAGACCCCATGAACCCTCCTCTTTCTCCTCACACACACACGCCAGAGACACTCCCAGTGTGAGAAGATAAAATCAGTGAAGTGGGGTTGCTCACTCGCTTCTCCCCTTTTGCTCTTCTGCCCTTACGCTCTTGTTGCCCTCTTCTATTATCGCTCTTCTACTCTTAAGTTCAACTTTTCATTTTCTCTTAGCTCTTACTGCTTAGTCTTACTTTTTCTTAGTCTTCTAAGTTTTACGCCACGTGTTGATTCACGTTGATTTTTCTTTAACATCGTCTTAGTTCAAGTTTTGAAACTTCAACTTTTTGTGCGCATAGTAATTCAAGATTAAGCCTTTGATTGATTTTTCTTTAATTTTGCAAAGCCATTTTTGAAAGTTTCCACTAGTCATCGAGCCTTGTTTTTCTGGGTTATCTGCATGATTTCAAAGTCACCTCTGAATGCCACCCAGCAGGCCCAGGTCATCCTCTGTGCCAGAGTTTCTGAGTGAGACCAAAGAAGCGTCCAAACGAGCATCCACAGGATCCACAAGCGCCGGCTTTGCTTCGGGCCCAAGTGCTACAACTCCTGGTCCATCCTTCGGCTGACTTCAGTCGTCTTCTGAGTTGACCAGTCTCACTTAAGTATGCAAACCTCCAGAGCTCCAAAGAGGGCTGATGCTGTCTCATGCGTTCATAACTCAGATATCCACTTATTCTGGTAATCTTAGATTCCTCCAAATCCACATCCAAATTTATCTCGTCACCAAAGTTTGTGTAGGTTAATATGTTAGAGCATATTCACTCACTATCATTAACTCTAGTGCTCCTAGCCTGACTTAGATTCTTTTGTTCATCGATTATTATTTATCCTCATTATCTTATCATCATTTATTGCATGTATGTTGTACCATCATTTATCCTGTAATAAACAGATCATTATTTTTCTTGTCTGTTAGTGCTCTTCCAGAAGTGAAGTCCCTGAAATGAGAATTTCGGCTCAAGATATGAGATTGATTAATTTAAGATTGAGTCAATGTTTGATTTCTGAATTAAACTTTTGTTTTTCTTTATTTTCCCACCATTAAGGGTGGGTGGTGCCCCTTTCAACGAGTGCATAAATGTCATAATTTGAGATTATTAATCTTCAGACATTCATTATAAATTCGCTACACTAAATATGATGTTGGACAGTGATCTTTATAAATTGAGGTAAAGGTGGAGTTTGTATAGCGACAACACAACACAGTCACATTGTGTGCTATGATAAAAACCTGTTCAACTAAATATTCACATTTTGTTGGGGTATGAAGAGTGCTCATCTGGTAGTTTGTTAGTTTAACCAGCAGGTAGTGCTGCTGTATTAACAATAAACTAAAGGTCCTTACACACCAGGCGCCAAATTCGCTTTTTTTAAAACAGCATAAAGTCAATGCAAGCTCCGCAAATTCGCTGGTGTGTAAGAACCTTAAGGTTCTTACCTTAAGAATTTGCGGAGCAAAGCGAAAAAGCGAGACGAAAATGCGAATATTCGCCGGTCCGAAGAATCGCTTTCGCCTGTACAGACCGGGCGCAAAGCGAATATGCGTATAAATTTTGCAAAGCGAATTAATAAATATATATTGTCTTTGGCGCGAGTTCTTTCGCGCTACGGAGGAGAGGAGAACAAAGAAATTGAGTCAACAACATCCTCAAGCGATGATGAGCTCGATGTGATGCTTTTGGCAAAAAAAGAAGAAGACAGAAGAATAAACAAAGGAGTGTTTGGGTACATCCCATATTGACTTTGAGGAAAGCGATGGGCGAGTTCCACACCACCATCCAGTAGTCCTGTACCGCAATTACCAGCCTCTCTCCCATCGTTGCTCTTGGTGCCAGTGGTGGTGTGTGTCGTGTGAACTGCAGCCGCATGGGTCTGTGACATCATCAACAACATGACTTTTGATTGGCCAGAGGTCTAGCAGGTCCAGATATTCGCCTGCGAATATCCGAAAAATTCCACAGAAGAGCGAAAAAATAAAAGACGCTTTTTGCCCCGCAGAAAAATCGCCGCCGGTGTGGAAGCTTGAATTGACTTTATGCTGTTTTATATAATTCGCCTAGCGAATTTGCACCTGGAGTGTAAGGACCTTAAGACTCAAACATACAAGTTCCTGTTTTAGTGAACTTGTTTAATTTGGACTCAGGAGAGGAAGATGATTGTCAAGAATACTGAACTTAAAAGATGATCAAAAACTGTCACTCACAGTAAATGACAGGGGGAAAAGAGTCTGTGATCTGGTGGTTTAGGTTTGGGTGAAAACAGTCAAAGTGAAAGTGAAAGTATGTGAGCTCAAAAACAGACTGCACGCTGAGATAAGAACAGAGCAGAGAGAGGAGAGGACGAGGAGACAGGGTGAGTGTTTACTCAGGGTTGTTGTTTTAATTTTAAACTCTTTATCTGTATCATCAGTTGATACATAAAAATGAAAAAAATGATTTGCCAACTAATACACTTAAAAACTGCAAAGAAACCTGACCAGACAAAGAGCTGGACCAGTTCTTGATACAGAAAACTGTGTACGTGCAGTTCTTCCTCTTGGTTTAGACTCATCTTTTCAGTAAAAACAAGAGTTTCTTTTCATTTAGCCTCTCATTTCAAATTAAATTTTGTCCCCTTAATTTTTTATGAGACTTCAGGGACCTCACAGCTGTGAATCAGATAAGGATCAGAGAGAGGCCCTGAAGGGTGAGGAGACATAAGTGCGTAGATATTAAACCCTGTATAACTCTTAAAGAGGGGTATTGAATTTATTTTCAGACTCTATACTTCCTTTCTGATTTCTTTTCAATATCTTTACATGATTTTCAGTTTTAAAAAAGCCTCCTGTTTCTCACTCTGGTGAATTAAAATATCATTATTTCTGCCTCCTCCTAAACCACTTCGTTTCAGCTGCTGTCTCTTTAAGGCCTCCTCTCCATGAGCTTACTTTTATTTCTTAACACTCTCTTTCTGTTTGTGTCTCACCTGTTTGTCTACTTTGTCCTCAGGTTGTATAACATGGTTTCTTCATCCGTAAGTTTTCACAACATCAGATGGAGAAGATGAGTGATTGTGTCGAGGAAGAGGAGGGCAGAGCAAAGTCTGTTATGTCCGACTGTCTGTCTATGAAGAGTGACCGGTCTAAAGGTATTATCAAGGACTTCAGTAAAGAACCAGGACCCTCAGAGGAGGGCAGAGCAAAGTCTGTTATGTCCGACTGTCTGTCTATGAAGAGTGACCGGTCTAAACATCTTCCTAAAGACTTCAGTAAAGAACCAGGACCCTCAGATGGACAGTAAGAGAAACACTTTTCAACCACCAAACTCAGACAACAGTAATTGATGTTTCAAACACAAAACTTTCAATTCTGACCCTTCTGTTTTACACCATGGTGAGAAAAATGATCTCCTCTGCTCTCAAAATGGTGATTTTCCTGTTTAACCTGCCAACCTGGATAAAGGGCTGGTGAAGAAGAAGTCACTGAGCACATATTTACTTATTATTCATAATGTTTATAAAAAGGAAGGTCATATAAAACAGCATTCGAAAAGGATTCTGACCTCTGTATTTTCTGATTTGGTTCATGTGTTTGAGACGTTTTGCGCCTTTAAGTCTTTGGACTTTGGTGTAGAGACCCCAGAAAACAGTCTGTAGGTCACAAAATACCAGAATGACCGATGAAGAAATAAATCCTGATAAATAAAAACAAATTCAAAGTATATGTCTGTTATCAGACGTTTTATACCATTTGGTCAAAAAGTAGTTTAAACTGGCAGAGAAAATCTCTCTACCATCAAAAAACAACAAAAATCACTGCTTAGCTTTTCTCCTGTTACGACACTTTCAGGCAGCAGCAGCTGAATATTTTACAGGAGATTGTTTTATGGTTGAGAAAAGAGTGATGTCAGAAGTGATGTCTGGTTTAATAGATGCTTCTTATTCTGTATCTTTCAATCATTAAATTCTAATAATAAAGAAAATAAATGTCTTTTATTTCCTCAGAGAGACAGAGAGACTTGACTCTGTGAAGGAGCAGCTGTCCAGCTGTTCTTTATGTCAGGACGTCCTGAAGGATCCAGTTTCTACCCGCTGTGGGCACTGGTTCTGCAGACAGTGCCTTGCCTCATGCAGAGACCAATCTACTTCATTAGGATACACCTCCTGTCCCCAGTGTGGAAAAAGAACCAGAACAGGACTTGTCCTTCAGACAGACAGCCAGTCCAGCTCAGATAGAAGTAAGTCTGAAGATCTGTCCTTTAAAGTCTCTGTGGATGAAAACACAATTGACTGATTTATCACAGACGTTTTTGTGTTGAGCAGTTTGGTTCATTTTATTTTTCTTCTCTTTCAGCAGATCACGGTCTTCAGGAGGTTTTAGATGAACATAAGATCAGTCTGAAGAGGAGATTTGAACGTGTGAATGAAGGAAGTGATGAAGCAGGAAGTAGTCAAACCCTCCTTAACATGATCTACACTGATCTCTACATCACACAGGGACGGAGTGAGGAGGTGAACACCCAACATGAGGTGAGACAGCTGGAGACAGCTTCAAAGACCCTCCATGACACACCCATCAAGTGGCATGAAATCTTTGGAGTCTTACCAGGTCAACAGGAAGTCGTCAGAGTGGTTCTGACCAACGGCGTGGCTGGTGTTGGAAAAACCTTCTCAGTGCAGAAGTTCACTCTGGACTGGGCAGAGGGTTTGGAAAACCAAGACCTCAAACTGGTGATCCTGCTTTCATTCAGGGAGCTTAACCTGATCAGAGGTGAGTCCTACAGTCTTCTGAATCTGCTCCATGTTTTCCATCCAACACTACAGAAGGTCACAGCAGAGACGCTGGCTCTCTGTAAACTTCTGTTCATCTTTGATGGTCTGGATGAAAGCAGACTGTCTCTGGATTTCACAGACTCTGAGGTCGTGTCCGACGTCACACAGAAGTCTTCACTCAACGTTCTGTTAACAAACCTCATCAAGGGGAACCTGCTCCCCTCAGCTCTCATCTGGATAACTTCTCGACCTGCAGCAGCCAATCAGATCCCTCCTTCATGTGTGGACAGGGTAACAGAAGTACAAGGCTTCACTGATGCCCAGAAGGAGGAGTACTTCAGGAAGAGGTTCAGGGGTAAAAATCTGTCCAGAAGAATCATCTCACACATCAAGTCCTCCAGGAGCCTCCACATCATGTGTCAGATCCCGGTCTTCTGCTGGATCACTGCTACAGTTCTGGAGGACATGATGAGCAGAAAGCAGAAAGAAGAGCTGCCCAAGACCCTGACTGACATGTACTCACACTTCCTGCTGGTCCAGACTAAGAGGAAGAAGCAGAAGTATAATAGAGGACATGAGACAAGTCCTCAGGAGCTGACTGAGACTGACAGTGAAGTTCTCCTGAAGCTGGGGAGGCTGGCATTTGAACATCTGGAGAAAGGAGACATCATGTTCTACCAAGAAGACCTGGAGCGGTGTGGTCTGGATGTCTCAGAGGCCTCAGTGTACTCAGGAGTTTGTACAGTGATCTTCAAAAGAGAGAGTGTGATCTTCCAGAAAACAGTTTACTGTTTCGTTCATCTGAGCGTTCAGGAGTTTCTGGCTGCAGTCTACATGATCCACAGTTTCACAAACAGGAACACAGAAGTTCTGAGGCCTTTCCTAAGAGACAACGAACAAGAAGACAAGGTGGTTTCCAATTCTTGTCTTAAATTGGGTCATCGTTTCCGATCTCTGAGTGTCTTCCTAAAGAGAGTCATGGAGAAATCCCTTGTCAGTAAAAATGGCCACCTGGACCTGTTTGTTCGCTTCCTTCATGGACTTTCTCTGGAGTCAAACCAGAGACTCTTTGGAGGTCTGCTGGGTCACACAGACTACAGTCCAGAAATGATCCAAAGAGTTATCAACAACCTGAAGAGGATGAACAGTGATGATATCTCTCCCGACAGAAGCATCAACATCTTCCACTGTCTGATGGAGATGAATGATCTGTCAGTTCATCAGGAGATTCAAGAGTTCCTGAAGTCAAAGAGAAAACTCTCAATGATCCACTGCTCTGGTCTGGCCTACATGCTGCAGATGTCAGAGGAGGTTTTGGATGAGTTGGACTTAGATAAGTATAACGCATCAAACCAGGGACGACTGAGACTGATCCCAGCTGTGAGGAACTGCAGAAAGGCTCGGTAAGTCCAGGTTTTATTCTCAGAATTGTGTAAATGAACCCTGTAGTTCTTCCAATGTCCACGTTACTGATGATGTTCTTCTTCAAATAGAAATCTACTGAAATATCAGGGGTTTCTTCAGGTTTGGCAAAAACGCAATCTTGGGGCTCTATTTTCGTGCCTCGCCGGCGACGCGGTGCATGCGCGGCGTAAGTGAGGTCCGCCGCGCCGACAAGGCGTTCCCAAGCACATTTTGGTATTTTGGTGAGCGGTGCAGCCCGGCGTAAGTATCCCCCCTCCCTAACTTAGCTCCTCCCAACGGCGTAAGTCGTAGCGAGGGAGGAGAGAGGGCGTGGAGTGGGTTTAACACAGCCGAAACCTGTTTTCACCAATCACATAAGCTCCTCTCCTTGCCTTTAAATCCGCCACCGGCGAGGCGTATTACTATTTTCATGAAGTAGTCAAAGAGATCAAGAGGTTTCTGAAGACAGTTATGCCACACGATGGCGACAAAGGGTTGCCCCTCAACAAGTGTCACTGTAAGCGCTGCATTGGGCGTCCTCCACACTCTCTCATATGAGCAAAGATGGATTTGGTGTGTGTAATGTTGGACCCACTGGTAAGACAAACACCCTTTTCCACAAATAAAGACACTCACATAAAGTTGCACATATTCAAACCTCACGTGACAAAGGTGGGTTGAGTGCACAGATCACAACATAAACTCCAATAATGGCATTAAAATCGGAACCATCTGTGCGTAAATGACGCATCGCGCTCCGTGGCCTGGCTCTTTCTTTCATAGATGTTGGCGTATAAAATAAATTTGGCTCACAAAACTGAATATTATAATATCTGTATGTCGGCTTAAAGTAAATAACTCATCTGAACACTGAAACAAATCATCTGTTCAGCCGCTGCTGGAGCAGGACAGAGAGAGGACACGGAGACGTGTCCAGGTCGAGCTGTGCGAGAAATAATAATGATACAGCTGCACTAACATGACGACAACACGGTTAAATAACAGAATGACAAAATAAGTCATGGAGTCACCTGTCTTGAACATCTGAACAGTTTTTTTTTTTCTTTTTTTCCTAGACTTTGACTTCCTGTCTTCTCTCATGTGTGTGGTCCTGATATAAGTAGCTGGCTTGTTAAAAACAGGCCGTCTGTCAAACCATAGATAATGTTTGAGTTGTTTTTGGAGAAGAGAAGCGTGAAATCAGCCTTCAATGAAATATTGTTTGATATTTATGTTGTTACAGACTTTCTGAATGTGGACTCTCAGAGACTCACTGCGAAGTTGTGGCCTCAGCTCTGAGGTCCAACCCCTCCCATCTGAGACATCTGAACCTGAGCAGAAACAAACTGCAGGATTCAGGAGTGAAGCTTCTCTCTGCTGGACTGGAGAGTCCAAACTGCAGACTGGAGACTCTGAGGTCAGACACCATTTCCTTCTGATCTAACAATACGATGTGACAGTTGCTGCTTTAGATTTTTCTCTGTGGCTTTCCATCAACTTTAGTCGAGCAGTTTGAATTTGTAGTTGTAAAACTTCGACACAGGAAGAAAAATCCGTCATTTCAGAGTTGACTTTGAGTAGAACGATGGATGTAGAGAGGAAGCTGGAAAAAAATCAGTCAGACAAATATTACACATAATTGTAGAGGGCAGGAGCAGCACAGACTGAAGGCTGATATTGAACTGATCCATAATTAATGTAATCACTAATGGCTGAATGAAGTGGCAGAGAAATGATGAGCTGCAGATTAAAACCTGAAGATCAAAGTTAATCCAACTCTGGATATTTCATTTTGAAGATCAGTGAACAGTGAGGGATAAAGGCAGACAAAGATCATCCTGTTTCCCCTATATCACAGTTCAAGTTCATTTTTAAGACTTTTTGCCTTTTATTGATCCGAGCGCTGCAGAGGAACAGGAAACATGGAGTAGAAAGTGAGGGAGGACTTACATCAAAGAATCATGGGAGTTGAACCAGCAACTGCTGCAACAAGGACTACACCCTCTGAACACCTGAACCTCTAATCCAAACCAGTGCTCCATCACATTTGATGTCTTGTCTGTTATTTTACAGGAGGGTCAGAGCAGACCAGATAATAAGCTCTGACAGGCTGGATCTGGTCCAAAGGTCTCCTGTTGGAGTTCTCTACGCTCAATATTTTGAACCTGAACACGTGAAGTTTGATTATTAATTATTTTTATCTACATTCTATATCCTTTTTTTTCCAGATTGAGTAACTGCAGTTTGTCAGAGATCAGCTGTTCTTCTCTGGCCTCAGCTCTCATGTCCAACCCCTCCCATCTGAGACATCTGGACCTGAGTTACAACAAGCTGCAGGATTCAGGAGTGAAGCTGCTGTGTGACTTTCTGCAGAGTCCAAACTGTGAACTGGAGACTCTAGAGTGAGACTTTTTTTTTCTCCATTCAAACATGACTGTGATTTGTTTGTGATGATGACACTAAACTGCTGACTCAGGACTGAAATACTGACCAAGACTGAAGACCTTCAGTCCAGAGTTGATTTTTCTGCATCAGTGGATTATTTGATTGACTCGAGTTAGATCACTGCTAAGCTCCAGTGTATTAAAACCTGAACACAAGAAGAAAATTCTTTGTAGAGTTCACAGTGAGAAGCACATTCAGACAGAAAACAGAAGCAGGGGGAGATTTGTCAGACGAGAACAATTCCAACTTTTGTTCAGGACAAGATCAGCCAATAGAAAAAACTCAGACTTTAGTTTCTGACACTGATAAAAGTCAAGTTACTTTGAATTTGGTTTGTTTTTTAATCTTTGTGTGAAAATCTGAATTTTACAGTATATCTGCACTTTTCTGAAGCCTTGCTGTGTTTAGACTGAAATATCCACCTCTCATAAACATTTTATTTTCGGTTCAGCGAAGTGAAAATATTCTGAACATCCTTTATTTCCCATCCGTCCTGGAGTAGCTGACATTTTCTGGAAAATATTGAGCTGCATCAACACTCAGTAAAAAAAAAGTATCTGAGTTTGTTTTCACTATTTAATGTGTAACATTAAATTCACAGTTTCAAACCTACTTTCTGTTTGGTTCAGCTCTTTGGAGCATCACTTTTCTTTGATTCTATCCAAAGAATCAAACCTTTTCAAACCTTTCCCCTGCTCTCTACAGATTTAAGACATTGGATTTCAAACTGGATCAGTATTTGTCTGAAATCTCATTATTTCCTCCTTATTCAGGTTGTGGAGCTGCAGTTTGACAGAGACCAGCTGTTCTTCTCTGGCCTCAGCACTCAAGTCCAACCCCCCTCTGAAAACTCTAAGCCTGAGAAAAAACAATCTGCAGGATTCAGACGTGAAGCTGCTGCGTGATCTTCAGAGGAATCCAGACTTCAGACTGGAGGATCTGGGGTTAGTATGGAGTTGGAGTTAGTCTGTGCTGATAAAGCACTGTGCTGACTCTTCAACCCTCTCAGAGGATTATTTCTTTAGTGAAGCTGTGAGAACAGAAATCATCAAACGAGGAGTGTAAGAGTATCAGTTATAAAAAAGGGTCTTCTGGTCTCTGTATTTCAGATAAATGTAGAAATGAGACATAATGAATTAGAAATGTTCAGTTTCTACTCTGTAGTCCAGTTTATAGTTCTCTGTATTCAACACAGACTTTATTTATCTGCTAACTTGTTGATTTTGACCTCTAAATCTAAAGACAGACAGCTTTTCTTTATACTTATTTTCACAGCAAGTTTGTTCCATCAGCTTTAACACATTTGACAGGAATGATTTTGTTATTTTGATGAGCTGGTTTATTTTTTGAGGAAACCTGCTGCTTTACACCATCACTTCTGGTCTGAGCAGGACTGAAACCTGATGTTCTTTAAACTGGATGTTCTGCAGTCCAGCCAATGAAGTGAGTCTCAGAGTGGAAACACTGATTGTCTTTTTTTCTCTCCTCAGATGGAGGGATCTGTCAGAGTGATTAAAAAGAGGATCATCAGTTTCCTGATGATCAGAGAGGTGGAGGCAGCAGCAGTGAGGGTGAGTCTCTGACTGGGCCATGTTACTGAGAGACTGACAGACCAATCACAGTGGGCAGAGAAGACCCTTGGAGCTGCAGTTTGACCTGCTCTTAGATCAGCTCAGGATCTGGATTGTGGATATTTGATTTTTTGCCTCATATTCTGGGATCAAATGGTCTAAACAGGTTTGTTTTGTTTATGAAAACATGATGGTAAATTTACACTTTGATTGGATTACTTTTTTTGGCCATGATGCAGCGCCACCCAGTGGAAATTTCTTTCCTCTGCACTGTTACAGACCAAATATAAACTAAAAGGAGACTTAGGTACTTAGGAGAGATGGAGGTGAAGGGAGGACAGGGTTTGGGGTTTTCAGGAAACTCAGAAGCTTTTTTCTTTCACTTGTTTATTAGGGCCCGAGCGTAGCTGCTAAGCAGCTGCGAGAGCCCTATTATTCCCCAAGTGGTTTTTCTTTGTTTCTTTCTTAGGGCCCGAGCGTAGCTGCTAAGCAGCTGCGAGAGCCCTCTTGTTCCTGATGGATTCTTCTTTAGGGCCCGAGCCAGCTGCAGAGCAGCCGGGCGTAGAGCCCTATTATTCCTGTATAGGTTTTTCTTTCTTCTTTCTTTCTTTCTTTCTTTAGGGCCCGAGCGTAGCTGCTAAGCAGCTGCGAGAGCCCTCTTGTTCCTGATGGATTCTTCTTTCGTTATTTTTCCTCCGCTTTAAACTGGAAAATGGCCCACTTCCCACTGGCGAAAACTCAGGAAATTTGGCAGGACGACCGGGCCTGGTGAAAAATTTGATATTCTGAAGTCGCCCAAACAAAAAAATGAAAAATGGCTCCATAGCGCCCCCTATGGTGAAAATTCACCTGACGCCTGTACGCTTTGTCAAAATGACACAAAATTTGACACACATGTGTATCTCAATAAGACCTACAAAAAAGTCAGTGCAGGCGTATCTGTCAAATGTACGGTTAAAGGGCTATTTCGCATTTTTTGCCGATCCGCACACATTGGAATTTCGCTAACTCCTCCGAAGGCTTTCGTTCCACCGGCACCAAATTTGCTCAGGCCAATCTACACCCCATGGCCATTAAAAGTTGTACAAATCATGACGCTGCACCCCACGGTTTACGTTCTAGGGGGCGCCAAAGATAACCCAAAAATCCACATTCTTAAAAGTCTTATAACTTTTTATTTTTGTCCTCACTGGCCTCCAAGTTTTCTAGGATGATGCAATGTCCAGCCATCAACACATTTGTGAAGGAATTTTTACTCCCCAAAAGAGCGCCCCCCCATGGCAGGTGAAAAAGTCAATTTTTTCTTGTCCCCTAACATGAAAATACACATTGTTGAGTGTCACGCCTATAAGCTTTGTCATATTGACCCAAAATTTGACAATCACGTGAATCTCAATAAGATCTACGAAAAAGTCAATGGGCACGTATCTGTAAAATGTACGGTTAAAGGGTTATTTCGCATTTTTTCCCGATCCGCACACATTGGAATTTCGCTAACTCCTCCGAAGGCTTTCGTTCCACCGCCACCAAATTTGCTCAGGCCAATCTACACCCCATGGCCATTAAAAGTTGTACAAATCATGACGCTGCACTCCACGGTTTAGGTTCTAGGGGGCGCCAAAGATAACCCAAAAATCCACATTCTTAATAGTCTTATAACTTTTTATTTTTGTCCTCACTGGCCTCCAAGTTTTCTAGGATGATGCAATGTCCAGCCATCAACACATTTGTAAAGGAATTTTTACTCCCGAAAAGAGCGCCCCCCCATGGCAGGAGAAAAAAGTCCATTTTTTCTTGTCCCCTAAGGTGAAAAAACACATTGTTGACTGTCACGCCTATACGCTTTGTCAAAATGACACAAAATTTGACAATCACGTGTATCTCAATAAGATCTACGAAAAAGTCAATGGGCACGTATCTGTAAAATGTACGGTTAGAGGGTTATTTCGCATTTTTTGCAGATCTGCACACATTGGAATTTCGCTAACTCCTCCTAAGGCTTTCGTCCCACCGACACCAAATTTGCTCAAGCCGATCTACATCCCATGGCCATTCAAAGTTGTAAAAATCATGACGCTGCACCCCACGGTTTACGTTCTAGGGGGCGCCAAAGATGACCCAAATATCCACATTCTTAAAAGAATCCCCCCCCCCCCCCCCCCAAGGCAGGAGAAAAAGTCAAGTTAACCCTGCCCATCGCTCAATGGCTCAATCGCATCGCTCTCCCGGCAACACCGTAAGGAGGAGCAACTTGCCATTTGGATATATCCTAGCTGTGTTTGTGCCCTCACTCATGGATCAGACTTTTTTCAAATAGGACATGTAGTTTGTCTGCAGCGACCGTTTTGGTAGAAACTGTGCCTCCCATTCATTATAATGGGAAATGACCACAGACAAGTGCGCACACCATCTTCGGACCTTGAGTGTGACGCGATCGGGAGGAGGAGGCGGTCGCGCTGGGGGCGGCGCGACGCGGCTCGGGCCCGACAGTGCCCCACCGGGGCCCTAGTCTTATTTTTCCTCCCCTTTGAAGGGGAAAATGGCCCACTTCCCACTGGCGAAAACTCATGAAATTTGGCAGGACGAATGGGCCTGGTGAAAAATTCGATATTCTGAAGTCGCCCAAACAATAAAATGCAAAATGGCTCCATAGCGCCCCCTAAGGTGAAAATTCACACTATTGACTGTCACACCTTTACGCTTTGTCATATTGACACAAAAATTGACACACACATGTATCTCAATAAGATCTACAAAAAAGTCAGTGCGGGCGTATCTGTCAAATGTACGGTTAAAGGGTTATTTCGCATTTTTTGCCGATCCGCACACATTGGAATTTCGCTAACTCCTCCGAAGGCTTTCGTTCCACCGGCACCACATTTGCTCAGGCCAATCTACACCCCATGGCCATTCAAAGTTGTACAAATCATGACGCTGCACCCCACGGTTTACGTTCTAGGGGGCGCCAAATATAACCCAAAAATCCACAGTCTTAAAAGTCTTATAACTTTTTATTTTTGTCCTCACTGGCCTCCAAGTTTTCTAGGATGATGCAATGTCCAGCCATCAACACATTTGTGAAGGAATTTTTACTCGCCAAAAGAGCGCCCCCCCCCCCATGGCAGGAGAAAAAAGTCCATTTTTTCTTGTCTCCTAAGGCGAAAATACACATTGTTGACTGTCACGCCTTTACGCTTTGTCAAAATGACACAAAATTTGACACACACATGTATCTCAATAAGATCTACGAAAAAGTCAATGCGAGCGTATCTGTTCAATGTACAGTTAAAGGGCTATTTCGCATTTTTTGCCGATTCGCACACATTGGAATGTGGCTAACTCCTCCTGAAGCTTTTGTCCCATCGGCTTCAAATTTGCTCAGGTCAATCTACACCCCATGGCCATTCAAAGTTGTACAAATCATGACGCTGCACCCCACGGTTTACGTTCTAGGGGGCGCCAAAGAGGACCCAAATAGCCACATTTTTAAAAGTCTTATAACTTTTTATTTTTGTCCTCACTGGCCTCCAAGTTTTTTAGGATGATGCAATGTCCAGCCATCAACACATTTGTGAAGGAATTTTTTCTCCCCAAAAGAGCGCCCCCCCCATGGCAGGAGAAAAAGTCAAGTTTTTCCTGCCCATCGCTCAATGGCTCAAACGCATCGCTCTCTCGGCAAAACCGAAAGGAGGAGCAAATTGCCATTTGGATATATACTAGCTGTGTTTGTGCCCTCACTCATGGTCCAGACTTTTTTCAAAAAGGACATGGAGTTTGTCTGCAGCGAGCGTTTTGGTAGAAACTGCGCCTCCCATTCATTATCATGGGAAATGACCACAGACAAGTGTGCACACCATCTTTGGACCTTGAGTGTGACGCGATCGGGAGGGGTAGGCGGTCGCGCTGGGGGCGGCGCGACACGGCTCGGGCCCGCCAGTGCCCCAACGGGGCCCTAGTTTGTTATTAGGGCCCGAGTGTAGCTGCTAAGCAGCTGCGAGAGCCCTATTATTCCTGATGGATTCTTCTTAGGGCCCGAGCGTAGCTGCTAAGCAGCTGCGAGAGCCCTTTTGTTCCTGATGGATTCTTCTTTCGTTATTTTTCCTCCGCTTTAAACTGGAAAATGGCCCACTTCCCACTGGCGAAAACTCAGGAAATTTGGCAGGACGACCGGGCCTGGTGAAAAATTTGATATTCTGAAGTCGCCCAAACAAAAAAATGAAAAATGGCTGCATAGCGCCCCCTATGGTGAAAACTCACCTGACGCCTGTACACTTTGTCAAAATGACACAAAATTTGACACACATGTGTATCTCAATAAGATCTACAAAAAAGTCAGTGCAGGCGTATCTGTCAAATGTACCGTTAAAGGGCTATTTCGCATTTTTTGCCGATCCGCACACATTGGAATTTCGCTAACTCCTCTGAAGGCTTTCGTTCCACCGGCACCACATTTGCTCAGGCCAATCTACACCCCATGGCCATTAAAAGTTGTACAAATCATGATGCTGCACCCCACGGTTTACGTTCTAGGGGGCGCCAAAGATAACCCAAAAATCCACATTCTTAAAAGTCTTATAACTTTTTATTTTTGTCCTCACTGGCCTCCAGGTTTTCTAGGATGATGCCATGTCAAGCCATCAACACATTTGTGAAGGAATTTTTACTCCCCAAAAGAGCGCCCCCCCATGGCAGGAGAAAAAAGTCAAGTTTTTCTTGTCCCCTAACATGAAAATACACATTGTTGAGTGTCACGCCTAAACGCTTTGTCATATTGACAAAAAATTTGACAATCACGTGTATCTCAATAAGATCTACAAAAAAGTCATAGAGCGCGTATCTGTATAATGTACGGTTAAAGGGCTTTTTTGCATTTTTTGCCGATCTGCACACATTGGAATTTCGCTAACTCCTCCGAAGGCTTTCGTTCCACCGGCACCAAATTTGCTCAGGCCAATCTACACCCCATGGCCATTAAAAGTTGTACAAATCATGACGCTGCAACCCACGGTGAAGGTTCTAGGGGGCGCCAAAGATAACCCAAAATCCACATTCTTAAAAGTCTTATAACTTTTTATTTTTGTCCTCACTGGCCTCCAAGTTTTCTAGGATAATGCAATGTCCAGCCATCAACACATTTGTGAAGGAAATTTTACTCCCCAAAAGAGCGCCCCCCCATGGCAGGAGAAAAAAGTCTATTTTTTCTTGTCCCCTAAGGTGAAAATACACATTGTTTAGTGTCACGCCTGTACGCTTTGGCAAAATGACACAAATATTAACACACACATGTATCTCAATAAAATCTACGAAAAAGTCAATGCGCGCATATCTGTCAAATGTACGGTTAAAGGGTTATTCCGCATTTTTTGCCGATCCGCACACATTGGAATGTGGC